AGCGACTTATGGCTGAGTTTAGACGCGTTGGGTCTAATATTGTCTTCGCTAGCTCTACGCGCCTCTTACTTCAGACAACCAAGGCCGAAGTCGGAAACGCCTACGCATACAGTCAATACGTGTTGAAGTCGATCCGCGCCAACCCGTCTTTCCATTTCATTGATCTCGAAATCAAGGAATACTGGGACTACCTGGTCTGGTATGATGAGTACAACTACGGTGGAAAGGGCTGTCGGGAGGTGGTCGGATCAGATGAACAGGAACTGGAAACTGTTATGCATTGGCAGCTCAGTCGTTTCCTCCCGGGGCCAATGCAGGCAATCTTCCATGATTGGGTGGTGGAATATATTGACTTGATGCACGGCGTCAAACACCCCGAATCAGCTGACTCGTCCACTCCCCGAATGACACAGATCCCAATTGGGCGCCCGACCGACGAGGACGATAATGAAGTATCTGCTGTCCTCGCGGAGAAATTCTCGAAGCCCTTGAAGAAGCAAATCTCTGGTCTCATTCGCCGTCAGCGCGAGGAAATGCTACACCCCGAGCTTGCATCTGACTACCTTTTCCCCGTTCTTCCCGGTGTCTTGTCGGACCCAAACGAAGAGAAGCGCAATCCCGTATTAGAATTGGTCAAAATGTTGATGCAGGTCCTTAGTCTCTCCAAGACGACGAGTTTGGAGAATCGACTTCTGCGTCGCGAACTACTGGCCATGTTTGAAGTGCGAGAGTTCAGCAAAGAGGGTCGATTTGAGAACCCGGCTGCCAGCCTGAAACTTCCCGAGCTTACATGCAGCGCTTGCTGCTTGATTCGAGATCTGGACCTGTGCCGCGACGAGGATGTCCTCCCGGATCCCGGATCTGACCCAAACAAGGCCGTGACAAAGCCCTGGCGCTGTCCTTTCTGTCAAACAGAATATGATCGACTGGCTCAGGAAGAGATCCTTATCGGCCAGGTCCATGGACTGATCGTTGGCTGGCAGACACAGGATTTGAAATGCTCTAAATGTGGAGGGCTGAAGGTCAGCGAGTTCATGGAGCATTGCTCGTGCAGCGGCAAATGGGTGGAAACCATAGACCGTGCAGAAGCGGAGAAGAAACTGCGGGTCCTCAACAGTGTCGCGAAGTTTCATGGGCTTAAGCTCTTGGAGAATGTTGTGGAAGGAGTTCTAGAACAGATCTGATCGAATTCGTGCATCTTGGTTCCTTTTTCTTTCTATTTTTTTTTCTGCTTTCATGACTTCTGGTCGGTACATATGAGTACACGGGAGTAAGAAGGGCTGCATCATCATTTTAAGTACTATAAACGGCGTTTGGGATGCTTTGAGAGGGATTTTGATCTGGGAGGGGTTTAATTGTATAGTATATCCATCAGCGTATGTATGTATGTATGCATGTATGCGTCTGTAATGCCAGGGAATTTTACAACACCCAAAATTGGTAAATTTATTTGACCTGTCAATTTATCAATAAGGTTGGAACCGGCGGTCACGAAGAAATCACTCATTTTCTCTTTCGTCTTTCTCCACAGTGTTCAGATCTTCCGCCATTCATCTATCACCTTTGAGAGTTTTTTGTTCATGATAGTTCAATCTAGTAGTATTTATATTTGCGGAGATCCATCGTTTTATATCGGTCAAGTCCCCACTCTATCGTTTTATCAGCGGCGACGGTTATCGAGACAGCGTTTCAACCAATTAATTAACCCCGCTATCGATTTCCGCGACAATTTCACCGCAAGTGCGACAGATCCATCCCACCGTCCCTACGACCGGTGAACCTCTCAAACCGGTGGGTTCCTTTGCCAAGCGGACACATCTGCAGCCAGTTTGACTATAAGGGGTCGAATCCCCCTACAGTCCTGAGAGTCTCCTGCTGACAATATACTCAATAGTGCAGGCTCACGACGCGCGTTCCATCCTTTTCTGCTCTATCGCGTGGAGACCAAACTACTTCTTCCGACTACGAAGGACTCCCTGGTTGGATACCTTATTTCTCTCTTTAAATGGCATCCCAAGCACAAGCCCAGGCTCAGGCTCAGGCCCAGGCCCAGCGACCCAAGGTCCAGCCTTGTCGGTACAAGACGGGGAAGACTCTGGGCGCCGGATCTTACTCCGTTGTGAAGGAGTGTGTACACATCGACACTGGTCGGTACTATGCCGCGAAGGTGATCAATAAGCGACTGATGGCGGGGCGTGAGCACATGGTATGGGTCTCTACTAGGAAATGCCCCAGAAGATGTCTGATCGCTGGCGATGTGAGTTTGACTCTGGTTGTAGGTTCGTAACGAGATCGCTATACTCAAGAAGGTGTCAATGGGTCATCAGAACATTTTGACCTTGGTCGATTACTTCGAAACTATGAATAACTGTATGTCCCTTCCCGGACCCTGGCCTGTGGCTAGTGACCCAGATTAACAGTCCCTGTTGTACAGTATATCTGGTCACCGATCTTGCACTGGGCGGCGAATTGTTCGACCGTATCTGTCGGAAGGGCAGTTACTTCGAATCAGATGCTGCGGATCTTATCCGCGCCATTCTGTCGGCTGTGGCCTACTTACATGATCACGGTATCGTGCACCGTGACTTGAAGCCCGAGAATCTGCTATTTCGCACACCGGAGGACAATGCGGATCTCTTGATTGCGGACTTCGGCTTGTCTAGAATCATGGATGAAGAACAGTTCCATGTTCTCACTACGACATGCGGTACACCTGGGTACATGGCGCCTGAGATTTTCAAAAAGAGCGGCCACGGAAAGCCAGTGTATGTCTCCACGAAGTGCCTATCCATCCCAGCTGCCTGAATAGGCCAAATCCTCGGTTTTTCAACAATGCGTCTGACACACTGCAACAGGGATATCTGGGCCATCGGCGTCATCACCTACTTCTTGCTCTGCGGCTACACCCCCTTTGACCGTGACTCCAACCTGGAAGAGATGCAGGCCATCCTTGCAGCTGACTACTCTTTTACCCCGATCGAATATTGGCGCGGTGTCTCGCAGCATGCCCGGGATTTCATCAAACGGTGTCTGACCGTCGATCCCGAAGCACGCATGACCGCCCACGAAGCCCTCCAACACATCTGGGTCAACCCACCGTACGACCCATACGCCGACCAGTCCGGCCAAGACTTGCTCCCGACCGTCAAGAAGAACTTCAACGCCCGTCGGACACTACACAAGGCCATCGATACCGTTCGTGCGATCAACAAGCTCCGCGAAGGTGGCGGCCTGATGATGGACGGGGTAATGAGCGTAGACCCGAAACCGGAAAGGGTCAACGGCAACCATGTCGTCGAGGAACGATCACACGACGACGGACAGATGGACCTCGACAGCCGCAGCGATGCACGCGGCCAGACGGAGGAACAGATCCGGGCACAGGAGCAGAGAGTGAAACAGATGGTGGCCGGCTTGTGGAGTAGAACTGCGAAGAAATGACGAGAAAAAAAACGAATCTGATGATAGATATGCCAAGATTTCTACCCACCTTTTTTGCTTATAATCAGGCTTTCCATTTTTCGTTTGCTTCTTTGCGTGTCTTATACAGTTTTGTTTTTGCTTGGTGGGTTTTGCTACCATTGCTTCCCTAAGCTCTGGATGAGGGAGGAAAGGTCTATATATGCTCATTGCTTGAGCTCTGATGATTGCAATACCTTGACTACTAGTTGGTATATAAAGCATATTCGGTATATATAGACTTATGTATATCGCTACTGCGGAAGGTCTTGATACTTTTAGAATAAGAATTCAAAACATAGTGAACTCACACACACATTTGCATTGTATTTCTAAATGGAGCTACTTTCTAGTAATACAACAATCGATCATCCGATATCGAAGCAAATTAGGGGAAGTTAGACACTCAAACATAGATAAAGACTACTAACAGTACAGTAACTAACTTAATACACAGAGCTTATCCTTTATTAGTACCAGTCTATTCCTGCCCTGACAAGTATAGCACCCAGTGGAAATCGATATAAAATAATCAGTATAATGCATCCACCTAAGCATAACCCATGCACTGCAACGCCACATCAAGCCCAGATTACTCCCTGGAGATACATAAATGAACCACCAGCATGAGAGACTACTGTCGAGTCCAAAATGAAGAACTTGCGTGCATAAGATCAATCAGCTCAGCGCATTTGCCCCACCTTCATATAACTTACAAGTGTGGTAGAGTGTAGAGTACTAAACCTAGCAAGACTGTTATTTTCAGAAACTGAGTGAGTAGCGGCAATATTCAGTTCCTTCGTTGGATTGTGCTTCCCAGAAGAGACACCCAATGCCGGAGTGTTGAGGATAGGTGGTAGTGTTGCTGCGTGAGTCGGTAGAGGCTCTCCATAGGAGCGTCGTCGTCGTTTGCTTAAAATAAGGAGTAAATGCGTCGGTTGGCTACTGTAACCCATTAAATTTGAAACATGAATATAGCCAGCTAAGGAACCTCGTACGTATCAATGTTGTAGTAGATTTTCTACTCTTACATCGCCCACTCTCTAGTAGGACTGTCAACCTAGTGGCATATCATGTTAACTACTACTGCAAAGCTTGAACTATAGGAAGTCTCTGAATTCTCCGGCAAAAGACGCTCACAGACTGCCTTGTAGATGCCGTAGCGTGTTCTCCGCGTCTAGTTCTTGCATGGCAAATACTGACAACAAACATTATACCCGAGTCACCACCCATCAAACGGAGAGTGGATATGTGTCATATTGGCTCTTTCTTTTTCCTTCAGGCAGCTATGGGGTAATTGGGATGTTTCATTATGCTTATGTCGTGGTGCTGTTTGATTTTGCTTAACGAAATCACTTCCTTGTAGGATCGTAGGCTCTTTTCCTATCCCTTACCTTTTCTTCGTTTTTTCCCTTTCCCTGGAGCAATAATCTTGGTCTTCTCCTTCTTTGACTAATTATCTAACAGACTATTCTTATGTCAGATTTCTTTCCTTCATTCCACAGCGAGAGCCGAGTTCCCAAATCCAGGATATAGCCGTCATGGGCATGACAGGCGTTGGGAAGACAACTTTCATCGGCACGTTGACAGATAGCGACCTGACCGTTGGATACGGCCTCAATTCTGGTATGCTTTGCTCACAGTAAACGAAATAGGGACATACAGCCGCTAACACCGTTCTAGACACAAGGCACGAAGGACATCGACGTCGTCGAAACGATCATCAACGGACAGAAGGTCCATCTTATTGATCACCTCCGGTTTCGACGACACAGACCTGTCAGATACAGAGACCCTCAAGACGATTGCAGCGTACTTGCAAGGAGCGGAAAGGGCCAATATCCAGTTGACGTGGCTATTATTACCTGCACCGGATCAACGATGTGCGGATGCAAGGAAATGCGTTGAAGAACATCCGCATGTTTAGGAGTCTTGTCGGGGAGGACGATATGACCAACGACATTCTAGTCACGACGCGATGGGACTCCGTGACCGGGGTGGAAGGAGAAGTTCGGCTGCAAGAGCTGCTGGGGAAGGACAAGTTCTGGGGAGTGATGATTACTGCGAGGGGGCGAGGCATGAGGCCTTTGCATAACGTGGAGGTCGACAGTCAGCTCTCCGGGTGGAAAAGAATAGAGAAATCACCTATCAACTTCGGACCACGTATGAGAAAATATTGAAAAACCAGGCGCAGATTGCGGAAGAGCAGAAAAGAATGTTGACTAGACGGAGATGAGGCAACTCCAGAATCAGTTGAGAACACTTGAGAACGGCCGCTGCTCACTGATGTGATGTATCTGCTCGTGCTGGTGGATAGGAATATCTCAAGAGTTCATGGGGATCACAAGAGGTGCTTGTAAGTTTCAAGATATTTGCTCAACATTGCCGGAAGTCGCCTTGACACCCTTACGGCTTGAATGCTGTATTTGCTAAGATTGCAATAAAAACCCCTTTGCTACACCACCTATTCTGATTGTAGATTTATACCACTGTTAGGCCCCTATTTAAGAAGTAAGGTGCCAGCCACAAAGAATCACCTTGTATGTCATCCAAGATATAGCCGTTACAATTGTTGTTCCTGCGTTAATTACACAATGAGATTGTCCACTACGGCCACCCTGATCCATTTCATGTGCTTTGTTGCCTTGTCGGACGATCAACTGCGTAGGCACACTCACTATACAGCGTGCATGACATGGTTTTGTTCTCCGACTCACCGTCCTTGACGGGAAATATCATGAGCGTTCTTCATGGGTCGAGGAGGGGCGCCAGCCCCCGGGGTCAGCGGGACTTGAATGCTATCTGTAATCGATGTGTGAAGTGAGTGTGGAGCTGCAAAGCGTACGGCATAAATAGTGGTCCATTGACGAATCTCAAGATAGGATATATATGGAGTGTAGGTAGTCAGGGCTCAATGCATCACAAAGTATCCATGCTTGTGCATTGAAAAGTAAAAGATTATAGTATAATCAAATAAATTAAAGATAAAAAGCAAAGCATGTATTATATAGTAGGATAGATGAGGAAATATTGCATACTTCAACTACGATGATAGAATTGAGGGATGGAATTAGACGTTGATATGCCTCAATTTCGGGATCTAACTATCAGAAAAACCATGCAGACCCTAAAAGAATATTAGCCCGAACACGCCATTACCTCTTCATTAACACCATCATATCATTAACCAAATAGATAGGTGGTCTCCAAAATGCGCTCTTCAGGCCACGGGCTAGAAAGTATCACTCGCAGAATAGAAACCAGGACCATCATGATAATTGTTCATACAGCTGAACCCAACAACTTCTCACTCCCATCCCCCAGAGAGAGAACCCACTGCCGCCATTCCTGCCATTCGGCGTAGCTCGCAGAGGCCTTCAGCCCTTGATACTTGACGACTCGGAAGTCGGAGACCTGCTCCCATGGCTTGTTGGAGTTGGAGGTGTGACCTCCACTGCTGCTACCTCTTAGAAATCTCCTAGTCATGCTTTCGTGGCCACCATCCCAGCCTGCTTTCTCCATCAAGCTTTTCAATGTCTGCTCTTTGGTCCATCCTTGCTCCACAGGAACGTCCGGTAGGTAGGTTGCACCGTAGCGTCGACCGCGGTTAATAAAAGAGATACGGATTCCATGGACCCCGAGAACCCAATCTAGAGCGTTAGTGCAGGGCTCAAAGGACCCAAGGAGGGTTAAAGAGCATGACAGGGTAGGTATAGCGGCGGCTGGAATTGGAGTAAAGCGGGTATCTTCGAACGCACTGCGTCCGTGTTAGCAAAAGGCGTCTAGATGGGAGACGATCCATTTGCTCCCACATCAGGGATACATACGAAGTCATAGCGTAGGACTCTAGACCTGCAGCAAGTTCCTGCGCCTCGAAAGTCCCAATACAACCGCGAAGTGACTTACGGCCGCTCCTGGAGAGGGTGTTCCAAGTTACAAATAACGGATACTGCTGATCTTTTGCCCTTTGACGTCTCCAGCCGCTCGCATCAGATTGCAGCGACTGTGAGCTTGGTGTGGTCATGGTGGTAGTAGGAGTGGAACCAGATAGGCCTGAGTGTGAGGAATTACTCGAGGGTGTGGTGGCGGAGCTCGAATCCGATGAGGCCTGGCTCTGGAGGCGGCTGATATTTGGTAATTTCAGTCCCCGCGGGCCGTTCTTGGGTTTAGAGGATACATCGTCTATGCCATCATCGTCATCTCCAGACTGCAGGCCAAGACTCGCGCTCTCCCGCAGAGAAACCGACTCATCGTTGTCCTGGAGAGCGGAAACTTTCTTAAATTGCTCGTATCGTTCCCATAGCTCCTCCACGGCTGTGAGGCTAATGTGCTCTTGGCCTTTATACGAGGCGGCGAGGCACTCAAAGCAGTAATAGCAATGAGCGGGGGTTGCCATCTTCTCGGAACCGCCAGAATCACGGACAAAAGTTGAAAAAGGATTACTGTAAAGCAAGCTAAGCGCCCTTGTCCTTGAGAAAAGCCAGGTTTGCTGTGACAGATCTTCTGATACTAACAGACACCTTGCTCCACCCGGATAGACACCGCTGCTTGCCGCTTATCTCGTGAGAAGGCACACAAGATTAGCACTACTTATGAACGAATATCGAGCCCGTTTGAGTCAGTTTATTCTGAGGAGAGGCAGATAGATCCAGCAGCGAAGCACACCGTCTGTTTCCGTCTGTATTTGTGTCTGATAGAGGAGAGGGGAAGAAGGAATGAGGGGGAAGTACTCCATTACATATCAGGCGTCGATAAGATAAGCTCCACGTGATGGCATGGTTGGTTATTCTCCCGTGACCGGCCACAGAACAAGGGACTGAACTACACAGAAGAACTAAGACATCAGCATAAATTTGAAAATCTAACACGTTCCCAGTCTAGGTGTAACCTTCGACCACACATACTCTCGAAGGGGGCTCCTTAGGGCTATTGAATTCGTCTTTACAAGCCGATTGACTAGCGGGTGGTGTTCCAGGGTTAAAAGGTGGCGGAACGTTGGTTCAGCGGTGCCCTGAATAACCCTTCCCGTGATCTACAACAACTGCTCTATGGAGATTCGGAAAGGTCTGATGCAGATTATGAGCATAAACTTCTGGCCATGAGCAATAATTTCAAGCCAGTAGGCTGCTTTCTGTCGGCGTTTCGGGCACAAAACATAAAAATAATGAATCAGTTGAAGTACTACCTAATATGCCTCCCTAAGCAAGCTGTACATGGCCCAAACGTTCCCCGTGGACATGCCACTAACCGGCCCCACCATACTAATCAATATTTGGCTTCGCCACGCTTTGGAAAAAAAAAGCCAGAAGAAGCGGAAAAGACAAAAAAGAATGAAGAAACGTCAGCGACAGGATTTGAACCTGTGCGGGCGAACCCAACAGATTTCTAGTCTGTCGCCTTAACCACTCGGCCACACTGACAGTTGTTGTTGTGAAATGGTTCCTTAAAATAAAATATAAGTAACTTATAACCTATTCTATACTAAACCACTTGCTGCAGGGCAGTCTAGGCAAGTAAGTGATAAGGAATGAGGTCAATGAAGGGACAAATGGCTCGCTCCCTCAAGAATCTTACTTCCACCATTTTCTTTGAACCCCTCCAGGACTGTCCTTCCATGCTATCACTACAGGTCTGACTTGCCGCCCCCTTATAGATGCTGAAGCCCATATATTGGAAGACAAACGCCACACAGCATTTCTTCGTAAATTATTGTATTTTACTCGATTATCATTCACTTCTTGTCAGCCGCGGTAGTGATGACAGCACATTGCTGGGGTTGTAACCACTAAAGATCGCTTCACGATGATATCACATGATAGGCAAGCCCTACCTCTGGGAAAGGCCGGTTCGGGTCAACCAATCAGAAAATATCCATCAGAACTGCAAAATACTAAGATCTATCGTCTTTGGGTTTGCAATCCCCCTTTTCTTTGTTTGTTTTCATTCCTTTTGGGCAAGGGTCGGGGTAATGCTGTCGGTGGAGGTTAGGGGGTCCGAGGATAACAACGAGACTCATGGGGGTCAGTGATCTCTCTCTATATATATGACTGGGCTTAGGATCTAGCAAATGTACAGCACTGTGGAAACATATGTGTTGAACATATACTCCATTAAACCATCAGTTTGAACGTTGTCAACCTTCTATTCATATAACTACCCCTCGAAGCGAAATATATATATTTGTTTTGCCGGAATCAATGGATGGCAATAACCCGAATGCAGATGTCCTGCTTGGGAGATCGTAACCCAAGTATCATTGTCTTTTGTATCTTGTTAAGTTGTATATATATTAGTATATACCTACAGTAAGACGACACTCTCTAGGGTCCTATGTAACCTCGTCGCGGTCGCAAAGAGCCCAATGCATACACCTAGGAGTCAAGAGCCCTAACAGCAAGCACCAAGGTCAAATATTGGTGAATGACGCCTTGCGTGTCTAAGCCTCCCCGAAGCGACCGAGAGGTGATCCACTAGAACGTGGAACCAAGCGGCCTTGAAACATGGGCGTTCATAAGTATTAGACCAGGAGAGTTGTTTTATGACAGAGTTCGAGCTGCCGATCAGTCGCACTGTCGCCTGGAGCAACTGTCGCTTCCTCTGGGTGAAATTGAGGCTATTTGTGAGACAGGTTTCGTAGCGGAGCTGGTCGCCATCACCGTCCGCGATCATCCTTCGGTACAGGCAAGTTTAACATAGACAGCATATTTCGTGCGGGTCCTGCACCCCCCGCCTGACTCTGAAGGGCCTCCAGCAGGTTCTTCGCGAGATTTATGTCGATATCTTCATCCTCAAGATCGGGCATTTCCCCTTCCCCTTCGTCATGGCCCTCGCCTGACTTTCCTTCAGACAATGCCTGCTTACCTGCAGATGCCCTACCGGGACGATTCAGGTCAAGTACACCCGTGCCTTTCAGCTCGGCTTCCATCTGCCGTGATAGCTCTTGTATCTGTTCAGTATCATCTTCAGACTCAGCATCTAGTTCTTCCACTCGATTACGTGGCATCGATGGGCGAGATGAGCCCTTGGGACCAGATGCTGATGGCATTCCCATCATCTCTTTCATCATCTTGGAGAATTCCTCTTCATCAAATGATGCCTCCTTGTCCTCTCCGTCACTGCTCACTTCATCGTCGTCATCATCATCATCACCATTGTCGGAATCAGAGTCATAATCGTCAAGAAAATCGGCCCCATCGAGACCGGCCGAGTCATTATTCAGAAACTCTTCGAAGCGTGCAACGATACGCTGAAGATTCTCTTGGGCGTTGGCATCGCCAAAATTGCCCTTGGGGAGTTTCCCGTCGTCCTTTTCTTTTCCTTTACCCTTGAGTTCCCTGTCGAGATCCTCAAAACTGATGTCCAGCCACTTTTCGTCATCCTCTGTTTTGTCCCAGGTAGATATTTCCTCATCGGTAGGCAGGCTCTCATCTCCGCTTTCGATATCTTCCAAGACAAGTTTTATCTCCCTCACGACGGCTTTATCTTGATTTTGCGGGTCGGTGAGAAGCATTTCAAACCCGCAGGCAAGCTTCATACCCAATTCTGCTCTGTCATAAGTTTTTTGTTCATCCTTGGAAGGTAATGCTCCAGCCCATGATTTTGGGACAGGGAAATCCTGGCTCTTGAGCTGGGCATAACCGACTCTAGTGAACCGGACGCTGACCGTGACGAAATCCTCGGGTTTAAAGATGAAACTGTCAGGCTCCTTAGCCCGGAGAGGTCGTAATGCAATTGGGTCCCTTAGATAGAAAGCTTCCACTGCTGATGAGATATATGCGGGCTTCTGGTGTAATAAGTACGCGACCTTGCGGGGGATACTGATCAGTGCGGAGTGAAGGTTTTCGCTGATTTGCTGGGGGTAATTGCGCAATCGATAGAATGCTTCTTCTTGAATCATTGCTGAGCGCATAAGCCGCGCAGGTTCCTCGACGATGATCCTCCTCGAATCTGAAAGAGATAGCTTTTCCGTCACTTTGCCCTTTTGGTTTTTCGGTTTGATGATAACAAGTTCACCACGGTGTATCCACACCTGCAGAGACCATTAGCTTTATGCAATGGACGCATAAAAAACGATCCTCTTACTCGGTTATCGGCTACTTCGGGCTCCAGCCATGACGGCAGTGCGCCTGCGGCTTCGATGAGAAGAAACTGCCCATCACCATCCGTGACCTTGACCCAGATATCCTTATGCTTCTTCGAAAGCTCGCGCAACAAATACACGACTACCCATTCATCCTCAATCGAGTCGCCGAAATTGGTGCGTCCGCGTAGAAATGTGATTCCTAGTTACAGTTCAATCAGCATGGGCCCTGTCGTTTGGCCCTAGAGAGTTTGTAAAAGACGCAATCACATACCATCCTCCTTAGTAATTTCCAAGCGGAACCCTTCTCTCTGCCAGATATAGTCTTTGAGAAGGTCCTTTGTCAGTTCCGCAGCAGTACGCTGTACTTCCACCAAGCGCGCTCTCGTTTCTGCGACTTCATCAACGATAGCGGGGGTGGGGTCGGAGGCGATATGATAGAGCGAATACTCCACACAATCGTCGGGGAGCTCAGGTTTCGGGATGGGATGGAAGGTGGACTTAAACCATTCTAGGTCTTCCTCCGACATGGGTGTCATATTGACAATTTCAACACCCTAGTCGTTCGCAGGCGCAAGGAATCAGTTTCGCTCCATCAAAAGAAAAATTACTGGCAATGACTTCATACCGAACGAGACGCGGTGAATCTCCCGGCCCGGCGCTCGTGATCTCAACGCTAAGCTGTTTCCGGCTAGATATCAACAAGAAAACGGTAGTGGGTCCTCACCGCCCAAAACACGGTCCTCGTAATGCCGCATACACGGCTTGTACTCTAATCCTAATCTACTTTACTGCATTTTAGTGTTGCTTCCCTTCACACGCGCCAAGATTTAGAGATGATCGCGCGCTGGCAAAAACATTGAGCCAATTCAACACCTCAAGTCTTACAAATTTTTCGCGTGATCCGCCTTGACAATGGTGGTGCCGTATATCGACACACCGCGCACCGAAGTCGACGGAAACGCGACTTACCTGACCAATGGCTTTCGCAGCGTCGGACGGCACAACCTATCGGCGCTCGATTCGGTCGAGAACTCGTTCCAGACACCCTCCAAAGATGAAGACCTCCTAAAAGGACTCGGTGATGATCGAAGACGAAGCTCCAGCGGATTCAAACTCAGTACACCGCGTGCAGGCACCGGTTCCAAATCGACGAGAAACGCGTTGAACGGCCGGCATCACCTTCCGACAGCAGCACCTCCCAAGGGAGAATTTACTCCATTGATGCGGAGTGCTGCAAAGAACAATTTCTTACGAAACATGTCCACGGCGAGGGGCAACGGCCACAAAACCCCAGGATATATGAAGGAAGGTCGCAGCAATATCCATACCCCCGGGCTTCCGAGTTACGATATGACTGGTATCGACGAGGAGGATGAAACCGACGACCAGCCCACTCCCCTACCGCAGGTTGCGAGCAGTAGTGTGCAAAGTACACCCCTTCCGGGGTTATCGGGTAGAGGCGGGAATGGTCTCTTGAACGATGGGCAGAACATGACCCTGAAGGAACAAGAAAAGGTAAGCGTTGCTTTCATGTATTCTTTCCATAGCTGTTAAAACGGTGCAACTGACCTATGTAGATAATCGACAAACTAGACAAGGATAACTTCGGCCTGAAGTTAAAGATTCACTATTTGCAAGAGCAACTAGAGAAAGCAGGCCCGTCGTACAATCAAGCGGCGCTCAAAGAAAACACCGAGCTCAAGGTGTCGAAGCTTACGATGCAACGAGACATCTCCCGATATAAGAAGAGTCTCCAACAGGCAGAACGCGACCTCGAAGCCTACCGCGTGCAATTTCAAGAACTCCGGGAGAAAGTGCGGAGGGGCCAGTTGGATGAAACGTCACAGCGCGAGATGGATCTAATGCGGGAGGAACTGGAATCAAAAGATCAGCGAGTCAGAGAACTCCAGGAAGAACTCCGAGAGGCGAAGGATAGGCAGTCAGAGGAAATTGAGAAACTCCGCGATGAGATCGAGGACCTGGAAGCCTCCCTCAGGGAGAAGGAGCGTACGATTGACGAGCGTGATGAGGAGCTTGAAGAGCTGAAAGACAAGGATAGCAAGGAAAATGGAGCACTCGCTGAACTTGAATCCGAACTTCAACGCGCGAAGGAGCAGATGGAAGAGCTGCAGGACTCTCTTGACCAAGCGAAGTCTGAAGCTCGAGAGGCAAGGGAGTCTGAAAGCCGTGCAAGGAGCGACAAGGAGGAGGCCGAGAAGAACTTGCAGGAACTACATGATGAGATGGCAAACAAGTCCATTAGTACAAAGGGGCTGACTCGCCAACTAGAAGAAAAATCAAGCAAGTTGGAAGAAGAGCTTCGGACACTACAAGAGCAAAACAGCGTACTGAAAGAAGAACTTGAAAGGAAAGCCCGGAATGAAGCTCACCTTGAAGAGCAGTACCAGCAGGCTCAGCAGAGCATGGATGATGAAGGGCAGAAATTACATAACGACGTTGAAATGGCCAGACATGAACTAAATGTAGCTCAGCAGGAACGCGACACACTCTCTGCTCAATTGCAAGAAGCACTCGATGAGATCCAGCGTAAGACAGAGGAAAAGGAGCTCCTCCAAACACGCCATTACGCTTTAACCGATGAATCCGGTGGTCTGCAGGATGAGTTAGCCCAGGCGCAAGCCAGGATACGAGAGCTCCAACACTCTGTCAATGATGCGAAAGAGCATGCCCTCGAAGACGTCGATACCGTCCGTACCCAATACAGAGAGGAGATTGAAAGACTCCAGGAAGAAATTGAGGCTCTCAATCATGAGATTGAAGACAAGGAAGGCCAATTTGCATTGGAACAAGACCGGTGGGAAAGCACAAAGCGAGCTCTGCAACTTCAGAAGGACAGGGCAGAAGACCAAGCGGCTGGCTTCAAGCGTACGATTGAGAAGCTTGAGCAGGTTGAACATACTCTCACGGGCAAAGAAAGCAAACTCCAAGAAGTTATCGATAGTGAGAAAGCGCGACACTTTAATTCAGAAGCGGTCTTAAGCCGCCAAGTGAAAGAGTTGAACGACGAGCTCTTATCAAAGAGACAAATTATTGATGACCAACGGACTGAGCTTCTTTCGGTTAAAGAAGAACTTCGGCTTGCCAAACGCGAAGAAGCAGTATTGACCGAAAAAGTACAAGCGCTTGAGGATGAGGTCGTGGTATTGCAAGCGAACTTGGAGGAAGAGCGAGAATACGCCAAGGGACGAATGCAGAAAGGTTCCAGCGATCATGATAACAGGCTGCAGAACTTAATATCTGAGAAGCAAAAACTTCGCGATCAGCTTGCTAATGCTCATGTCGAATTACACGATCTACGAACGTCGATGGTTGACCTCGAAACTGAGCGTGATGAGCTCCAGGCTCAGCTCGACCAAGCCCAGCATCAAGTTGACGACACTACCAAGTTCGATAAAGAAAAGGTTGAGCTCCGCAAATCTACTCTGCGTCTCGAAGGCGAGCTCAAGAGGCTGAGGGAGGAAAAGTCATCGCTTGTGGAAGCGAAGGAGGCGCTCGAAAAGCAGCTCAGCTCAGAAGTTGAAAGAGCTACGATGGAAGAAAATCGTCTTGCGGTTGAGATTGATCAACTTCAAGACAGGCTGCAAGCAACTTCTGGTGGAAGAGATAGGGAGCTGACGTCGGCAAAGAGCAAAACACAGCGTCTCGAAAGGCGAGTGCAGGAGCTAGAGGCACTTTTAGAGCAACAACCTTTGGGCGAACAGGAACACTCGACCGCAAACGCTGACCTCTCAATGCTACGGCATAATCTAGACGAGGCGCGGAAACGGGAGAAGACCCTACTCCAGCGGGAAGCAGACCAAAAGGCCTCTGTCCGAAGCTGCAAATCAAGGATCGCCGAACTTGAGAGAGAGTTGCACGACACCATGATGCGGAAATTCGAGGACCACTCTCCTCATGCGTCACCTTCTGATAAACTCCACGAAGAGCTACGAAGCTTACGAAAGCAACTATCCGAGGCGCATCGCACGCTAAGAGAACTGAAAACAAAGAACCGAGACCTCGAACGAGCTGCTATGAGGGAGGAGGACCAGCGAGACCTGCACGAGTTGCTTAGATCATCTACACTTGAGGCCGAGTCGTTGGCCCTGAAGGTATCAGAGCGCGATGCACGGTTGAGTGAACTAAAAGCCCAAGTACGCAGGATCCGAGAGGAGCGCGCCTTCTGTGCAAGAAAGGCCGAGGCGGCCATCAAAGACTTGGAGTCTCTCCAAGAACGTTACAACCAACTTGTGGAGAAGGCGGGCTCCAAATCAGATAGCAAGAGCAGACACGACAAAGAGATTCTGGGCTTAGGAAAGGAGATCATCTGGCTCCGTGCTCGATTGAAGCGAGAGGAGAAGTTCCGTCGCGACCTGGCTTGGAGCAAGGGCCTGATGGAGCTCGGAGAGCGGGTCCGAGTCGCATGGTACGTGTCAATCCATTTGTTCTTCCATTGGCCTACTGACTAACTAACGTTTTTCCCTTGCAGTAATGAGGCCGATCTCAGAATGATCTCCGAGATGGGAGTTAAGCCCCGTGATCGCGGTATGCTTCGCAGCCCACGACAGAAGCTCAAGACCGGAATATTCATGGTCAAAGCAATTGTACGGATGCAGCGCATGGGCCAGCAATGGCAAAAGACGAAGAAAATAGGCGAGGGCCTCAAACGGGCCAAGAACGAGGTGTTGAAGAGAAGGGAGGCGTCGAGTAGCAAGGCATTGGTGTAACTGCCGTGCTACTTTTTTTTTTTCTTGCGTTTGTTTTGATATAACCAGTTCATTCTTTGGCTTACGACTTGTTTCCAAGTGATTCCCCAATCTGTTCATACCGGTCTCTAGGTTTTCTTTCACTCCACTGATTCTGTTTATGGGGGCGTTTTGACTGTTGGATGAAAGGATGGGTAGGACTTATAGTTAGCTTGTCTTACTGTTGTCTGGACATTCTGCATATATTTTATAGCCTGTACGGGTTGCTGCTTTTGATGATCAGGATAATTGAATGAGAAATGTGAAGCTTGTTTAAGTATGGCTGTTTGGTCTTTGTTCTTTGGTTCTTATTATCTAGTTGTTCTGTGTAATTAATTGCAAGAGTCCATACTCTTGAAGGATCATCGATCGGGTCTTCTGATGGTGAATATAGTGACTATAGAGTCACCAGCAATCAGAAATGTAGATTTGTATAAGCCAAGTGGACCTCCGACGCCAGAGATGAGAAAGTAATAGATATGCATTGTTCATTAGACTTTATTCTTCAGACACATGACTCGTGAAATCAACACAATGAATTTGACACTGAATAGCTCGAACTTAGCCCAAACTAGTTCAACAGAATTGTAACGCCTGGCCTCGCCTTGCCGAATAACGGTAACGCTTCTAACACCGGGGTCGTGGGTAGGATGAATATAGAGGGACGTGTATAGGAATTTGCAAGGTAGCCGCTTGGGAGAGGATGATGTGAGAATGTATAAACGTGGAATATCTCTCATTCGCTCAATTCAAGAGAGATGAAGAAGGGGGGTGGTATGCAATAAAGAGCCAACACATCGGTATATGGCTTCAAGGGATAGAGGGCAAGGGTTTGTTATTTGGCCTAAGCGCCTTCGCTGCCAAATTCCTTGGTCCACTCCGAGTTCCTCTGGAGGTCTTCTTGGCTGACGGTGGGTCTAGAGTTGCGAACTGCTTTAATAAAGTCTTTCAGAACGAGCGGAGGCTCCAGCAACTGATCTGCTTCCACGCTCGTCCATGTCATCTCCATTGCACCTGCGTCTCCTGGAGAGCATGGTGTTAATTTCTCTTGTCCTTCAACCAAAACCTGGTGACGAGTTAGCCATCATTCCGTTCAGCCTAGGGCTGGACTAATGTGGTCTTACCTTCTTGTAATGCGTAGCCGTTTGGATTTTACGGATCGGTTGCATGAGTGCATCCTGAACGGCAATGCTAATATCGCTGCCGGAGTAGCCCTCGCTCATCTCCGCCAGTGTTCTGTAATCGGCTTGCGTCATTTCACACGGTGTTTGTCCGACAGCTAGCATGAACATTTTCACTCGTGCATTGATGTCGGGAAGGCTGATGTGGACTCTCCGCTGGAATCTGCGACGAATAGCTGCATCTAGTTGCCATGGAATGTTCGTTGCGCCCAGGATTAGAACACCCCTCGAATCCTTTCCTACACCATCCATCTGCACCAGCAACTCCGTCTTGATACGGCGGGATGCCTCTGATTCTCCTTCTCCACGAGGACCACATAAGGCATCCACTTCATCGATGAAGATAATAGCGGGCTTGTTCTCGCGGGCCATATTGAAGAGCTGCTTCACGAGCCTGTTATGAGTCAGAAAGTGCCCGGAACACATGCGCTGAGTCCGCCCAGAGACCGTACCTTTCACTTTCACCCATCCACTTGGATACTAAATCACTGCTACTGACACTGAAGAACGTACTGTTTGCTTCCGTCGCCACGGCTTTGGCAAGATACGACTTTCCAGTACCGGGAGGCCCATAGAGCAAGATACCCTTCCATGGCTGTCGTTTCCCCGTAAACAGATGAGGGAACTTAATAGGTAATATGACCGCCTCCTTCAATGCTTCCTTAGCACTCTCGAGACCTGCTACATCCTCCCACTTCACATTCGGCTTATCCGACAAGATCGCCCCAGCAAGGGCGCTGCGTAGCTTCTTCGAATCAGCGTCTTCATTATCGTCCTCGTTCTTACTGAAACAACGCATATATCAGCACCCGATAATAATGCAGAAACAGGATAGAGGCGACTAAGATACGTACTCGCCCTTCCCACTGCCTTGCGCCACCTTGCCGTTGGCGCCTACCGCACTTGGCTTCTTTCGACTTTCCGTTGCTTCAAGGTGCGTTTTGAGTTTCTCTGCGCGATCAAGATATTCGCCCGTTTTTGCGCGAATCATCTCCTTGGACTTGGGGTTCTTCTCCCATTTCAGGGCGAGCATGAATAGCTCCAGTGCGGAGTAGTAGCCCTGATAAGCCTTCTCGTACTCGCCCGAATTGTCGAGCTCGATGGCCTTCTTGACGGCGTCAATCGCCCGCCCCAGGAAGTCCGTGTTACTCATGATTGTACGAGGGTTGTTCGTGCGTACTCCGGGTTTGCTAATGGAGCCCGTAGGGGGATCGTCTCGGTGTGTGGAGAGAGGGAGGAGGTCGGAGGCGGGGACTGAAATAGGTGATTGCCTGAATGTGTTGGAATGCAGGAAACGGAGGGTGATAGGGTTCGAAAGAGGACTGATAAAGACTAGACAGCAGCCGGACCCATTCGACTCTAGAGAATGGACCAAGAGGAATACAACTAGGTATCAATCGACCGAGTTCTTGGCGGGATGATTGGAGGGGAGAAATGGCAAAAGGCGGCCTTTAGTGATGTTTACCGTCCTGCATTTTCTGCCGCTTCCGCTCTCTATTTTGCCTGAAGTCCCCGCCATGGAAACCAACGTACTAGTAGTTCAGATTAAACCCACCACTTATCTGCTACTACCGTAATTGTCGAATAGCGTATACTTCTTTGTATAATCTTCGCACAGTCACAACCATGGCGGATGCACAGAAGCAAATGCAGGCACTCTCAGACGAGTTCCAAAAATTACAGACCGGTATGTCAGGGAATCCTTGACCGGAACTCCCCCACTTCGGCACTACTGCGACTACTATGCGCCCGATACTGACACGGCAATGATCCTCAGAATTGGATAGTTTTGTCGAAGCTCGTCAGAAGCTCGAGTCACAGCAACAGGAAAATCAAGGAGTCCAGAAGGAGTTTAACTCGTTGGATGACGATGCGAACATCTACAAGCTCATTGGGCCGGTCCTGTTGAAGCAGGATAAGAACGAGGCCCTGATGGCTGTCAATGGACGTCTTGAGTTTATTGAGAAGGAGATGTGCGTTGAAGAATTACGACCTTGAGATCTGGTCTGGGATAGTTAGCAGTTCAGGCTGTACTGACGGAGTGAGCAGTAAACGGATCGAGGGACAAATCAAGGAAAACCAAGACAAGAGCGACAAGATGCGAGCAGAGGTGAGGGGTGTCTCTGAAGATACCGACTAGGGCTGTTTCTGATCCTTGTTCACAGATGCTTCAATATCAGAGCCAAATGCAACAGCAAGCGGCAGCTGCATCCGCCTCCGCTTGAGCTTGAACATAGACTTGACCCGGTTCACAAAAATGGAGTCTTCGGCACTTTCAGTTCAGAGCGCAGAAACAAGCCCACACATTCGGGAAGGGGAGTTGGTGTGCTAGAGCGTGGCCCCATTTGCAGGTTTTGGGGTTACAGGTCACCTTGCGCACCATGGCCGTGGACATTGACCAGGATGATACTACGTCGGTTAGGGACGGCTACAAACTGGGGTCGGGGTTTTTACGAACTCGGTTATTTGATCACTTGGCAGATCGCAAGATGGACGTGTTGTTGTTTTGAGTTGGCAATGACGCAATCGTCATAATACGATATTCTCTATCACCCACAGATACGGTTGGATGCTTTGCAGTAGCCGTACTGCTTCGCTGTCAGGCCATTCATTATTGTACAGTCAATGTAGTTCCTAGGGCGCCTTTGTGTTGCATAACGCAGTGGATTAATGCTTTATGACCCTTATGCGCTTTAAGAGGATAACATGAATTTATTTCCACAGCCTCTAAATTCTATTTATGCTACATCGAACTGTCAATCATTTGAACTCCATAACTTTCATGTATTCATAACCCGCTCAAATCGTCTCTAGATGATGCGTTACGACGATCTATATATTAAAATATGTTTAAGCCTTAACCAGGAGATTCTGTCCAGACATCTCCTCAGGCTGCTCGATGCCCATGGCAGCGAGAACGGTTGGTGCGACGTCTCCAAGCACGCCGCCCTCCTTCTTGAGGCTCCAGCCTTCAGGGGCATTGGCCATGATGAAGGGAACCTTGTTGGTGGTGTGAGAAGTCTTGGGGGTGCCCTTCTCGGTAAGCATTTCCTCGGCGTTTCTGGAAGAGAAGCAGTCAGCCAGAGAGTTCGCCCTACGTATGATCTCTAAGGATAGTGAACGCTTACCCATGGTCCGCAGTGATGAAGAGTACATAGCCATGCTTCTTGCAGGCTTCATAAATGGCACCGATGGCCTTGTCGGTAGCAGCAACACCCTGAATGGCAGCTTCATACTTACCAGTGTGGCCAACCATGTCAGGAGGAGCGAAGTTGTTCATGACGAACTCGAACTTGCCCTCACCAATGCGGTCGGCCATCTTCTGACCGACGGCCTCAGCGCTCATCTTGGGGTCCAGGTCGTAGGTCGCAACCTTGGGGGATGGGATCATGTCGCGGACCTCGCCAGCGAACTGCTTCTCAATACCACCATTGAAGAAGAAAGTAACGTGAGCGTATTTCTCAGTCTCGGCAACGTGACATTGTTGAACATCCTTCTTGCTGAGCCATTCAGCGAGCACGTTACCCATGTGCTGAGGGGGGAAAGCAAGAGGGAATGTGTAGTCGGTCTTATACTGGGTCATAGTGGTGATGTGGATGTTCTTAGGGTAAGGAAAGTCGGGCTTAGGGGTGCGGTCGTAGTCACCGAGCAATTGGGTGATTTCACGAACACGGTCAGATCGGTAGTTGAAGAAGAAAAGAGTGTCATCGTCTGTCAAATTTCGTCAGCCATCAGCACACTGCGAATCGTTGAATGGGCCATCATACCCTTGACCCGTCTCTCCTCGCCACCGACGATGATGGGCGTCAGGAACTCGTCGGTCTCATCTTTTTCGTAGCGCTCGTTGATGGTCTTCACAGGGTCGGAGGACTCTTCGCCATCTCCAGAGACAATGCCCTTCATGGCTTTTTCGACACGGTCCCAGCGCTTATCGCGGTCCATGGCCCAGTAGCGTCCAACAACAGTGGCAATTTCACCAATGCCGATTTCCTTGGTCTGATCAAGAAGCTGCTGCATGTACTTGGTAGCGCTCTTGGGCTCGGTGTCACGTCCATCGCCGAAGAAGTGGATGAAGACCTTGGGAATCTCCATCTCCTTGGCAACCTTTAGCAGGCCGATCAGGTGGGTGATGTTGGAATGGACACCGCCGTCGGAGACCAGACCCAGAAGGTGAAGACGACCATTGCCTTCCTTGGCACGCTTGAAGGATGCAACGACGTTGTCTATCTTGTTCAGCTCACCCTTCTTGAGGGTCTGGTCAATACGGACACTGTCCTGCCAGACCACACGTCCCGCGCCGATGTTCAGATGGCCGACTTCACTGTTACCCATGAGACCCTCCGGCAATCCGACGGCAAGCGACGAAGCATCGAGCTCGGAGTAGCCCTGGGCGGTCTTGGAATCGGCCTCGGCAAAACCGGACATGAAGGGAGTCTCCGCAGCGAGGATAGCATCACCATCCTTGCGGGAGTCGGGGCCAGCAACACCCCAGCCATCGATGACGACTGGTTGACTGTGTTAGTGATTTGTTTTAGAAAGCCGGATGGCACTGCGGCGCAAATACTTACCGAGGACAACTTTTTGGTCAACCTTAGCCATAATGAAACTGCGAGATAGTCAATTCCCGGACAACTTTTAACCTAATTTTTGGGGGAATTGAGAAAGGGAAGAATCACTGACCAAAAGGAGGAGGTCGAGTAGAAGTGAGGATAGAAGAAGGAGGAGGTGGTGGAGAAAAGGAGAGAAGAGAAGAAAAGAGGAAAAGATAAGTTGACCGGTGAGAAGCAGTAGTATCGGGTGAATGAAATGGAGGGGGAGGGGTGTTCCGCCGGTGACGCTTTTAGGGTGAGTGTCAGTCAACTGGTCTCCTGGTGCGACGTCACTTTTTTTAGTCAAAAGTCACGGGCGGCGACCGGTTGTTCTCGTCCGCTCTGCTTTACCCGTTCCGACTCTTCCCTAAACAATTACCCTGATCATAATTACCTTCGTCTTCGTTCGTCGCAAGGCCATTATTTGTCCCCGCAATGGCTTCTCGATCCCCGGCGGCGGTTACTCCACTGCCAAAATTATCGTCGGCTCCCCAGACGCCCATCGTTAGGGATACAACGGCTGCACCATCAACAGTGCCGCAACCAGTTCCCTTCCCTCCTCCACAGACGTTCGATATTATCCCACCATTGCACGGTCTGCTTCTCCGACTACTCTCACCACAGCCAAATACTGAAGGTGTATCAAATGACACACGAGCCGCCGAAGATCCCGCTGTTGCTACAGCTCCCACCGGTGCCACGTCCACTGCGGCAGGCCAGTCTCAGTCTCACCCACAACACCAGCAATCGGCTGCTGGGAACCAAAGCAATGATGGCCATGGCGTAATGCCCACTGCTTCCTCTGCGGCACCAGGTAGCGCCTCCGCTGCGGCCGAGATAGCTGCGTTGAGTTCAAACGCGCCTCCACCGCTAGACATTAAAGACCTTCCTACCGAGGCCAGCTCCATCAAGATTCGTATACAGAAAGCACAAGCTGTGGTGGATAGCCTGCCTGATGTGCAGCGGTCAGTTGTGGAACAGGAGAGGGAGATTAAAGAACTCGAGCATAGAATCTCTAGACTCAAATCGGTCATCTCAGATTTTGGGAGAAGAGCGGACTCTGCGAAGACAGAGACAGCGGAGATGGAAGCAGCTTGAATGGAGACTCCACTACGATAGGAATGTCTGTTCCACGGCGGTATTCCTATCGTGACGGTAATGGATTTAAACAGGCTTCAGACTGCCTTATAATTTGCGGTCAGTGAGAGAAAACATTGGATCCGTCATGGAAGCACAACTTGCGAAGCCTGACGATGGCTTCCCTGTGCCAGTCTGGATTGTGGACAGACACATCGGTTTGCTAAGACCTGGCTAAGCATGGGAGAGTAAAGTGTGCTAGATACCTTGGGGGCAATTAATGGATGCTATGTTCCATGAACCCTAATGGCGTTGCTACATGGAAGACCTCGTTACAGCTGTCTAGCCGCGATAACTTAGGAATCCATGTAAGAGGCCTGATTCACCCTTCTTAGAGTGGCAAATGAAGGACATCAGAGAACGAAGAATTACAACATGATGGCGGATTCCGCCATACTGATAGTATATCTTGGAGAGTTGCGCCCGGCATGCGGTGCTCTTTGTCGGGGAGGGGTGGCAGTATGGATGTCGTGCTCACCCCTCAGTGACTCCCACGGTCCTCGTCCCCATGTATGAGGGTCATTGTGTATGCCACCAATAGATACACACAATTAACATTCCGTTTTTGTTTTGTTCTTTTTCAACATAAATTAAGCGCCATTATTATCAGTAATGTAGATAATGAGGAGAAGAACAAACCCGATCTCCAACTGCGCAATATTCGTAAACTTCTCCAAACAAGATGACTTCCATGGTCTCCGTTCCCGATGGAGTATACGGAGTAGAAACGCTATCATCATGTGACTCATAGCTCTCCATTAAGTTTTTTTTTCCCTTTCCCCAAGGAAACGAATACTAACCCCAGATGGTTAGAGGGCCCCTCACGGTCCCGTCTCCGGGCGAATCAGTTTCCCGGTGAGGGGAGAAATGAGCTCCGATGTCGTTCCCGGAGGCCGACGTAGTACGAAAAAGTACTCCGTAAGATCCCTGATCGGAGCCTGTTTCTATTGGATATGATAAAAGGTTAAAAAGGCGGGACATTCTTCCTGAGGCACCCAACACCCCACCTAACTACTACGACCTGGTCTCCATTTTCTCTCTTCTGCTTCTCCTTCCTCTTCTTCTTCTCTTCTTCCTTTCACACTCCAATTCTCTCTCTACCCATTTTCTTCTCTAGTATTCTTTGCTGTACTAGTATTACATTTCACAATGGCCACCTACGCTCTGTCGCAGGCCCACCGGGACGTGAGTATTGATACAGTTGAAATTTTTCATGCCACAGTCGCTGACTCACGAGGCAATGTAGCAAATGGAGAAGACTCTTGTTGAGTCTGATCCCGAAATTGCTCAGATCATGGTAAGTTCGGTTTTATTAAATCAATATGGTGTTGAACTAGTCTGACACTTTGCAGGAAAAAGAGATTCAGCGTCAGCGTGAATCCATTGTCCTGATCGCTTCAGAGAACTTCACTTCTCACGCCGTTTTCGATGCCCTTGGTTCTCCCATGTCCAACAAGTACTCCGAGGGTTACCCCGGTGCCCGTTACTACGGTGGTAACCAGCACATCGATGCCATCGAGCTCACCTGCCAGGCTCGTGCCCTGAAGGCTTTCAACCTCGACCCTGCCAAGTGGGGTGTCAACGTTCAGTGCCTGAGTGGCAGCCCTGCCAACCTGCAGGTCTACCAGGCTCTTATGCGCCCCCACGACCGCCTGATGGGTCTGGATCTTCCCCACGGAGGCCATCTGTCCCACGGCTATCAGACCCCCGCCAGAAAGTAGGTTTCACATCGTCCAGCGGTGGTTTTGTCATTTCCTTGCTAATCCAAAAATTGCACAGGATCTCCGCTGTCTCTACTTACTTCGAGACCTTCCCCTACCGTGTCAACCTCGAGACTGGTATCATTGACTACGACGCTTTGGAGGCTAACGCTGAGCTCTACCGCCCCAAGTGTCTAGTTGCCGGTACCTCCGCCTACTGCCGCTTGATCGACTATGAGCGCATGCGCAAGATCGCTGACAAGGTCGGCGCTTACCTCATTGTTGACATGGCCCACATCTCCGGATTGATCGCCGCCGGTGTCATTCCTTCTCCCTTCGAGTACGCCGATGTTGTCACTACCACCACCCACAAGTCTCTCCGTGGTCCCCGTGGTGCCATGATCTTCTTCCGCAAGGGTGTGCGCAGCACTGACAAGACTGGCAAGGAGATCTTGTACGATCTTGAGGGTCCTATCAACTTCTCCGTTTTCCCTGGTCACCAGGGTGGTCCCCACAACCATACCATCACTGCCCTTGCTGTTGCTCTCAAGCAGGTTGACACCCCCGAGTTCAAGCAGTACCAGCAGCAGGTCCTGAACAACGCTAAGGCTCTGGAGAACGAGTTCAAGCAGCTGGGCCACAAGCTCGTCTCTGACGGCACTGACAGCCACATGGTCCTGGTGGACCTCCGCGCCAAGAAGTTGGATGGTGCTCGTGTTGAGGCTGTCCTGGAGCAGATCAACATTGCTTGCAACAAGAACTCCATCCCTGGTGACAAATCTGCCCTTACTCCTTGCGGTATCCGTATCGGTGCTCCTGCCATGACCACCCGTGGTATGGGTGAGGAGGACTTCAAGCGCATCGCTCACTACATCGACAAGGCCATCAACATCTGCAAGGATGTCCAGGCCGAGCTCCCCAAGGAGGCCAACAAGCTCAAGGACTTCAAGGCCAAGGTTGCCTCCGAGACCGTCTCGGAGATCCTGGAGCTGCGCAAGGAGGTTGCCGCCTGGGCTTCCACCTTCCCTCTCCCCGTTTAAGTGTGATACCAAAATTTTCTGTGTTTCATTTTGTTTAGTCTTGCGAGTTCAACATCTTTGCGTCTAAAATGGATTGGGTGTGCTTTACTAGGGGTTTATATCGGTCTGCTTTTTCAACCTTACGCGGGTCATGGGATATGAGTATGTGAACGAACAAAATAGCATTGGATGGCTTTTCAACACCTCTTCAACAGGACAAAAGTTCATGTCTACATTATCGGGCTGGACGTCCAGCTTTTAAATGGATATGCTTGCCATTCACGAACAACATTAAATATACATTAATGAAATTTTTTTTCAAGAAGTTACCTTGAAGTACCTCCTAGAACTGTGACGTAAGCGATGAATGTGTTGATGAGTTCCACACAGATGCAGAGAACCAAGAGCATCTAGTTATTGTTACTAGTGTTTCTCCCTCAGGGCTTTATCGTGACGTCAAGCTCGATTCATCTCTAGATGCTTAGGCATTGTACGCACAAACCAGTCATGCCATCATATCGACGTGCAATTGACGCCACAGACGGTTTGTAAAGCCCGAGTAATACGCGCAGTAAAACACATTAAAAAACTATTAAGCCTGGCACAATGCCCGCTGATATTTATCTCCATCTACAACTCAACCCTTTCCCCAAAGTCCACGACCGGGTCATCCTCTACAGTTCCCTCTTTCTGTTCCTGCCATGATTGGAAAAGCAATGTGGCGACATTCTTACCCATCAGCGCACTCGTTTCCATCGTAGAGATGAAGCTCTCGATCCCACCGGTATACCAGATATTAGGGGACAAGAGTGTCTCCTCGAATGTGACTCGTGGGTAGAGGAACGGGTAAGGATTCCAGATCTTCTCATGATGCCAGCTGATATCCTGCTTGGAGAGATCGTCAATAGTCGCATTGTTGTTCTTTACAGGATCAGATGGGCTCTCCAGACCCAAGATGCTTCTTACGAAGTCAGCTGATAACCGCTCGGGTGAGAAGACCTTGTAGACGTAGTGCTTCGACGGTTTCTGGTCTGGAGATGCCGGGGGATGATCCACCGTTCGGAGAGTGCTGATGCTCCAGAAACCGGTTGGACCCACTCCTGCCTTTTCGGAGCCCAGATCGAGGCCGCTGGGGACGGTGGTGAGAATAGTTTCGGGGGTCTGGGCATTGGCCTCATGGATGTTAAAGAATTTAGATGAGAGCTTATGTGGTGAGGAGAATAAGGTCACATGGAGTGTTACGAACGGAACCTCATCTGGCTGCTTTTCCACTGGAGGAGTAATTGAGAGCCCGGAATGCTGCAAGGGACCCGCAATCACTACTTCATCAAAAACGAGTTTCTGCTCCTTCAAGTCGTTGGCCTTGTAAGTTAGAGTTAATGTGTTATCAGCATTACGCTGAATGAAGGTCACTGTATGGTTGAGTCGAACGTCGGCTTGCGCGGCCTTCAGCATTCCATGGAAGATTTGCCAATTTCCACCCTTGATAGACACAGCTCCTTCTGTAGCCATGCACACCATGGACTCGAGGCCATGTATGAGACCCAGATTCTGCCCGTAGTTGACTCGTGTACTAGCTTGTATGATATCGCGAGAGAAGTCAGGAGATATGTTATTCTCCTTGAGAAAAACGTCACCAGGAGTTGAAGTCGAGTCCAGCAAACCAACTGCGGTGGCTGCGGCAGTCAGGGACCTAAATGGAAACATAGGTTCTTCATAGAGTTTCAAGAACTTATTGACTGTGGTCTTCATCAAGTTCTGGGTCCGAATGGGTGCCCAGCCGTAACGCCAGAGCAGCTTAGGAATGTTCCACCAACTATTATTCTGCAACACGAAGACAAACTGCTTCCCGTCCCAGATGCCGATACTATCATCGGCTTCCTTCGGCCGGGCTGCGTCAGCGCTATCGACAAACAAACCGAGCTCTTTGGATGCGTTCATGAGGTTGTAGTTGACCTTGACAAAGATCGATGCACCTAGCTCCACAGGATATGCCGGATGGTCTAGAACATTTACTGTGGTTGATCGACCGCCCACGTACGAATTGCGTTCGAAGACGGTGATTGACTGGAATTGGGGATGCATCTGCATATTTGCGTAGAGAGAATGCAGTGGAAGAACCTCCCGCTCCAGCTCCTGTGAGATTCATTAGCTTCTGGCATACAAATGTTAGCTAGAGCTTATAAACCCACCGATTATTGCCACCCGCTTGGGGACAGCATCGGAAGATTGAGTGAATGAATGCTCTTTGGCATCACTAAAAGATATAAAACACAACGCTATGACATAGTGTATGGCTAATAGCCAGAATGAAGGTTTAAAGACAGCCATGGGCAAATCAAAGGCACTACACAGTGAGGACTGAGTATTAGCGGCACAGCATCCAAGCTCTCATGAACGTGCGCTACTTAGCACAATCCAATCCCCAATAGCCACCCTACACTGTCCTTCTGATGAGCTGAGGCTAATATTATGATTTAAGGATAAGAAGAAAGATGGCAATTACAGATCAGAGAGATGGAGAATGAGAGACGTCAAGACAACAAGGCACAGAGCAGATGACGAATCATAGAGTGGTACGGGGTTGGTATCGGAGCTAGTCCCCAACTGGACTAGTGTATCGTGAACCCCGTATCGCTTATCGGTCTAATCTTTTTTTCTACAGTCTTTTTCTTTTTTTTCTCTGCTGGACTAATGGAGGGGCTGATTGCTTGTATATCAACGTTGACCTTCTGTGCACACTTTTAGTGTCGACTTTTCATGACTTAATATAGTCACTTATTATAGACTAGCTTTCTCGCCAATTGTCTCGCCACCACATTTACCTCCAAAAACAATGGATCCCTATGACAGCGACTCGTCGGGGTTTGAAGATGAGGACTTCACAGAGACCAGTGTGCTGTTGGGATACGCGTCGGAGGAACTGTTAGATGACTCGATTAGTCACCTCGGAGGCTGGCCAGTATGTGACCTTTTGAATCCCAATGAATATACAAGCAAATAAATACTGATCACCTTGACTTCAGACATGGCTGGACGACTCTACCCCGCCCCCAGGCGAGTTCGCCAATTGCAAAGTCTGCAATAGTCCTATGATCCTCCTCCTCGAACTGCACGGTGACCTTCCCGAACACTTCCCGGATGATGAGCGACGATTGTATATCTTCGGTTGCCCCAGAAAGCCCTGCAACCGCAAGCCAGGCAGTATCAGAGCCCTGCGCGCTACACGGAAGTTGAAGAGCCAGCCAGCGCCTAAGAAGGAGGAAAAGCAGGAATCGGAGAAGGAGAAAGAAGAGCAAAAGAAGCAGGCTGAGGCTCCTAAGCCGGATCTTGGAGCAAGTCTTTTCGGGGCGACCTCTCTCACTGGGAGCGTGTCTGCGAGCCAGAACCCTTTCTCGACCAGTTCGTCCTCCGCACAAGCCAGCAACCCGTTCGCTTCCCCTCTTGCAGCACCCCAACCTGCCAAACCAGCTGCCCCATCAAACCCGTCCGGAAATTCCCTTTCCGAATCCTTTGCAGACAAAGTTCGTGTTTCCTCCCCGCCCCCGACCATCAAGCCACCCGAGGCCACCGACCCCGCTGCACCTTGGCCGCCGCAGTCCGACTTCCCCTCACCGTACAAACGGTACTATTTAGATGCGGAGTACGAAACACTTTCTCGTCCCCCTACCCCGAAAATTCCCGATAACGTTGTTATCGATAACACCGAAGATGATGTCAATGGTGGCTCGGGCGCGGACCTGAAGGATGCTCTTGAGTCTGAACTGGACAAAGTCTTCATGAAATTCTCGACCCGTCTCGGACATAACCCTGAGCAGATTTTACGATATGAATTCCGGGGCTCCCCCCTCCTCTACTCTCACACCGATGCCGTCGGAAAGCTTCTTTACGACCCCAAGAACCCACCCTTGGGCGCTAAGGTGACTACTACTGGTGGCCCGACCCGCATGCCACGCTGTGAATACTGTGGTAGCCAGCGTGTTTTCGAGCTGCAGCTCGTGCCTCACGCCATCAGCATGCTGGAGGACGGTCGTGAGGGGGTTGGACTAGGCCCCAAGGACGATGGCATGGAATGGGGAACCATCATTCTTGGTGTCTGCAGCAAGGACTGTGGCCCGGAGAAAATTGGGGCAGTCGGTTGGCGTGAGGAGTGGGCGGGAGTGCAGTGGGAAGAATCGAAATAAACGTACAGGCTCATGACTGATGTTCTATAATGCTTATGACCGCATAGACAAAAATCGACTCAAGTTGAAAAGTTCACATCTTTTTCTCGTGTAATGTATTCTATCCAGATGGGGTGGATTATGGAGTATGGTTCACTCAGTACTACGGTTAGAGACATGGTCTCCTACTTGGGTAAACGCAAAACGGCCCCAGTTACTGAGAAATCCTCAGTCATCTCTGTTCTATGGGATATCTTCTCGAATATAAAGAAGTAAATAACGGAGAGAAAGAAAAGTTGTTTTTCACATAGACAACATCATGATGATGACAAACATAAGTGATGTCAAGCAAACACGTAACGCCAAATGCGCCAGTCCTGACTTCCCAACCCTCCTCATGCAGGTCTATCCCCGTCATCATCATCTTGGGCTCCGAGCTCGTTTCGTGGGTCTGAAGCGGACATAATCCTTTTACGAGTCTTTTCAATCAAGGAAAGACGCGAAGCGAAGATCCATATACAGGGTAGGATCTTCGAGGCATAATATTAGCAAGAAAAGGAAAGAGACACGGTTTGATTTGCGGTTCAAAGAGACTCCGCTCAAGCGGCCTGCTCAAATCCCCGCCTGATAACACGGCCGAACATCTCGACACCGACGTGCTCGCTCTTGACTTCACTGCGGGCCTCGTTCTCCTTGTTGGTGGGGACCTTGACAACGGTGCCGTTGGGGCCGGACTTGTCGACCTCCCAGCTGCAGACCTCGGCGACGAACTTCTCAAGAGCCTCACGGCTCCTCAGGTCGAGCCATTGCTCGAGAACCTCGGCGTTGATCTCACGGAATGCCTTGCCAACCTCAACAGCGATGCGGATGCGGACGAGCTCCTCGAAGCCGGCGACATCGGCGGTCAGATCGGCGTAGAGATCATCGGAGTTCAGGGTGGACCAGAACTGAGCGTACTGGGCAGACTCAAGGAGCGTGGAGAGGCGCGCAAGCTTCTGAACGGATTCAACGAAGTCGGAGGTCTGAGATGCGGCCTGGGCCTCGGCGCTGGAGGGGAAGGGCTGAGTGTGGGCGGGGAGCAAGGCGAGGCAGAGAGAGAACGCAGGGGATGGGAAAACGGTAAGCGCCTTAGCAAGGATGTTGGTGACGGTCTCAGCCTGGAGGAGGTGGGGGTTAAATTGGTAGCTACCCAGGAGGCGTTTTAAGTTAGCGAGAACGATGAGAAAGTGCAGTAAACTCATCCAGTGACAGTTAATGATTTCGAGGGCTTTATCAGAAGTATGTAATCCTCGACATCCCTCGATTTGAGGTGTCAGTTAATAGGAAACGTGATAATAATAAAAGTATCTCTCCATCATTGAAGCCCGTGTGATATTACATTTGCAAGGTCGAACCTTTCGGAAGAATTGCGTAAACAATCAAGCGCATGCACTCACAGCTTCAGCAATGCCAAGTTGGCATAGCAGTCGAATGTCCTGTCTTCGCACTGTTGTACAACGTAGTCCTGGAAAACGGTGGTCGTCTCGGGGTTGTATCTGTCCAGACCGTTGAGGATGGCATCAATGTTGGCCGGCCGAGTCTCACACTTGTCGAAAGCGACACCCATCTTGACGATTCTTGGTTTCCTTGAAAAGATCGTTTGAAAAGAAGTTGCCCCGGATGGGAATTTCAGTGTGGACCTTAACGGAACGGGCGACAGCGAAGCGCGTGGTACTAATCGGACTGCGGGATGGCTTTTTTGGTGGGATTTTTCGATTGTGTCGATGTCGATGTGCGGGCACTCGGAGGATCGGAGCCCCAAAACGGCATATTTCTCCGATTGGTATGTAGATCGAAGTATATCCAACCATATTGCTTGTTACTCCGCATTATAGGTAAACCCCGCTAGACACGTTATAAATACCTGTCCAGTGACCTTGGGAGAATGATTTCAGCCGTGAATCCTTTCATCTCTTCGGGCGGTGGAAAGCCATTAAGTGGACGTGCACCATGCGACTTCTTATACCTTGCCCTTACCAGCCACTTACGCCCTTGTTGCTGGGGCTGGTAACGGCAGTAACGACCCAGTCCGTTGATTATTCACAGTTTGTCAATCCTCTTATGGGCTCTGAAGGCCCCATGCCCGGGAAAGGCTACGGAGGTGGCGACATTTTTGTTGGTGGTGCTCGGCCTTTTGGCGTAACCAAGGTTGGAATTGACACGACAGCTGCAAATTGGTCGATTGCGGTGCTTAACGGTGGCTGGACCCCTGATGGGAATGTTACCGCCATTAGTATGTACCCCTAGCGTGAATTTGCGTATTCACTTGCAAAGGCCTGAACTTTTATGCAGGCATGATGCACGAGAGCGGGACTGGAGGCGCTCCAAAATATGGGATTATCCCACAGATGCCTCTCACCGACGTGGCTCCTCCAGTGAATATACTTGATAATCTCACATATAGCCAACCGAGGGTATAGTTATTCTCTACTGATATCAATAGCTCATAAGTTTACAAATGAATAGGTCGGTCAAGACACCGCTAGTGTGGGCTATTTCAAAACTCAATTACAAAATGGCGTTCAAGTGGAATTATCAGCATCTCGCCACGCCGGAATAATGCAGTACACTTTCCCAAAAGGCGAAAAATATGTCTTAGTTGATCTTTCACACGTACAAACTCCTTTTCCACAATAACCCATTCCTAATGCGTAATCTTACTGCCTTATAGTACCTTCCTGGATCACCAAGTGACCCGAATGGCCAATATTATATCGGTGGAGAAGTTCAAATCCATGGAGATGGCAGAGAATATAGTGGATATGGAACCTATATTGGCGGTTGGAACAATGGTTGGTTGTCCATATATTACTCTCGAATCTATGCTCAACTAAGCGATAGGCGCCCCTTTCACTGTCTACTTCCACGGAGAGTTCTCTGAAACCCCGGCATCAGCCACTACATTTACAGGTAGAAACACAGACCCAATGAGACAGTACCAGACCTTCTCGAATGGAGGAATAAGCCACCCAATTTATGGCAACAAGTCAGATACGGCAAGCTCAGGACCTATGAATGACCGAGTAGGCGCACTTTTTAGCTGGGATAATGTGGAAGGGTCACAAATCCGCTCAAGGGTCGGCATCTCGTTCATGTCCACCGAGAAAGCTCGTTCTTATATTCGATCCGAAATACCCTCGTGGGATATCAATGACACGGTGAATTCGGCAGTAGAAGAATGGAATCGAGACGTCTTTAGTAAAATAAGGGTGCCTCTTGATAGTACCACGAACCAGACACATGTGCGACTACTGTACAGCTCCCTCTACTTCATTCACTTAATGCCATCTGATAGGACAGGCGAGAACCCACTTTGGCATTCGGAGGAGCCCTTTTGGGATGATTTCTACACTCTTTGTAGGTACATATCCTGCTTTAGACCACTTCTCATGCTAAATCTTGACTAGGGGACATCTTCCGGTGCACAATTAGCTTCTATCACATATTTCAACCTTCTTACTACGAGTCCATGATCAGGGGCCTTATAGATATCTGGAGGTAAGGGTTCTATCACATGAAAAGACTGAACTTGAGCATAACTAACATACGTAGGTACCAAGGCTTCCTGCCAGATGGACGTTCCGGAAACTGGAATGGCCTGGTTCAGGGAGGCTCGGATGCTGATAACATGTTAGCTGATGCGTACGTAAAAGGCCTTCGTGGCGCAATCAACTGGACGGATGGTTATGCAGCAATGAAAACAGATGCTGAGGTTATTCCTTACAATACCTACGATCCCACAGACTTCTCCGCAAGTACGAAGGAAGGCCGCGGAGCCCTAGGAGATTGGATTGAGCTGGGATATGTATCGCAAGACCGGAACACACGCTGTATTTCCAGAACTGTTGAGTATAGCCTTAATGACTTCGCTCTCAGTCAGGTTGCAGCGGGCGAAATGCCCAGTGATCGAGAGAAGTACCTCAATCGGTCTGCAGGGTGGCAGAAGATTTGGAATCCCGACGTACAGAGCTTAAATTTCACAGGGTTTGTGGCACCGAAGTTTTCCAATGGTACCTTCAATAGTAGTGGGTACGACCCGTTATACTGCGATGAGTGCGAGTGGAAGTCGTATACTTATGAGGGTACACCATGGGGTGAGTTGGTATCATTGTGGCTGATTTAAGGGATGATCGCTAAGAACAGGTTGCTTTAGAATATTCCTTTGTCATACCGCATGACATGGAGACACTGATTGAGCTCATGGGTGGCACTGGCACCTTCGAGTCCCGCCTGGACCTTATGGTAAGAGACCCGAGAGACACACTTGACTCGCGCTTACGCGACGAGGTAGTTTAAACCCAACATGTCTGTTCAAGATTTGGGCCCCAATGGTGCCGGTATCACGACACTTATCAACATTGGGTATGTTAATGTTGTAGCACCGGGAAAAGGCTGAACCTAGCTGACTTGCCCGGCAAAGGAATGAGCCTGATTTCGCTACACCCTACCTCTATAACTATATCAACAAACAAGCCAAGAGTGTGCAAAGGTCGCGCAGTCTTGGATATCAATAGTAAGGAGGAGGCTAGAAGATATTTTACTCCAAACATGCGGTACTAATTCGAACTTGTATCTTAGCTTCAAAGATGCCCCATACGGTGTCCCAGGAAACAGTGACGCCGGAGCAATGAACTCATGGCTCCTATGGCAGATGCTCGGAATTTACCCAGTCGTCACGCAGCCCGTGTACTTGATATCGTCTCCATGGTTCCCCGACCTCAACATGACGATTAATGGAAATCAGACCCTACGGATCACCGCGACAGGATTAGATCAGGGGTACTATGTGCAAAGCGTGAAAATAAATGGCCAGCCCTGGCAGAAGAATTGGTTCGAGCACGAAGATCTCATGGAACAAGGTGGGAGCATTGAGTTCGAACTTGGCCCCGAGATGAAGGCTTGGGAGACGGGCAGCGTACCTCCTTCGCCGGGACACACGACGGTGTGAAAAAGTGAAGAGACCTCCTCGAGTGCTAAATTTAGATATAATATCTATAAGGAGAATGCCGGTGCCAATCTAAGGCACAAGGTAATCTAACAATAAATATATGAGAGGAGACTACCAATAGTACGATGGGATGGTCGGATCGCCCTAATTCTGTAAGGATTTCGCATTGATAATCTGAAAGCCATTGGCTGATGCTCCCTTTATAATTGATTGATTTCTAGGATTCGATAACATATCCGTCCTAATTATGTAGGCCTTGGTTAATTTATCGACACTAGCTTCGTTTTATTCGCGTATTCTCTAAACAGTTTTTCAGTGAGCGAGCACTGTGGGACTGGACGTTTATCGATGGAACACTCGATTGACGTAGTGATTAACAATAAGCTTAAGCCAACACGAAGTCAATCAATCAGTGATCAGATTTCGCCGATCGTCCCTTGTCGAAGGATTCGCGAGCCTTGTTTGCCGAGATTGCGTCACTCCCGCGACTATCCAACATCTGACAATTCGGTGGCATCGGGGCAATGTCCATTGTGCCCGCAAGGCTGTCAAAAGACGACGACAAAGTAACTGAGGGATATTGTAATCAGAACGTGGGGCAGTCGCATATTCTGTAAAAAATTTCCCGGGTTGCAATCAAGAATACGGACTCATTCCTACTCCGATTTGCATCAAACGGCACATGGAGACGGGAGCGCCATCACACCGATGGCATGCCTACTGCATGTGAATGAAAGATAAAAAAGAGCTAAGACGGCCCATTGAGTCCTCTGATTGGAGGGGAGTCACTGATCAGAAGTTCATGGCCTTGCTTTAGACGATGGAGATCGTCGTGGGATCTGTGACCTAGTAAGACGTTTGATTGACGTCAGTGGGTGAAAAGTCCGCACGTTGAAGATGCTATGTGGAAGGTTCATATAACTTGAGTAATTTTCCCTCAATGGCTATTGCTGTTGTCAGGCCTGTCAGACTCCATAATCGAAATAGAACAAACTTGCTATCGGTCCACCATTATGGTAAGTCGCGAATGAAGCCCATGGAACCTCCCCATATCGGCCCGAACCAGGAACCGTGGATAATCCCAGCCTCTGATTATTCAATACCAATAATATTCGTCCATGCTAACCTTTTCACTTAGGCTCCAACCTTGAATATACTCCAGGCCCGTCAAAGCTCGTCTGATAACTGTCCGGATAGCATTTCGGGTGGGGGTATTGCTGGAATCGTTATTGGGTCAATCGCGGGCACGCTATTGCTTCTCTGGCTCTGGAGAATGTGTTCATTGCCCGGAGCCCAGGGTGGCGGAGACCCCGATTATGGTTATAGCAGCTATGGTGGTGGAGGAACCGAGACTCGCCACCGACATCGACGTCGACGAAGTCCAACGTACTATGAGTATGTGGAGAAACCGAGCGTGAGGAGACCAGCGAAGGTTTACCTCAGCTGAGATGATATGGAGCACGTGGGATATATAAATATATTTATGGAAACAGTCAATGCCTTGGAATTCCTTTCTGGGTTTGGCTTGGATGTCAGGTGTCATGAGATGCCCGGATGCTGTCATTGAACGTATTGAACGAACGGTACGACGTCACGATTCAGGGAATACCTCCTCCTGCTCGACCTGTCAGGTCGGTATGGAGATAACGGAGATGCAAGTAACCACTACTACACGAGACTTTTATTATGAACGGACTTTACGTTTCAGTCTGAACCACACATGGGACGTGGTGTAACACCGTGCAAATATTGTATGACCTAAGGACATTTTTCTTTCTTCTTCTCAAGCACGACGCAAGGGATATTCACGAGAGCCTTACATATATAATAACATTGTTGACGTCGTCACAAATTGTTTCATATGCATGTACAGTACGGAGTACTTCGCTTTGTATGGGGATTGTATGTATGCAAGTATGTACAATACATGTATGTACACTTGAACAACTCCCGGTGCGTAGGTCCTTAATTAGAATTTTCGTCAAATTGCTAGTAAGTAGTATGGAATATGGCGTACACGCTCTTCTAATTATAAAATCGCCCGAGGACTTAAAATCTTTGCCGGGGCATTGCCACCGGAGCCACTCACCGCTGGAAAATTACAACAAAGGTGCCTATGGCATGGCATTACTATTCAATTTGAGAGGCCAAGATAGATGGATCCTTTGTTGGCAACACCGAAGCTAGTTTCACTTACTGGATTCCACATCTTGCATTTTCATTTGCTGTGGTTCAGGGGGGGGTTTTAATTCGGAAGAGTATTTCGGGCAACTGTGGCACCGGGTTTTGTTCTCTAGAAATAATACCAAAAAAAAAAAAAAATTTAATTATGGATGATCTGCCTTTGTAGCCGTACCCCAAATTATTATGATCAAGCCGTATTCATCCCAAGTTCCCCCGCGTATCACATATATATGACAGAAACATCCTCCCCTTGATAAGGGGTCCCCTACTACTTTACTAGTAATCGTAGCATCCCATAGTGCGTTTCCGTGGGATTTTTTCCAGATCAAGTTTCAAGGGCCTTATCAGAACCCCTGCAGAATTTGTATGATTGGCGGTGATAGCCCCAGATTTGTTTGACCTTTTAAGGGCCGGCGTAGTGCTAGTTCGGATCCGGTTAGGGTGAGGGACAGGGACCCTAAGCTACTTACCATATCAGGCTAGCCGACCAGTTGAACTAGCCACCCTCGGCATTAGTGTGCGCATCCAAGACCGATAGATTCCCAGGTTTGGACTGCTCAAACTTACCCCTTAAACAACTGGAACCACCAAATTAGTGGTATTGCTGCAGATGGAAAGAGAAAAGGAAAAAAATGGATACAGAACACAGCTTGGCCAGTGCCGACCACAGAAAAAGAAAATGGCAAGACGCTAACAATAATTACCCGGTTTTAATTAAAGCAATGGAAATCGCCGCCATGGTTGTTCTGTCAACCTTCCTCCTGTCGTTCCCCTCTTAATCCCACCGTTCGTCGTTCACTTTCTATTCCTTCCTCCGGGTGGGCATCAATTCCTCGTGCGACGTGATCGCACATCCAATCCTTATTTCGGATATTGTCACTCTTTTATATTGGGCTGTTGGTTAGGGAGAACCGATTGTTCGTCACATTACCGACCCCCCCCCCTTTCCCTCCTTATCTGAGCCGAAACAACTCATCGACTTGAATCCGGGGTTTAGCTTTTGCGTGTTCCACTCTGTTTTATATATCATCCACCACCATCACTTCGAGGAACGGGAGGGGTTTCCGAGTCTAATTGTACCTTTCCACCATGTCGCTCTTCAATGTACTGGCCTTGTTGATGGCCTTCGTCTGCTCGGTGACCGCTCAGACATGGACCGACTGTAACCCTCTCAACACAACCTGTCCCCCAGCGCCCGCTCTGGGTACCAATCACTCTTGGGTCTTCAATGAGACAATGGATGACAAGATTTGGTCGGTTACGAACGGCCAGATTGACTGGAAAGACTCCGGCGCGGAATTTTCCATCAAAAAGAAATTAGACTCCCCGACGCTGCAGTCGACATTCTTTATCTTCTTCGGTATCGTCGAGTCCCACGTCAAGATGGCGAAGGGCGGCGGTATTGTCAGCAGTGTGGTGCTTCAGTCGGCCGATCTAGACGAGATCGACTGGGAGTGGGTCGGCTACAATACCTCTGAGGTCCAATCTAACTACTTCGGTAAAGGGAACGACACCTCGTTCAGCCGTGGTGGCTTCCACTATGTGGAGAACGCTGATACAGAATTCCACAACTACACCACCTACTGGACTCAGGAGAAGCTCGAGTGGTGGATCGACGGCAATCTGGTCCGCACGCTGAAGCCCGAAGATGCCCTGGACGGCAAGAACTACCCACAAACACCTAGCAACATTCGTTTCGGTATCTGGCCTGCCGGTGATCCAAAGAACGCGCAGGGAACGATTGAATGGGCTGGCGGTGAGGTCGATTATGACGCCGGCCCCTACACCATGGTTGTTAAGAACGTGCGCGTGCATGACTTCCACTCTGGAAAAGAGTACAATTACACAGACCACTCTGGTTCCTGGGAAAGCATTAAGGTTGTCGAGTAAGTCATTTCCCTGGATTTGAGACTCGTAAGCTGCATCTATGACGTGGTACTGACATTGAAATTAGGGGTAATTCTACCACTGTGGACGAACTGAACAAAGAGCCAGAGAAGTCTCTGGCGGAGAAGTGGGCAGACCTACCAACTGCGGCTCACGTTGGTGTTTACTGCGGTGCCGCAGTTGCCGGAGTTCTTCTTATTGCCGGTGCAGCAATTTACTTCATCAGGCAGCGCAAGAAGGGACGTCTCGAATACGCCCTTGACGACGCCAAGTGGAACACTGAACGAAATGACATGAACAATCTGCAAACCACGTGGAAAGCAAGCGAATGGGGAAACAAAGGTTACCAACCAGTGAACTAGCCAAAATTTCGTCAGAGATACCTAGGGATACGACAACGCTATCCCTGCGTTGATGATGAAAACGAAACAAAGAATGCTGTTCGGATGTCTTCTGCCACGCCACCTGCACAAGGATCTGCTATGCTGCCTCCTTATGCACGTGGCAGCGGAGGTCGAGCGAAAGGATCTCGCGCCAGCTTTGCTGGCCAAAGTTGCGTGGGTTGGTTTTCAATCTCGGGGTTTTGGCGTCGTTTTGGTAGAGCGTATTGGGCTCATGATTTGCCTCACAATCCTCTTCCCTATTCTTCCAATTCATGTCTATATATATATACCATTCACTGACTTTTTGTATTGTGTTTGCAACCGGACACTTCATTTGATTGTATATACGAAACTGCATTGTATATCCAATTACGCAGCCTCCTCTACTTTTCCCACTAGATGGTGTATGGCATACATAGCCAGGCTTTCAGGCTTGCCGCCTAGCATATCCCATATGTTTCTCTTTCATAACCACATCTTGTTTTGCTTACCTAGGGTTGATAGGGGTTGTTCGAATGCAAGAAGGATCGAGCTTGGCCAAAGCACTCTCAATTCGCCTTACGAATTAACGAGGAGCATCATCGCCTGTACATAGCATTGAACTCAGGGATTGGAGATGTTCTTTCGTACGTCTACTAGAGTTCTAGGAGGGAAGACGACCTAGTTACTGATCCAAGGGCGGGACAAAGAGCTCCTGTGCATGAGCTGATCTGAACGTATAGCCAGCGGTCTACAGCCATTTCTTCTCATCCGAACCCAAGGGCTTTGGCATGATATCCCATCCAACCTCAACCCCTTGAATCGAGGCGGAATGACGCACAGCGGTCATTTCACCAAAGCCTGTTGGCCTTGTCTCCAGATATTCCGGGGGCACATCGGCAGTGCATGTATAGTCCTGTGACTGAAAACCATCTCTACCGGTAAATTGTCCAAGCGACCGCAGATATTTCATTACTCCAGCAAGGGAAACGTTGACCTCCCATGAACCACCTTCTGTAGCCTGCTTATACAGAGCAGCTTGAACACCTGACGCGAGAAAGTAACCTGCTGCATGGTCTAACGCTTGGCATGGCATGGGTCGAGCAGGCTCCCCAGCACCGTAATGTTCCGCTTCGGACACATTCATGCCGGAGCATGTTTGGACCAGTGAGTCAAAACCACGCTTGTCTGACCATGGCCCAGAAGGCCCATAGGCAGAGAGATTGGCACAGATAATACCGCGATGCGAGAACCGTTGAGCAAGTACTTCAGACGAGAGACCACGGGAAGCCAGACTACCAGGTCGATACCCTTGAATGACGACGTGAGCGTCCTCAAGGAGCCGGTTGAGATCCTCACGACCCTCTTCTGTCAGTAAATCAAGCTGCACTGTCCTTTTCCCACGACCGAGATCACGATCCAAGACCGGGAGGTCGGGAAGATTTGGACTCGTCACCCAGAGAACGTCTGCACCGTGGGCAGCCAATGTTCTCCCAGATAACGGCGCAGCTATCACCCGAGAGAACTCCAAGACTCGAAGTCCGCGGAGAGATTTGTCAGCATTTGCTGCACGCATCTCCTGGGGAAGACCAACAGGTGCATCCCCGATCTTCCGAAGGAGAATAGGAAAGTCGGCAATGGCGCGTGCCTGCGGGAGGATGTCCCATTCTGAGTAGCTGCGAAGAGCAGAGATCACCCCATTAGCCTTAAACGCAGCAGATTCTAGGTCCACTGAGCGCCACGACGCAATTTTGGAAGCAAACTCAGCGCGATCGACATCCGGTGAGCATCCTACAAGGGCCGTTGCACCGTTATGATGGTTGGTAAAGGAATCGTGCACTCGCACATATCCATCTAAGGATTTGTGCAGTCCACTCAGAGGACCCCATGTGTCAGGTAAAGACTGACCAGGGAAGGAATAAAGCCTCTCCGACTTAAACTCGATCACGGCATGCTGCCGAGGGACTGTTACCATTGGAGGTGATATGGAATTGCGAAGAGCATGGATTTGAGCTGCAAGCAATGCGGACAGACTAATTGTTGCTTGAGCAAGATCTGCTATCTTAAACGATGAGGGAAGGCCTAGCTCATTCCCATCAATATGGAGAGACTGGAGAGACTCCTCAGGAAGGCCCAGGCCTTTCCAGACGTACTCTACCGTGTCCTTCGCGGTAAAGGCGGTCCTGTCGATAGTAGCCGATTGAATCGAGTAATTGGCCGAAGCACCACTGAGGGTGCTATTGGATGTCATGGTGCTCAGTTTTGCCGGCGTTCTGGTTAGGTACCTGAATGAATGGAGTACACGATTCATTAGAAAAATAGAATATTGTGAGAAATGAGAAAAATGCGCGTATCGTCAAGTCACGTTGCCTGAAGGGCTAGTCACATGCTTCGTCAATATTTATTACTCGTGATACTTCGACCCATCCAATATATTTATACGATAGTTGTCCGGAAGAGCGGCACAACTCCATGACTCAAATTACTGCCTGGTTCTCACCTCGGCATTGAGCGAAAGTGGCCGAGCGCTGGTGGGAATAAAGATACAATTCGACGCTATCACCGCTCGGCTATTTCTTATCAGCGCCGAGCATAGTCTCCGAATTCCACTGCTTGTCAGTAGGCACATCAAACAGGAAACAACTACTAAATAAAAAGACCACATAGGCATAACTTACTGTCTGGTTACTAACGAACATGATGCCTTAGTTCCCTTCATCAAACACGGTATACTGTGCTATATAAAAACTTCATTGGCTTCTCAAGACCTACACAAAATAATCAATTTCCAGGCCGTCTCTCTGAAAACCGCGCAGTATCTTGTCGCGCATGACTGGCGGAGCAACGGTCGGTCTTCCAATAGATGAAAGACCGCTTATAGACACGAAAATGGCGGAGTATCTTGGTTCCGCTCGTCATGTATCAAGCCGACTATTTTCTGTGAGGATGACAATGGATTCAACGGTGAAACACATCTGATCCTCAACCACGACGCCACGTGTGATGCGGTGAACATCATTCATAATTGCTGCAAAAGATAGCTGTAAGACGCAGGTACATATATGGCCCAGACAGCAAACCTCTGGCAAGAACCGGCGCGAAACATATCCGGGCACCGGTGAGATGTGATGCTGCGGCGCTTGTACAACTGATGACGCCCCTTTTCCTGTTCTTGCAGCCAATATACTTTGGACCAGCCTTTTTATATGCTGATGGTGCTTATAGTTAGCGTCACACAATTATCTAGAGCATAGAAAGTAAAGCAAAAACCATCCCTGGTCGGCACTGTACCTTGTCCACGGTAAGGTTGAGAAACCCCTATCTTGTGGGTGGTTCGGCTATCAATGGTTGATTCCTAGAGAGGATTGTAAGACATCATTCTCAGTGCTTGACAGGATTGCTTATGCCTTAATATCTCAAACCTTGCCTATTCTCCCTGATAGATACTGATTGCCTTTCAACCCCTTCCCCTGGTTTGACAAGGACTCCTATACAAGCAGCTCCACATGCGAAGCTGAGAGAAATACATTTAGTTAGCTGTCACCGATTTTTCGTCTCGAGATACTGAAGAACGACCTAATATCGGTTTAGCTCGCTATGGAGGTTACAAAATCCATCCCAATTCCAGAGCCCAAGGGCCTTCCTCTGTTGGGAAATATTCTGGATGTTGATTCAGAAGCACCGGAGAAAAGCTTCCAACGACTGGCGGAAACCTATGGTATATCTTATCAAGCACACATTCTACTGCTTTGGTTGCCGTAGCTCTGTTCTATCGCATCATACCAAGTATATCTTTTTAGCACCGCTAATGGTACGTGCTATAAGGCCCGATCTTTAGGCTGAACCTCGCCGGAGCGTCAAGAGTGTTCATAAGCACTCACGAGCTCGTCGATGAAATTTGTGATGAGGAACGATTCACAAAGGTTGTGACCGCTGGATTGAGAGAAATTCGAAACGGCGTTCAAGATGGTCTGTTTACTGCGGATTATCCTGGAGAGGATAACTGGGCGATCGCGCATCGCGTCCTGGTTCCAGCTTTCGGGCCTTTGATGATTCGAGCCATGTATGAAGGTGTGTTATTCATTGCGTCAGACACCACATGCTGACTGGAAGCGTGCCAATATAGATATGTACGATATTGCAAGCCAGCTTGCTTTGAAGTGGGCACGGCAGGGGTCTTCTGCTACTATAATGGCCAATGATGACTTTACTCGCCTGACGCTGGACACTATCGCGCTCTGTTCCATGGGAACTAGGTTCAATTCTTTTTACAGCGAAGATTTACACCCTTTCATCAAGGCAGTGGCTACGTTGCTGCAAGGATCTTCCGATAGGACTTTCCGTCCGACACTTCTTAACAGCCTGCCTACGAGGGAAAATAAAAAATACTGGAGTGATATCGGTCTTCTACGAACACTGTCTCAGGAGCTAGTTGATGCACGGAGAAATAGTCCATTAGACAAGAAGGACCTGCTCAATGCTCTCATCCTTGGTCAAGACCTTCAGACTGGCCAGCATCTCAGTGATGACTCGATCATCAACAATATGATAACATTCCTTGTGGCAGGTAGGGAAGTATGCGCAGGTTTGTTATCCTTATGACTGACCGTTTACATAGGTCATGAGACAACATCTGCCACGCTGACATTCCTTTTCTATTATCTGCTTAAAACCCCGCATGCATACCAAAGAGCACAGGAAGAAGTCGATGCGGTAGTCGGCCAACGGAAGATTACAGTGGAAGATCTGTCAAAGTTGTCCTACATTGCAGCCTCACTGAGAGAGACACTGCGGCTCCAGGCTCCAGTTCCTTTAATCGCTTTTCATCCACACCCTACTAAGAATTATGAAGATCCCGTAACTTTAGGGAAGGGTAAGTATGCTTTAAACAAGGGTGAGCCTGTGGTTCTTATCATGAGAAAGGTGCATCGGGACCCGAAGGTCTATGGTGATGATGCAGAGGAGTTTAAGCCAGAGAGAATGCTGGATGAAAAATTTGAAGAACTCCCTAGGAATGCCTGGAAGCCATTTGGGAACGGTATAAGAGGATGCATCGGCCGGCCATTTGCTTGGCAAGAGATGTTGCTCGTGGTGGCCATGTTACTGCAGAGTTTCAATTTTGATATGGAGAATCTCAGCTACGATCTTCGAATCAAGCAGTCACTATCAATAAAGCCTGACGGCTTCCACATGAAGGCCACGCTTCGAAGAGGTCTAGATGCGGCCAAACTAGCGAACTTCTTGAACAGCGGCGGTGATCTTTCTGATGCTCCTCAGATACTCAACGGGGAGAATCAACCTAACACAGATTTGCGATCTCACATGAAGCCTATGCATATATTCTTTGGCAGTAATACGGGTACCTGTGAGGCCCTGGCTCGGAGGCTAGCTAAGGACTCTATGGGATACGGGTTTGTGGCCAAGGTCGAAAGTCTGAACTCAGCCATGGAGAATATTCCCACAGATAACCCTGTCATCTTCATTACCGCATCGTACGAAGGACAGCCGCCTGATAACGCCACCCATTTCTTCGAATGGCTGAACGGGCTAAGGAAAGCTGAGCTGGACGGAGTCACTTATGCTGTATTTGGATGTGGGCATCGTGAGCTACCCTTCTCCGCTTGACGACTCCCACTTAGTTGCCCTTACCTGTATATTTGCTAATGTGCTGAGAATATCAGACGACTGGTCTGCCACGTTTCTTCGCATACCAAAAGCTACCAATGATCTTGTAAATAAGCACGGTGGAGTCCGCTTATGCGACATGGGCGTGGCTGATGCAGCCAATTCAGACATGTTCTCCGATTTTGATACTTGGAGCGAGTTCACTCTCTGGCCGGCAATCAATTCGAAATTTGGCCGTGTATTCCCAGATGGAGACGTACAATCCAAGCCTGCCTTGCAGGTTGACATTAGTTCGAGTATGCGAGCTTCTACTTTGGGCCTTCAGTTGCAGGAAGGGTACGTGCTTGAAAACAGACTGCTCACAACACCTGACGTCCCAGCCAAGAGAATGCTGCGATTCAAACTACCACCCGATACGACCTATCAATGTGGAGACTATCTCATTGTACTACCCGTAAACTCAACTCAAGTTGTCCGCCGCGCAATCCGCCGCTTTAACATATCATGGGACTCCATGCTTACCGTCTGGAAGCCATCGCATGCTTCAGATGGCATCACGAACATGCCCTTCGAGACGCCCCTCTCCGCCTTCGAGCTCTTTTCAACATACGTAGAGCTATCCCAGCCAGTATCCAAACGAGACTTGATCACCCTCGCAGAGGCAGCTACCCAAGATACAGACGCCCAAGCAGAATTACAGTCACTCGCCTCCAGCTCTAACCGCTTCACCGAAGAAGTCATCCACAATCGACTAAGCCCCCTCGACATCCTCATACGCTACCCCTCCATCAATATACCACTGAGCACTTTCCTCGCAATGTTGCCTCCCATGCGAGTCCGCCAATACTCAATCTCATCATCCCCACTAGCTAACCCATCAGAATGCTCCATCACATTCTCAGTGCTAAACTCATCCCACCTACCCACGGAGAACAAACGATTCGTAGTAGTCGCGTCAACATACCTCTCCGAACTCCAACCAGGAGACCGCGCCCAGATCTCCATCCGCGCCTCAAACAACAAAGGCTTCAAACCTCCCTTAAAAGAAGAAACATCGATGATAATGGCATGCGCAGGAAGCGGTCTAGCCCCCTTCCGCGGCTTCATCATGGATCGCACGGAAAAGATCCGCAGACGACGCACCGAAGTACTTCTCGACGATGACCATCCCGAGATAGGAAAACCAGCGAAAGCTATACTATACATTGGCTGCCGCACCAAGGGCAAGGATGATATCCACGCGTGCGAGCTAGACGAATGGAGTCGTCAGGGAGCTGTCGACGTGCGATGGGCATATAGTCGGCCGACTGATGGATCGCCAGGACGTCATGTTCTGGATCTGATGTTTGAAGATCGTAACGAGCTACTTGACTTGATTGATCAGGGAGCACGGATCTATGTGTGCGGCGGAATGAGTGTCGGTCATGGGATTCGCCAGATATTCAAGGATATTTTTATTGAGAGACGGCGTGAGGCACTGGAGAGTGGTTCCGATGGGGATGAGGACGTGGCTGCTGAGGAGTATTTAGATCGTTTGAAGACTGAAGAGAGATATGCTACGGATGTGTTTACGTAGATTAGTGTCATGTCCTGGACGGATAGTTATATGTCTAGAGCATGGTCAAATTGATATAGAGTGGATGTTGGACTTCTTAGTTGGACTCAATGGAAGTTGTTGTTTCTGGGTATTGGATTCGAGATTGAAGCTCCCTTTTGTGCTATTCCCCTCTCTGCTTCGTCTGTAGAGGGCATTTCACCATCTTCAGGAGTACGGATAGCTTACAAGTACGTTATACCCCTGCATATCAGAGATTACATCAATCACTATCCCATACAACAGACATACTCTACATTCCCCCCCCCCCCCCACACACACAAGAGACATACAACCCATCAACCACATATTCATTGCAACAACTACATACAATACACACATCTACCCCACAATCCCATTCACGTTCAAACCCACCCCAATCTCAGCACAGACGCACACTCTCTCTCACCCACTCAGAGAGAAAAAGAGAAATCACTTAAGCAAAGAAAGGAAACGCCCCACCACTAGGGGCAGGGAAACCCCCAGACGGAGTGGGACGAGGACCACCAGAAGGCTGAGGGAAGCCCGAAGGCAGGGTTCCAGTAGGCTTAGGGCCGTGACCACCCTTGCCATGATGACCGCTACCCTTACCCTTACCGCCATGGTGGCCTTCACCGTGATGACCGCCGGGGAAACCACTGGGAGCGGCACCAGAAGGAACCGGACCGCCGCTGGGAATAGGGAAGCCAGCACCGCCGGATGGAGCAGGGAAGTCGGGCTCGCCGCTAGGTGCGGAGTCGGGGCCTCCGGAGGGGGTGGGAATGGATGACTCGTCGTCGTCGTCACCCTCGCCCTCCTTGTCGGTGTCCTGATTTTGTTGCTTTTGGAAGCCGCCAAAGGGAGAGCCGTTGGAAGGTGAGCCCGAGGGAATGGGGAAGCCGGAGGGGATACCGGATGGAATGCCGGAAGGGATGCCAGAGGGAACACCGGAGGGAACGGGGAAGCCGCTAGGGTCGGGGAAGGGGAAACCTTCGCCTTTGTCCCGCTTGTCGAATGACTGGCCGGGGAATCCTGCACCGCCGGAGGGGGCAGGGAAGTCGGGCTGGCCGCTGGGAGCGGGGAAACCAGGCTGGCCGCTGGGGCCAGGGAAGCCAGCGCCGCCGGAAGGAGTAGGGAAACCGGAGGGGAATGTACCGCTAGGACCAGGGAAGGGAAAGCTACCCTCGCCGCCCTCCTGGGGCTGGCCGTCGGACGGAATGCCGGATGGGATGGGGAAGCCGGATGGCAAGTTAGGGAGAGACTGACGGTTGCCGCCCTCGATGTGCTTGGGCAGGGCCAGGGCACAGCCCACGAGGCCAAGAGCAGCAGCGTTGGAGAACTTCATTTTGGATAGTAGTTGAGGAGAGAAAGTAATTAAAGTATAAGATAGATTTTTAAAAGGAGTGCGTTTTAAGGAATGCCAGATTCACTTAACGAAAGCTGATGAGGTTGGTCTTGAAGAGCAGGTCGAAATCCATGGGAGAGTGGAAGGGCTTTATAGACTTCGACCACCGAGGGTGTATTAAAGCGCCGATAAGTTAAAGGAGCTGATGAAGAGTGGTTAGCCAGGAGCACCTCATCAACGTTGAAGGTAGATCCCAAGCTTGGACTACAGGGGTTCGCTTCCAGGCACGCCAAACCTAATATTGAGAGGTGGAACATCCGTGGGACCTTATCAGAATCAGGTTGAGTCCTGTGTATCATTCCCCGAATGGGACTTCTTCTCCACGGCCTAGGGGGCGTTCGGGTAAAGTTGCCTGTAGCCCTAAGAGTGTAGTCGGACTGCATTGGTCGTCTTGCGTACAAGTGCCGGTATTCCAGTCGATGTTGGAATAAGATCCAAGAATACGTCCACAGGGTCCAACTTGAGTATACCCTGCGTATACCCTGAGTGTACCCTGAAAACAAGGGTCTTGGATCCGGGGGTAATGATAAAATCGCACACCATCCTGCCCAAATCGACATCTAATTGTCCGACTCATGACGTGATCTTTCGAGCCATCCGGAAGCATTGAGAGCCATGCTGCTAACACTGGGCCAGCCAACCCTAAACTTACAGCATTTCCTCTCATGGAATTCGAGACGGAGATCGTTGTGTCCATGAAGAGTAGACCCACCGAGCGACAATTGACAACCAATGACATTGACAACCCATTGGACTGCTGGCTTAGATCAACATTCTAATCCACCACGAGGCCTAGCGATCCATCAAATTAGCCCTATTGGTGCAACCAACCTAAACTTAAGACGACCTCTGTTTGAGCCCCTGGAAAGGGGCGTGGGACAGCACAAGCGCCAGCATATCCCGAAATCATCTTCGTCGAGTCCACGTCAGACCATGTGGTGCGAAGTCGGCATAGAGAATTTCTTGGCGCTAGTAACCAAAGTTAATCCCAACTAAGAGTACGTAGTCCCGACGATCAACGGCTCCATCTCGAAGCAGCCACTGGACCAATGTGGCTGATGGCCCGACAGCAAGTCCCGGCTAAATCCTGGCCAGAGTGTGGACGAAAACCGACATGCTGGTTATGAAACGGGCTGTTCTGGCCTAGAAACGGTCGGGACTGGTTTCCGCGGCCGTTATTGGAGGGAGAAGGCGTGCATGGAGTCGGGAATTCCGAGTGATGGAAATAAGATGGCGTTAAGAGTCAGAAGTAGATTGGATGCAATTACATTGAGCGGAAACATCATGCACGGACGACTGCCTAAGCCTTGAGGCCGGAGCTGGGATCCCTCCAATAGCCCTGACTCAGTCTCCTGGTATGACATGTCGCTTCTAATGTCGGTACCGAGCTTAGTGACCTTGATTCGGCACATATAGCCTTGTGGGTCTTCTGGATAACCGGTTCTAACAGGGATGTGCTACCCAGGCAGATGGACCTCTCTTAAGTCCCCAATTATTGCCTCTCTGCCACCGAAAATTATACCCTCTGCTTCGTAGTGTGTTTCTAGATCTTCAGTATATACGTGATATAGTAGTAAAACATTTCACAGAGTATGCGGCACAAAACGTCTCAACCTCCGTAAGCACCATCACATCCGCACAGTTGAGTGTAAGAACACAGTCGTCATCAGCTATATGTCTCCACTCTTAGCTCAACAATGAAACATTCGAAGTGAATTGGCTTCCCGTCACCCTCTAGGCGAAGTGTCCATCTTCATGTGAACGCTAAGTTAGCATCAATTTTATGCTAACTTCTTATCAGATCCGCTCCAGCCTCCGCCAAGCCTCTGGAGTCTCATTCTAAATGGCAAGTACCAACAAGCAAGGCAATGGGTTAGCCTAATTTCGGGACTCAAGGACTGGGCTATTGGATCTAAAGTGGACGGACCAATGCTGAAGTAATGGCCGTTTCGGATTTATTGCAGAGAAGAGTAAGGATCGTCGAAGAGAGCTGATCGTATAGGTGGAACGCTGAAGTTTAAGGGCGTTTAGCACGAATTTAGAGTCATGCACGGGGAATAGGTACTCTCCCTCGCTAATTTGGTCTGACACGCCGGTTCTCTCCGACGGCAGTTGGCGTGCTTGCCAGCTGGTGTGGAGTCAAATATCAAATAAGCATATGCAAGGTAGAGTTTTCCAGTCACAAAGTATATATGAATATCGGGATATCGAATCAACCATCACTTCAGGGAGTATTTCGACACTTCTAACTAGAGATGATGTGAGTCCCATATGTGGAACTCGTCGTTTTCTCCGAAAGGAGTATGGCTCCGAGTGGGATAGTCAGGTAACGAAGGTCAAAGACTGGCCTGGAGGCTAGTCTGCTAGTGTGGGTTAGAATTGCAGATCAATAAACCGAATAAGGCTCTGGTCTGATATCATTTCCATGACAGACCGCAGAGCAGTATCGGCTTGAGCAATATGTCACCATCAAGCAACACATCTTGTAAGGTAGTACATTGCAGACAAGCTTTGATGGAGCTCGGTACAGTGAAGCATTAAAAATAGAATTGGTACCACACCTAGCTGCAACACCATTGTGTTAGTATGGGATTCAACCGGTCACTTTCCTCCGCTGCACTGTAAAAGCTCGGGCCAGCTATTCCACCCGAAGCGCAGCAGAATCTGAGATAGATTGAAGATTACGCGGCTTATGGAACACGCCACAAACACTGGATTGTTTTAAGTAATCTACCTTCCGTCACAGGACTCACTGTGTCACTTACTGAGAGGTCTGTATCACAGGCGGAGATTGCTACAAACAACTCGCAAATGGAACACCACTGTCTGCCGCCACCTTAGGGACCTGTGTCTTGCGCTGCGTTCATTGGAGCAAAATAAAATTGGCATTGTGAAAACACAATCGGCTGGACGATCCTGATATTAGCCGGATCTGTAGCACCTTATTTTCCTTTTTTCCATTTACCAGATGTGTTATGTAGGCAAATAATACTTCCTGTGATGAGGTTTTTAGTAGCTTTTTGATGAAGGTAGAAGTCAACTGTGGGCGTCAATGTACGCTGTGACATCCAGTTCACTGTAGACACCCTCAATAAGCCAGTGCTCGAAAAATATATCAGCAGAGACACTGAACGAAGTCTATTCCTGACTCACTGTGTAGCGTGGATTGCCCTTTGTTAGCTTCTGGCGAATGTACTAGGGCGTATGGTATAGCCATCGGATTAGCTGGTTTCTTTGAAGCGGACACCGGCAAGGTGAAGCTTTGAATTGTTTTTCTTGATAAAGCAAATTAGGAAAATCCTTCTCAATTATTAATCCTCGATGGTCTAACGGTCATGATTTCCGCTTGTCATTCTGATATCAGAAACAAGCGCGGGAGACCTGGGTTCGACTCCCAGTCGGGGAGAATCTTTTTGTCACTTGCCAAAACTTTCTGGTCGCTATATTCTTCATTTGTCGAGCCTATGTATATAATGCACGTCGTTTTTTTTTTTTATTGTTAGTAGATAGTTCCTCTTGTACTGCGCTCAATAGTGCTGTATTATGCTAGTCTGAGCCTGTGGCGAATTTATATATAATTTCACACCCCTCCATGCTGAATGCAACCAAAAAAAATCATGAACAGACAGTCCTACTGTACATACAACAAAAGGACGATGCCCTCGATCAGGATGCTATTGAACTCATATCCATCATCGTTATTGTCGCCTTATACCCGGGGTGACCTTTACCCTGTCAGGACTATAGGAAGTCAGTGGACTGCACTGATTTAAACTATGTGAATATTTGAAATTATGGCGTAACATCATTTCATATGTCGAGGTATCTAGCCTTTTCGATTTAATCAAACTTTTACAATGCAAAATGAGAATCGTATGTTTAAAACCGCAAGTCCCATCCAATCTGAGGCCCGATCGTGGGCAATCCATCAGCCACGCTCTGCACGTCTTTATCTCCGCGACCACTCAAGCATAAGACGAGGTCTTTGCCAGGTCCCAGCTTCTTGGCTGTCTGAATGGCACCCCACACGGCGTGGGATGTTTCCAACGCAGGAATAATGCCTTCCAACTGACTCAGCAGGCGGAAGCCCTCAAAGGCCTGAGCATCGGTGGCCGACAGGAACGTTGCCCGCTTACTTTCCTTCCAGTGGGCCAGTTCGGGTCCAACTCCGGGGTAATCTAGCCCGGCAGAGATGGAATGGGTATCGGAGATCTGGCCGTGCTCGTCCTGCAGGATATATGTGCGAACGCCATGCAGCACCCCTACAGAACCACCAGTCAACGTAGCGGAGTGTCGGTCCGTGTCTAGCCCATCGCCGGCGGCTTCCACACCAACCAGCTGGACGGAGAGATCCTTGGAAAAGGGGTAGAACATGCCCACAGAGTTAGATCCTCCACCAACACAGGCAACAACGGCATCCGGACTCTTGCCCAGCTCTTGCATCTGCGCCTTCGTTTCATTACCAATAACACTCTGGAAGGTCCTGACCATAGTGGGGAAGGGATGGGGCCCGATGGCAGACCCGATGATATAGTGGGTGGTGTCCAGACGGACAATCCAGGCGCGGAAGGCTTCATTTACGGCATCACGGAGGGTACGCGACCCCGATTCGACGGGAATTACGGTGGCACCTAACAAGCGGATCCGGAACACATTCAAGGCTTGCCGACGGACATCCTCCGCACCCATGTAGATAGTACATTTCATGCCAAATTTGGCACACACGGTGGCAGTCGCGACACCATGTTGGCCGGCGCCCGTTTCAGCGATAATCTCTGTCTTACCCAACCGACGAGCGATTAGGATCTGACCCAGGGCGTTATTGATTTTGTGAGATCCAGTATGGTTGAGGTCCTCCCGTTTCAGCCAGATGTTTGCACCGCCGACGTGCTCGGTCAAGCGTGTCGCTTGGTGAAGGCTCGACGGACGGCCCATGTACGGATAGTACGACCGATATTCCTCCCAGAAGGTCGGGTCATCGAGAGCTGCCTGGAAACCGGCCTCGAGTTCGGCGAGACATGTTGTCAGGGCCTCGGGAGCGTATTGACCACCGAAAATACCGAACCGTCCTGGTCCATCGGTCACCGCCGCCTCTGCGTCATTGGTGGGAGCGACCGCCTTCGTTTCGGCTGTCCCAGGGATGGCATCAGCCGATGCGTCCGCAGTGACTTTCCTTTGTGTGATCTTTGAACAGTAGTCCTCGACTGCCTGCGCGGCCTTTCCGGCCGGGGCGTCAGCCAGAATGTTAATCACCTGACTACCAATGACCGCACCGTCGGCGATGGAGGTCACGCTGAGGAAATGATCGCGCGTGCTGATTCCAAATCCAACTGCCACGGGGACATTGCCGGAGAGTCCCTTGACGCGCTGGATGAGGGCGGGAAGCTCTGTGTTAAGGGTTCCCGTAGCGCCCGTGACGCCCATGCGGGAGACGAGATAAATGAAAGAATCAGCCATGCTGCAGAGAGCCTTCATGCGCTCCTCTGTAGTGGAAGGAGCGATCAATGGGACATAAGAGAGACTATCCATAGAGTCAATAAACTGTTACTTGAATTTTCCCTGTTCAAAGAAGGTATTGTCACATACCCCATCTTGGTACAGCCATTGCGGAAGCGAATTGCGTCTTCCGGCGGCAAATCAACAAGAATGAAGCCATTGACCCCGGCATCCTTGCAGTCAGCCAGGATTTGGGACTCCCCGTAGCGGAGAAGGGGGTTGTAGTAGCCCATGAAGAGGACGGGGGTCTTGAGCCCTTTCCGGCGGGCCTCTCGCACCATCTCCAACATGGAGGTAATAGTAACGCCATTTTTGAGGGCCTTCAGATTCGATTTCTGGATGGTGGGACCATCTGCAATAGGGTCGGTGAATGGGAGACCCAGTTCAATAATATCTGCGACATTTATCAGGATCGTCAATTCAAGGATGGAGCTAAAATGACTCACCGGCTCCTCCGGCCTGCATGCCCAGCATGATGTCCGGGGTTTCCTCCGCCGTGGGGAAACCGGCCGTCACATACGTGACCAGCGCTGGACGGCCTTCTTGTTGACATTGGGCAAAGGTTTGTTTGAGATGCTCCATGGTTGGATTGATTGTCTGGGGATGACAAAAATTGGAACACGAGGGGCGATACTTTTTATTGGGGACCAACTTGACTTAAGGTCTCCGATGAGTCAATGGGGTCCCCTTGCGGGACGGTCCATTAGTACTTTATCGGCCCGTCCATTTGGTCCCGCTGCGATATCGGGCTGGAACAAATGCAATTATGAGCCAAACACCAGTAAAAGATTTCGGCCAGTCAAAGATTCATACTGATCCTCGATTGAACCCGATCAACTGGGACCAGTATATTCTTCTCATAAATGGAATGACTACAGACGATATACCAATCTTGTGGCTTTGTCTTTAAGTAGACAACCCGGAAATCGTTATATCATTTACGCAGTGCCGGTAATATAGTAGCTAGTACTGAGCTCTATCAAAGCGTAAGCATTTAGACTAATCACTATCACTATCCTATTCTCATCCACAGTCCGTCAGGACGTAGCAGCCTTACTCTTAACAATGGCCCCATTTCCCGTGACTTGGACAGCCCTGAAAATGCCTTGTTTCTCTTAGTACACGGCTCGTCCCTATTGTTCGGCCCCCATCGGCTAGCACGCATTGATGGCACTGTTTTATGTGCAGAGGGCGAAAGCTCCAGAGTGATACTGGGATAAACTTCCCCGGTGGATAACAATCAAGTTCTTATTTTGATTGACCTATTCCAATGACGAAAAAAATAAGAACACGGGGTATTGAAGGAAGAGATATTCAGGTGGGTTGTACTGAGGCACTACTATAGTAAACTATACTTGACCTGACAGTACAGTAAGACACCAGTCCAACTAGGCCGAAGAATAACCAGGCGCAGGCTTATTGTTTCTGGGGTTTAAAAATACAATACCGTACTAATATCAGTTCCAATCCATCTCATCAAACGCGAACAACATCCTGACACCATCTGTACATCAAGCACAACCAACCAATGGCCCAATGCTGCACTTCATCAAACACCGAGTCCAGCGCATTTGGAGAAGGCCCGCAACCCTCGCCTTCACCTTCGCCACCGTCTTCATCATCGTTCCTTTATTCCTCTACCATCTCCTCGCCTACTATCTCGCCAACGACCCGCGTCTCGTCCCCGGCGCATTCCGCACCGCCAACAATATCCTTTTGGTCACAGCGCATCCAGACGACGAAACCCTCTTCTTCAGCCCAAGTATTCTCTATCGCAGTGACGATGCGACCGTGACTCGGGCTTTGTTGGTGCTTTCGTCCGGTTTGTATTCATTTTCTTCATTTTGATACTTACTATAGTCCCTACTCATCCATACATCTAGAAACATAGAACCAACTAACAAGCAACAAAACTAGGCAACTACGAAGGCATCGGTGACATTCGTCACGCCGAACTCCTACGCAGTTGCGCCGAACTGGGTATTAAGCCAGCGCGATGCGTGAACCTTGATCACTACGAGCTCCAGGATAATCCACAGAAATGGTGGAGGGAGGATCTAATCGAGGAGCTTGTGGGGCAGTACGTTGAGAAGTGGAATATTGATTTGGTAGGTCTATTTCATTACTTTTCTAGACCTAAAGGGTTTATCATAGTTCCAACTGATATTGAATAGATTATCACGTTCGATAATGGGGGTATATCTGGCCACGTGAATCATCGGGCGGTTAGTGCTGGTGTTAGGTTTGTTCTTCTTCTTTATCTTTTCTTTCCCCCTTCTACTTTGGTGATCTGGGTGATACAATATCATGGGTTTTCTATCGCAAAGAAAAGTATAATCGAACTAACTGTGGTCTAGTAAATATACATCCAAAAACCCACAAAGTCCACCGGCATATGCACTGCAGACCAAATTGCTACTACGGAAGTATGCCGGTCTAGCTGATTTGATTCCGACATCGATGTCCTTTTCAGGACGCATTCTGCGGGCGCTTGTATCGGCCCCACCGGAATATGAGGGAGTTAAAGTCAAAGTTGGGAATGGGAAGAGTGGTAAGATGCAGGATCCTTATGAGGATAAGGCGCTGTTGGTCAGTGACTGGCGGACGTATTTCCAGGCGCGAAGGGCGTTTAGTCAACATGGGAGTCAGTATTCTTTTGATCGGGTGTTTTACTTGGTCATCAGTCGGTATATGTGGGTTAATGATTTGAGGAGGTTAGTCTAAGTAGAATATGGGGTGGAGTGTCGGATATTCTTTGAATTGAGTATAAATGCTGTATGCTCCTCCAATATGGTCAGTATTTGGAGCTTTTAGAATATGGATGAGGCGGTGGGATCTTCACCCATGACCGTTTGAATATTATTCTCCAGGGATCTACCAGGGTGACATTTTATTAGCGTTACATGGCGCTTGAGCTAAAAGAGGGTCTCCACTAGGTAAGCCAGCCTACGGATTACTAGAGCTCATATGTGGGATACTGTATGTACATCTTGCGAGGCTGCTTCGTTGCTCATAGTACAGACAGTATTCGCGATAATGGAATAAGAATGAAGAGAAAAAGACAAAACAGGACAGATAATCACACAACCTTTTCCAAAACCTTAGATGGTGACGTTGACGTCTCCATTCTGACAGAACGTCGTCGGGCCGCTATAGACCACGAAAATACCACCCACCCACCCACTATAACGGCCGAGAGAATACAGTATAGAACTCGTCTTCCCACTCCTTCAACCATCCTCACAAAAAGCGCATCATTCGCATGCCACGACGACGTCCCCAAGTGTTGGAAGAGCGGGGTATCCACGAACCCATTCAGCATATGCATATTCGGACGATCGGGCGGACCGGACAAGATACGGAGGGACGTTCGATTCGGCTGGGTGGTATAAATAGTCCTACACAGAACATCACTCAGCATCATACCATACAATCAAACCCAAAAAGACAGAAAAAGAAACCGAGAGAAAAGAAACTCACGACGCATAATGACACCCAGTACTAAACATAACCGTAACATACGGAAAAAGGAACCAGCGACGATTGAAACGAGGTAGATTATCAATCAAATCACGGACAAACGAGTTCTTCGGACTGGACAGGAGCATGCCGATAGAGAAGCCGGCGGGATAGGCCGCGGGCGCGACAAAGTCAAACCGGCGGAGTGGTTCGAGCGATCGCTTACAGACGAGATCAAGGTCTAAGATCGCACCTGTGAGGGAAAATTGCGCGTGGCGCGCAAAACATCAGTCCCATTTACAATTTGTCACTGATCCGTGTTATGTGTAAATCGCGTCATGTTTGGGAAAGGTATGCGCACCTCCGTGTATGTAGAGGATCATGTAGCGTAGCGCATCTACCTTCTGGACGAGGTAGGGGTAGTTGTTCCAGATATCTTGGAGATCGGGGAAGTGGTCCCGCACGAACTGATTGGCTGCTGTATCGTCCCAGGTGTGTGTCTTCCATCCAGGATGTATTCTCAGACATTCTTCCCTAGCTGCTAGCCATTCTGGTCGGAGAGCTGTACCTCCCAAGTGGACGTGATGGAGCGTCGCGGGAACTGGGGACAGATGGTGGAGCTTTGAGGGGGGTTGTTGGCCATCGTAGGCGCGAAACGTGACATCGAAGCTATCGTGGTCATGTGAGATAATGGAGTCGGCTGCGGACTGTTGCCAGATGAAGGGCATTTGGAGGAGCAGACGAAGTTGGGCAGCCAACGGAGAAGTGAGGAATAGCAGGAGCGACGCTAGAAGGAAGAGAACCAGGAGACGGACTCGCAAAAAACACATGGCTGACACTGTCTGCCCACGGTGGCAGACTAGACCGTTCAACAACGGAGACCAGTTTAGTAGTAACAATTGTCAGTCAAGAGCAATGGCGGGGAATGGAGAGAAAGGAAAGTGGAAGGCTGTGGTTGGCATGGAGAACAGGACGTTGTTGCACAGTGACGAAGAGGGACTTGACATTTGGACGTAGGGAAATCTGCACCTTCTGGACGATGGGAGCATTCGTAGATTGGCTGGCGGTATAGAGAAAGGCAGCAACGTTCCTAATAATCCAGGATCCTACCAACCAACCACTCCAGTGTGACCGTCATGGAGGCGCAATCCTTTGGACCTCTTCGTCGACTAAGCTCAAGTTAAGCTTTCAGACAGCGTGGACCCTGTTCACTCACCACGGCCAAGACTGATGTTCCTAGTCCATTCCGTTTTCATTTCCCTTCCTTCATGTATACACGTGTTGATTCGTGGGAACAAGGGTTGGTCTATTGTCGACGTGGTCCTTTGCTTATTTCCGTTATTCGATTGTGTACGACGTGACTACGAATGACTCCAGGATTACTCCTTGTCTCAGTAAGACGGAGGGAGGCTATGTTCCGAACTACAAGGTACATCGTAGTACAGCTCCCTTTACTGGTCGAACAAAGCTCTTTCATTCGAGACAGGACTGTCTTGAGGTAGGGAAATGGGTGAATTATCACAATACTGCTCTGTATAGGGACGGCTATTGAATAAATCTCCAAACAAGGTGAACAAGCCCTAATGCTTGTATTCTAAGTGAATTAAGCATGAAGACTAAAAATTAGTAACTCGGGGTACATGCCCCGAGATACCCTATACCAGATAGGGTAAGGGTCAGGTCAAAGATTCAAAGCTTAACCAGGTACCATACTCAAAACGCTCTAGTCCCATGGCGCTGATTGTTTTCTTCAGCAATTGGCCAATCACACGTGGATGGCAATGTTGATAACCACGCTAAACCGTTCCAGGTATGAAACAGCAAAACTCTGCTCGACATGGTGCCTCAGGAACACACATGAATAGGGATTGTTCGGCGATTGCATGTATACAATGATGTATGAACGTATGCGAGGTGCTTAAAGGAGGTGGCAAAACACCTGCGACGAATTACCGAAATTCTACATATTGAGGTCAATTGGATGCTTATCACCCCCTACAACCTCTCAATCGCTTATCTTGCTCGGTGAATAGTCCTTGCTGATGCCATCGGGCTCGGTGTTTGCATCACGATAAGCCAAGAGGCAAAGACCGAACGCCGACCAGATAAAAACCCACCACCACTCGGTATCTCCACTGAAAGATATCAAACCCCAAAGATGTCGCCGAATAAAAGTGTCGCTGTCATCGGGACTGGCCCTGCTGGTGCCATTGCAGTCGATGCGCTAGTCCAGGAAAAATCCTTCGACGTCGTCCGCGTGTTTGAACGACAAGAAAAGGCCGGCGGATGTTGGTAGGCAAAGATCTCGGACCATTGACGGTAATACCGATGTGATTGACGGCCACTAGGGTGTCAAGAGAAAGTGAGAAACCGGTCCCTCTGGACATTGACAACCTTTCTGCGAGGACTGCAGATAGGCCGGTTTCAATCCCCGCCAATCTACCCCAATATGTTCCCACGGTGTCTCAGCACCGCTACTTTGACTCGCATGTCTACCCCACTTTGCACGCCAATGTGGCTGCCTCGGTCATGGAATACTCTCAGGAACAGATCCCGGAGATCCTTTCCGAATGGTCTGTGAAGATCCACGGCCCGGACACGCCTTTCCGTCACCACACGGTGATAAGGCAGTACATCGAGGATCTCTTGAACCGCAATGGATATCAAGATCTTGTTGAGTACAACACGACTGTTGAGCGGGCCGAAAAAGACGCCAAAACCGGTAAATGGACACTAACTTTGCGACGCGCCGGCGAGCCGAATGGTTTAGACTACTGGTGGACCGAAACCTTCGACGCTCTGGTGGTTGCCTCTGGGCATTATGCGGTGCCGTATGTCCCGGCCATCAAAGGACTAAAAGAGTTCTCCGAGAAGTACCCAGGCAGTGTTGAACACACAAAGCAGTACCGTGGTCCTGAAAAGTACAAGGGCAAGGTAAGATGCCGATCACGTGTAGCTATATGCAGAGAACTTCTTGTCTTTTGACCACATAAATGACTAACAAGTCAACAGCGGGTAATTACGGTCGGAGCCTCTGTCTCCGCTGCAGACACCGCAGTGAGTCTGGTGAACCATGCAAAGGGTCCCATTTATGCTGTTGTGCGCGGAAAGTACAACACTTACTTCGGAGATGAAGCGTTCAAGCACCCTCAGATTGAGCGCCGCCCGCCCATTTCGCGTATAACTACCGAAAATGGGGAGAGGACGGTGCATTTTGAGGACGGGACGTCAGTATCAGACGTGGACCACATTATCTTTGGCACCGGCTTCACATGGACGCTGCCATTCTTACCTGATATTCCAATCCGAAACAACCGTGTACCGGATCTCTATCTGCACGTGTTCCACCAGTGGGATCCTTCCCTGGTGTTCTTAGGAGCGGTATGTCTTCCCCTAAGTGTGTCTACTAAATAAAACCAATAACTGACTTGAGCAGGTTGGTGCCGGGTTGACTTTCAAGGTCTTCGAGTGGCAAGCCGTAGCCGCCGCGCGCGTTCTGGCCGGAAAGGCACAGTTACCATCTCTAGAAGAACAGCGAAGGTGGGAACAGGATCGCATAGCCAAGAAGGGCGACGGCCCAGGGTTTTTGATGATAAACCCCGACTTTGATACGTATTTCGAACAACTTCGACAGCTCGCAGGCGAGCCTGCCGAGGGAGAACCAGGGCGGAGATTACCACCGTTCGAGCAGCAGTGGGTGGATGACTTTAATGCTGGACATGAACGGCGGATCCGCATGTGGAAGAAAGCCAATGAGGCTGGAAGAGCGAGCAAGTTATAGAGATAGATGTATATAGACGTGAGCTTGTATATATATATATATGAACTGAACCTATTCCGTTTGAACTAAATTACCTCATCCGGGCTTAATATATTCTAGCAGAGGTTCTGCCTCCCTAAAGACGATATTCTGTTCGATGGTAACATGCTGGCAATCTTGAGTCCGCCCATTTAGTGGGAATAGTTAGAGCATCCCTCAGTGAAGATTATGTATCACGGCCTGTAACACGGTTAGCGCCCCGAGATGTTTAAGAGTGAGCAGGCCAAAGCTTGGAAGAGGAACGCGATGTTGTCTGGTCCGGCCCCATTGCGGGTGGGATACGAGGTCTATGCGCAACCGCCAGGGTCTATAGTGGCGTTCTCAACAAAAGACTACTCTGGCATCAACGTTAACACTGGGGTAAGCTTCCACGAAGCAGACAAATACTTGCTACTATACCGTAATATAGTCGGAGAAGTAATCATATATGTCTACTAGATTTGGACAAAGAGGAAAAAGGAAGCCGACAAAGTTGCATTTCCTGGGCGCAGGCGCGGAGTATAGCTAGGGCTGATGTGCAACAACCCGTAATCTCTAGTAAGCAAAGGGGCGTATAAAACGTATTATAATGCGGTTTACTGCAATTTAGCATGCAGAAAGGCCTGCGGTAAAGAGTTTTCATTGTAGAGAATTATACGCCTAAATTTTAGTCGTCGTTGAATAATTAAAGTTCATTCTGTAAAGCTAGGAAACATAAGTTACTTCATTATTTATCCTAGTACAGCATAAACACTGTCCGAGAGCTGTACGGAGTACAAAAGCCTACTTCGCAGTGTAATTATTTGAAATAAAGCTGGAAGTTGGCCATAAAGACTTGTACGTGCTACTAAGGACTAGGGATAAAAGTCTGGGCGTGAAGTTTACTTGCATCTCGTCTCGTGAACCCTCGAAATGGCAGTCTGAAGAAAACGCCATGTATATTCCTCAATCTAGCTGCAGATATTTTCTACATCTGTGCCTTCTCCGCTCTTGAGTTCTTCTATTGCAATAAATGATTTCTTGAGAGTTCAACATCATTATAGCACAGTAACCGTCACATGATCACCTAAACCCTCTCATCTTCCTCAAATTATCTAGGCTTACCCTAGTAACGTACGCCTATGATAAGGTAGTAAACAATGGACATACGATATAGTCTAATGAAGATGAGGGGTACCACATCTCATCCACAGAGCTCAGCTGGGCTTGACAAATGATAGACGTCAATGTGAGTTCGAGGTATGCTATGACTCCTGTTCTGTTGATTACATATTTTGAAAGCTACCAAGCTCTCTCCCACCAGGGTAAGCTTAAGCCAGAACAGTTCATTCATTGTATGAGTTATAATATTCACCGCCGTGGAGTACCAGCAACGTCTGTTACACAAGTATCCTTAAGCCCAGAGTATAACAAAAGTGCCCGGTTTGCCCCGTTCCATATAGCTCACGTCCTAATGGCAACGCCTCCTGCTAGGGGAAGCGACGAGTATCACATATTAGTTATATACGTCTCCAGGGGAATATAAATAGCCTGATAGAGATCCAGATTCTCCAGCTCATATTTCCCAGAGCCCCAATTCCACCTGTCTTATTCTTAGAATCATCCTTCCCTTCATTGAGCAAAAATGCATTGGTCCTTGGTCATTACCTCCTACCTAGCCGTTCTAGCTGCTAGCCAAACCAGTGAAAAACAGAGCGAAAGGAACAGCGTGGAATCCAAAGATCTATTCAACGAGTGCAAAGACATCGACGTTGTGACTCGCCCAGACCGCAGCAAAGGAGAGGAATGGGGCGATGACGGCCCGAATCAATCTTTATTTGGGAGTTGTGCAGACAGAGAGAATGGGAAATTGGTGTGGTGGGTAGCTACGTTTATCAACCTCAACGACTGTTTCGGGTGGGATACGACTACGCAGAGCCTTATCCCCAAAAAGGAGTATGTATACTTGTAGCTATATCGCGGGCAACAGGGCTAATACAAAGAGATTAGTGGCAATGGATTTCACGAGGGAGAGTGCAGTCGCTGTACAATGGATCACTATGAGATCCAATGCTGGTGCAAGAACGTGGATGAAAAGGAGAAGGATCCCAAAGAGAAGGCGGCAAGAAAAACATTCAATATTGGTAAGAGTTCCTTAATATATATTGATATGCTTTGTTATTAACAGGGTATAGAGGGAAAGATTGTGGTCAAAGACCATCATTTCAAATGTGCCCCTAAATGACACAGTAAAGAGTACCTGCTTATATCAAGATAGGCGTGATCGGAGATGAGAGGGACTTCGTCTGTGTTAGGAAGTTAGTTTATGAAGTAATTCAGTAGTACTGGTTTGTCTGCGAGTTCCGGATTTTGTGACAGGGCTTTAATGGATGTGTGCTTAGCTCAGATTTCGGGGTGCACCAGTCTGTGGTGGATAGAAATATATGAGACTATTTTGGTAGGAAAACCTTTCACTTCTAAATGATGCTGTTTCAGATGTCTGGAAAACGATCACGCCATGAAACAGAGGAACGTTCCGCGCCTGAGTGGGACATCTCTCACCCAGAATAGATCTCTAAATGTCTATCAGGGTCAACCCAGGCCGGAAAATCAAAGCCATCTGACATAGCGAGAGCACTAGTTGGTTTTCTAATCTCATCAAGCTCTATAGAGTTTGGTGTGCCTTGTACCCATGGACACGCAAGAGTTGGCCTAAGGAGGAGTATGCTGACATGGAAATAGCTATGTAAGTGACAGCTGCAACGGCACATAAGTTTGAGGTGTTTTATAATCTCAATGCTATAACCGTAAAGGTCACGGGTGCCGGTTGACTGTCCTGTAGTATGGCAGAGCCGTCAGTCTGCGAGTTAAGGAATTCATAATTAACCATAGCTGGTAGTAGGGTGGAAATCAGAAAGCTATTTAGGAATCATTCCCGGACGCCCGAAAGTCATTGGTAACGCCATTCGGACCAATTGATGATAACACAGCCGGTGTGCCGCATTCTGCTAGGGCTGCTGATATCAACGAAATTATGAGACCACAAAAACATGCCATTTGAGGCGCTTTTCTGGGTAAAGGCGACCGATAACCATCATATATACTGTTCTTTATGGGTTGAAGATGGTTAGCAAGTGACTAATGGCAGTCTCCGTGTGGTCATAATAGGCACAGAGGATTGGGTCGTAGTGTACGTATGGCAGAGCAATTGCCTTGAATCTACCTTAAGTGTTACTAAGGCCATGGTGATTATTGTCGAGAAAATGCTAGTTTTTTTTTTCTTTCCTTCTCTCGGTTTTCTCTTACTTTTTTTTTCCGATCCAACAGATCACACAGAATTGTTTTCCTCCTTCCATTGAACCACGTCTTGCTTCGAGAGCAATCGATTTTTGCATTCTGATCTTTAAGACTAAAACGATCCACAGGACATGTTGATATCAGAGCCTTCTTTCCATGTTACGTGAGCTCTTCCAATAATACAAAGTGGACCCACCGTGGAGTGTCATACCGGAGCGTTCCGCAGTGACATCAAGTATACTGATTGTGATATCACCATATCGGAGTAAGCATCTAGGAGTTAATATACAGACAGCATGCTCCTTAACGATTATAATGCCCTCCTAATTATCTGCTTAATTAGGTTTATGTTGATACTTTGAGAGAAGTTTCCGAGATTTGGCAGTATGTGCAGGTTCTAAGCAATTGCCTGACATTCCGACTTTTGGCAAGTGTCGTTAGATATAAATGTAATCTTCCGAAAACTCCAACCGTAGTCATTACATGGCGAGCGGAGGATTTTGGAGAAAATAGAGACAGTAATAAAAAATCGTCATAGTGAACACTTGCTGTGTATATGATAGATTAATTGTAAAATCAATGAGAGTCAAAGTCAGTAGGACTTTCGCTCCGTACCTTCATGTAGGGTTACATCAAGGCATCATTGACTTTTGTCTGATCGGAATACCCTACGAAAATATCTATGCTCCCCTCGTATAGGTAATTATATTATGTCATGGAGTCTACTGGAGAGTCTACTTAGCTATAAAGTCAATTGGTGAACCCAGACTCCAAATGTTCTTTTTGTCTTGAAGAAAGTCTTCAATATATCTCCAGGACGACCATATATTTGGCATTTACTGATAGCCATGCGCCTCTTCTCTCTTCTGGCCGCTGCCACAACGGCACTCTTCGCAAGCCCTAGTTTTGCAGGCCGTCCTATTGCAGGGGTATGTTAATTACTACCAGTGTACTATCCATCTGCATCTCATAAAATGGGAGTAAAACCACTAAAAAGACCAAAATAGGTTGAGATAGACACTATCCGCCCAGATAGGTATCTTGCTAAAAGTCATGAGTGTGTAACGGTCGACCAGACGTACGTGGACCTACGATCTGCAAGTGAGACGATACTAATGCTTCACAGTGTACGGTTCCAACCCGTACGCCATATAGATATTTGGCCAATCAGTTCTGCTATTGGGGTTGAATGTACATTTTATAGGTAAAATGCTCCTCCTGTCTCACCCGCTTAAGAACTACTATCTAATGCAAAAGCAAGGGACCCGCACTGTCATTCAGATAATGATCCTGACCATCCTGATTCCTATACTCTGCACGAGGGTAGCCATAGCTTCAAGCGTCGTTTTTTTGTTGGAGGCTTCAGATGTGTGGAACCGGACAGTGGACATGAATTCCTGTGATCTGCCAAGCAGAAATCAAAGGAACGAGCAACGTAGCTGCGTTGTGTGTAAGAGTAGTGGAGATGCTGATATAGCTCAGACTACCTCTAAAGTCCTTAGGTAATTCAATATATGCTCTTCTAAATAAGAGGTGCAACATATACTTTTCGTTACTCGTGTAACGAATTGAATCTGTAGGATTCAGACAAAGATGCACTTCTGCTGGTTATTCATTGCCAGTGGAACTTCCAACAGACCCTTTTCCTCCACGATATATGTGTGGGTCTAGTTTTGGCGAATGCAAAAGGATCATATCAATGCGTACTAAATCTCTAGGAAGGTATAAGGTCGCCCACGTCTGGGATGATAAAATGGTGAGCTCTTAAGCAACGTGAACCTCTTCAAAAGCATTGATCCTGGCTTGTTCTGATCTCCGACTCAACTATGTACCCACTCCAACTTGATCGGCTATCCAGCTTCCTCGCGCTCCTATTCGGTAGACGAACGTCTCTGCTTCTTCTACTAACCCTAGTACCCTTGGTCGTTCTAGGACTGTATTCTGTGATGGTCCAGGCAGAAAGTAGGACAGATATCCGGGTCTGGATCGCTCATCAAATGTTGCAACAACGATAGCGCAATTGGCGATGTGGGGAAACGGCTTACCTGAGGAACGTAGGCTCTCCCCTGGTATGGGCTCCCAAGCTATTGACCGATTCAAGAGCTTTTTAGATGGAAAACGCTCTGCTGAAGCTCTTGTTAACATCCTAGGGTGTCGATGTCATAGACCAATAGCAACTCTGCGAGTTGATATACCATAATTTAACCAGGACTAGACCGCTACAAGGTTCGATAATGACGATATGACTGTTTTCCAGCTATCATAGGCAGAAATATAAAATACCCGCCTGCGCAAGTCGTTGTATGGGAACAATAATTTGGCAGATCTACTCTCGAGAGAATACGTTGTGCGCCTCCTACATTACAATCTTTCATATAGAGCACTCGCAATATGCAGTTCGAAACTCACATCCCCTCTGAATTTGTGCCCATCACAGATGGTACCAATGAATACCGCTGGATCATGACCAGCCAGGAGCGAGCCCACCTTGCCGGTCTGCTCGATGCCGACGATATGCCAGATATATCGATCATTGGCAAAAGTACGCGGGATATTTCACTAATCAGCCACAGAGTCCACTATCCCCCGTGGCGGGAATGTTATGATGCGTGAGAGAGCTGTCTGCACTTCCTCGGCAAGCATTCCAGTCTTGATGATCTTGTTCATAGTGCGCTAGACCGTGGTATCCACGGTCACACTTATATGTTGGATATTTTGCAAAATGGAGCGAAGGAAAGGAGCCCGAAGTATTACATTACCTGCTCTGGGTGTGGCACACCGCATGATGGTGGCTTTGGTTGTTACGGCTACGAGAAATGATTTACATAAACCTGTACTACCGTATCGAAGACACAGGTGCTATAATATATGATTTTTGACTTCATCCATATCCTATGCAATCCCCGCATAGCTCCATAGTAGTGCAACATTTGTATTGCTGGACAAATACCGTTGCTTCTCTGAGCTCCTACTATACGAAATGGGCTTGACAGTAGCCTAGACGATAGGTGCCAGTCACATCAACATTGGCATACATGAACACATAGTGGCCGTATTATGTCGATTCTGACATCAAGACTGGCTAGAGCACAATATTCATTCAGTTGCAAATAGTGGTATGCCTTTAATGTAATCAAGTCGGTTCGGCCGAGTGGTCGAAGGCGGTAGACTACGATTTAAATCTACTGTGTTTTACACGGAGTAGAAAGTAGATCGGGATACCCGCAAAACCCCAGCCGAACCGGTTGTTTTTCGGGTTGTAGTACGGAGGATCATAGCGGCCACTCCGCGACAAAGGCTCTTCCCACTAAGCCCATTTACCGCCTAGTATTATATTGTATTACTATATCTGCCAATATTCAATATTATATAAAAAGGGTCAAGATTTAGATATTATATATATTTTTCTATATAAATTACATCCCAACGCTGGTTGACGGTAAATTGGCGGCCAAAAACGGCAGTCCATCAGTGCCGTTTTAAGCACCCTTCACACCCAATAGTATCGGTCGTTCATCTTAGTCAGTTTGTATCACGTGGGTATACTCAGCCTATACTAGTGAGTACTCAGTGAGTGCTTATAGTATACTCAATCCTACTCAGTAAAGTGGCATAACCTAACCGCTATAATCTAGTCATAACCTAATCTAACTGGTCTCAATTAGATTAAGATATAAAATTCTTCAATCATTTTAAATATAATTAAATAAAAAATTAATTAATCTCTTAACTATAGTTAACTATAGATTAAAATAAATAAAAATTATAATAATTAAATTAAGAACTATTACTTTCCTGACAAATTTGGAGCCTCGTCAAGGCCTGTGTTGGCCAATGCTCTGTTCTGCGGCCCTCGTGGCGCGCGGCTTCGAAATCCCTGCGATGCTTCCGCATAGACCTCCCGAACAGGACCTGAAGTGAAACCCCGCTAATCTCTGTCTATAAAAGAGTTCCCATCATCCCTACCACAACTGTCGCTCCTGTCATCCACCAGGCTGCCACTCCAAAAGCTCCTTGTATATCTTTCCTCAGAATTCCCCACAAGATCCCATAAAAAAGGCTCGGTAGGAAAAATGCTAACCCAAGAGCTATCCAAATACGCTTCCAATCTAAACTCACACGATAGAGTATTCCCCACGCTGTCATCACTTCAATTCCATCAGATGTTAGCTCAGAGTCCATTTTCTTTGGTAATTGCTGTATGACTAGGTCACTACCCGGGGCTCGACTGTTCGGATCATTAAAAAAGTCCATCATTAATTCTGGCCCTACTGGTGGAGATTGCCTTGGAGGAATAGGATGACAATGATAAGATGTGCCGAGGGGTGGGACAAGGTTGGGGGGCGGGATACAGGCGCAGGGGTTATTGGGAGTGCAAATTTCGCCATGGCAGCGGACGTCGATATATGAGTTGCCGGCGTAGATGAACTACAGAGAAATTAGTCAGGATTATGAGCGCCGAGATTAGGGTTGATAATGTGGTGTCCCAGCTTTGATACCCAAGACATGGTTAGAAGTACACACTCTCATAAAATGGATACTGTGCAATGTCCTCAAGGACCAGAATGATTCAAGCCTCTGTCGGTGGTTATAATATATTTTGCGTAATGCGTGGAAGAGTTGGCGGTCATCGGCGATGTGCGTGACAAACTCTTGGTGGAGTTTTACAGGTCGACCATGGCGTTTTATGCAGGCAAGGAGGAGTAGTGGGCGAGTAGGTTTGGTTTTTGAGTGTTCAATGTCATGGAATACGTTGCTGGTTTCAGAATTGCGGGGGTTGGTGACAGACTGATCGGCGATATCAACAGTTGTTAATGGAGATGTAGTTTGTGTGGATTGAGTATTTGGTGTGTAGAGAGAGGCCGCACGGGAGGAGTTCTGGCCATGTTCACCAGGTGTCTTTGTTTTCTTGGGAACGGTGGTCACATCCAAATAGTTCTGGAGAGCTTGGAGTGCACCTGGTTCACGTTCAATGTAGTCATCGTATAACCTTTTACCGTATCGCTACGGACTGTTAGCAAATTATTGAGCTTGCAAGAAAGCTGAAACTCACATTCGTCCACCGAAACCGCTTATGATGCTTTGGTACTTTCCTCTCTCGCAAGTAGAGACTGCGTAGAAGTTCTGCTGGATCCCAGGATACTCTTCCCCTGACTTTTCTTTTATCGACGATGCTTTCCACTCCCGCGCACTCCCACGTGGAAAAAGTCGAATTTCCAAAATGAGGCTCACTTTGACGACATGGTTGGCAGAGCAACACTATCTGATATTGTGGCAGGGGATTTAAATTTTGCAAGCCGAAGCTGGAGAAAAGCTTTTGAGGATCCCATGATATTCTTACCGCCCATAGCAAGTGGTTGATGTTGAAGCTCAAACCCAGGCATCCGATGGATCGAGAAATTTGCCACGAGGTAGGTCGCTCTGGGTTATGAATATCCGTATTTAGATCTATAGGCTCAGAAAAGAGCACGATCTCTCGAGGTAGTGACACAGCAGAAGGTCGGGTAGAAATTGGATATGGTGAATCACTTTCCTCTCGAGGCCCGATGCTGGATAAAAGGCTTTCTAGACTCCAGAAGCACCTTATCATCCATTCCTTTGAATTGAAACTGAAATCGAGGAGGATAGGCTTGGCAGTAGGCATGACGAAGTTCTTGAATTCCACTCGCAGCTTCTGGAAAGCAGCACTCTCTTCGATAAAGCTGCGGCCATGAGACACCAGCCTAGCAAATCGATTATCGATTCCAAGCTTCTCCTGATCGTCCTCTTCGTCACCGCTGACATCGTGAATATCTGGTACAAGGCCAAATGCTGGTTCGACGGTTCCGCGCATTTGTGGTGAGCCTTGAGGAAAAGTGTCGATCGCAGACGACTCCTGCCTAAATCTACTGCCAATTTTCTCGGCGACTAGACTTACCCTTGATAGAATGAGGCTCGCAAGATCAAGATCAATTGCTTCTTGTGCCTCGTCCTTCAAGTTTGTGGCAAAACGTTCCATGAGCCTTCGGAAGTTCCGGTCTAGATGATCCCAAGCTATGTGTTGTTTCAATATTGCTTCTTTGAACAAGTAAGCAATTTCTGCATCTTCCAAAAATATACAGACAAGCTCGTCAATGGCTGTGCGTATCTCGTCTGCAGTAAGCCGAGTGTCAGTGGTGAAAATGGTCGATGGCATTGTCGCCAAGGAAAAGACAGATGGAGGTTGCGATATATCACTCAGGCAGTCACCAACTTCGTGAATTGGATCAGTAGGGGTTGAAGCGTTGCCTGTGCCGGTGGTTTTTTCTATAGATATTATGGTATCAAGTTTTGATTCTTCCACAAGCCAATCGCTGCTGGAACTTCCATCATCATTCGCTGAGTCGCTGTATAATTCCTTGTTGGTAAATTGGTTGAGTTGTTCCAAGTGCAGATTTCGGGACAAAGCCTCTGCCTCCCGCAGCCGACCTTGGCCAGAGTACCGAATGATTTCTTGCAACGTTTTGTCGGTCATCATCCCGAGTATTGAGGCTGATGAGTTAACGCGGCTATCATGATGTCTTGCTTTCCGTTTCCTCTGCTCAATCAGCCATGATAAACTTGAAATTAGCTTGAGGCATGCTTTGGAGCTAAGTAGTCCCTTTTTCAACGACTTTCTTTCTTCAACGTCGGTGCATAAGCTTTCCGTATCGACAGCGACAATTGCCTCAAGTTTTTTATTGATGCGCTCTAATTGTGCCTCAAGGCTACTGGTGGCGTTCTCGATCAATTCTCTATAATCATCTATGACATTCGCTAAGACAGAAGACGTTCGACTAAACGATTGCATTAGCATGATAATACATGTCTAACTTGCGCAGGCGACTTACAGATTCACATCGGCGAGAGTGATCTTGATAGTTGATTTGTAACCAGCTACCATGCGACGAAACCCAGAAATATCTTCGCCGATATATCTTAGTTTTGCCCAGTCTCGGAAGCTCATTTCCCGGTCACAGATTTCTTTAGAATATTCTATGATTGACTCTTCGAAATCCCGGCACGCGTTTCCACATCGCTGGAGGATAATAGTAGGGGCAGTGAATTCCGCAGTATCGTTGGTGCTGATCGTGTCGATAAATATTTCAAGAACTTCATTAAGTTCTGCAAGTTCCTCTTTCAGTTCGCGTACAGCTTTTGGTGGGTTCAGGTATCTATCGACCGTATTATGGAGATCGACACTGTGTTTCAATGCATAGCTTGTAAAAGCCAACAATTCGTCACCTCGATTGATCTGTTTCGCCATGGCAAGCTGCTTGGCTGAGTATGGGCACGTCCTGGGAGGAGTAGAAGTGAACTTTCGCGATGGAAATGGCGGGTGCCACGTTATATTTGTAATCCCATGCCTTACGCAAGGACGAAGCTTGTCCAGTAAGAGGGAGGTAATAAGCGCCAGCCTGAAATGGGGCAGGATGACCGTGGAACGCAGCTGGGGACAAAGGATTTCGGGCGACTAGGAAGTAAGTTGGCCACTACAAATAACTTCGCGCAATTGGTACACTAGAGATTGTGATCGATTGAGACTTCTGTAGAACAAGCGATATGTTACATAAAAAGAGCACATCTATTTGTACTCAGGACAGATTCGACCAAGACGTACTTTTCTTAGAGTCTGTCTCTCATACACGATCTTACAAAGATCCTGTGAAATACACTGTTGTAAGAGGGTTTAGTCATGGGCCAAGCCAGCCTTTAAGATCCTCTGTGACTGTCATGAAGATTATTTACTGGATGAATTTTAATTAAGCCCACTTCGCGCCGGTGCGATACTCTGACTTGCTGCGGACGCTAGGCCAACTCTAGGTGGGGCGCCGCCTCGGCCTGATGTTCATTTTCTGAATGCATGGGGCCACCGCAGTTATATTCGCCTGTGTTCAGCTCTGGTTTAAGCGCCCAGCAGTTACTCTTGTTGGCTAGCCTGCGGACGCTCATATACACTGCAAGAGGGTTGGCATCATATTCTCCACAACTAAGTGCCTTATTGGCCTGTTACCCTTTATCCGAACAGTGAGCCACTGTAGGTGTCTGCTTCAGTGCACTGGTTTGTAGTTATAGTCGTAAACAAGGCCTTTTCTAATATATGCAGCATATATATGAGCCATATATCTGATACTTAGGACTTTCTTTTTAATTTTTTTTTCTGAACCCAATTTATTTGCTGTTAATCTGGTTTTCCTTTAGTCAGTATAGGAAGAACGGACTGGAGGTACCCTAATGTTCACCGTGTTGGTGGGCTCCAGGTAGGAAGGCTTTATCTCTTCCTTGACCCCTTCTTGTCTATAGCTATGGTATTGTGCTGTACCGTTGTCTATATTTAGAGATCTTTTGGTTAACTTATCAGTGTTAGCCAATATGCAGCTTGACTGTTATGTGTAAGCTCCCAGCAATTCGCAGGATACTTTTCCAGGTAGCTGACAGATATCCAGAATTATACAATGAATAATTATAGAGTTCGTCATTGGCAAAGACCGAAGGCGGTTTCAAATTCACTTGGCCTTAGCCGGCTCTTTCCCAAAGGGAATACTCAAGCCTCCTATAAACCACGAAACCGACAAGATCGTCTTTGGTTGCTGCTGTGATTTTGTATATCATAGTCACTACTCTATCCTGTTACCAGCCTCTAACCCCCGGAGGCATGATGTGGTTCAAACAAGAAATAACTTAACAGTATGCAAAAGATTTACGGGACAATAGAGTCCTAGAGACCTTACCAAAAACTTTTTTTGTTCTGGAAAGTTTTCCCTTCTCTGTACTGGTCTTATTGAGCGATTCAACCGACGGGCTTTGCGTGATGATATGGATGTTATGAAAACTGACCCCGTAGTTAATTATATATACAGATATCTTTCTGGGCCACACTATTATCGTATCGGCTACAAAACTGAATGGGTCTCATTACATATATATTTGAGGAGAGTAAATATATAGAGAACATTTATAAAATATTTCAAGATTATACTGCCTGGAACATTGAAATTCTTATGCGGAATACTAACTTCCGAGAACTGCTTGACAGAGTACCATCCTTAGAGAAAGCGATTTTTCGCTCAATGTGGGAATATGTTTGGACATTATGAAATACTTCTTGCAAGTTCTTAATGCGCTAAGTTTACTGAGTGATTATTAGAGTAGATAGAGTTAGGATTCGAGGCTTGGTCAGTATAGTATGGGGCCTCATAATTGGAATCCATTCGTATAGAAACAGATTGATTTCTAATCAATCTGATGTTCAACTTGCACATAATCCTTTAATATTATAGAGATAAGTTTAGTGTCGTTTAGCCATGGATCGAAATTCCTTTTCGAGTTCATACTTTTTTTTCTAAAGAAATCGTGCCTTTGCCACTGCAACGCCGTTTCCTGACGCTCGTCTGCTTTCAAGAAAAGTGCTTTGTAGCCAGTGAGGTCGGACATCTGTCGCTGAAGGCAAAATCAATGACATGCTGTAGGATATCAGTGGAGTGGGAGGGCGGTTAAATTATTGCCCCGACGCCCGCCCGAAAATGAACAAGAGAGCGCATATGTGGTTATGATCGAAGATTGACCGGAAACTATTGGAAAGCAAAGATTACAAGCAAGCATCAGTTATAGATGCCCTTGCAGGTAAAATAAACGCAAAAAGCCACTTCTGAAATTGGGCACAATTGCAGCTAGATTCATTAGAGTTGTTGATATTTATTGTTCTGCGGGCTGCTCGTTTAATCGCAAATTTGATTATAGATATTGATTACATTGTTTGTGACCACAAGGTTCGTACATTTGTTTCACATTCGCTTTACTGATCCCCCAGCCTGTATTTTATATTATATCATACAGCTAGTTATTTAAATAGCAAAACTCTTATTCAGTCGTGGCCAAGGTATACCAATTGGGAGTCAAGTCTATATTCTATCTATATTTTTTCCAAGCGAGGCATAAGATGAAGTTATGCAATATAATAAACATATATATATTTGGGACATAGAACGGGTATTTGCATATCTATATATTTGTTTCGAGTTATTCTTCCTAGTTGTACCTTTCCACCGTCTATCTACAATGCACTGGCTATTTGGAGTCAATATATACAAATGTTGTAGCCAAGTACGAGCTCTGGCCCCTCCATAACCATGACACCCAGCTCCTTCACGCCAAAGTATATTCGGCTCAGTGACGGCGAAGTCAGTTTGCGACCAATGGAATCTCTCCTCAGTAAACGATCCACCCATCGAATATACCGGAGGAGTGATTTTATTTGATATAACTGTTAATTGCTAAAGATGGATAGTTAGAAAGATCCTATTAGGAACTAAACAGTCTAATATCCTGAGAGCTGAAACATATCTTAAGCTATAAAACTGGCCAGCAGCTCTTCCTCAAATCGCCTTGTATACATAGGAACTTGGCGGGCAAGGGCTCATATTCTTTTACACCACTCTAAAAATATATCCATAGACATGTTTCCATTTATAAGACTCGATCCCCCTTTCACATTCGCATTAACAATAATATGTCGAGAAGCACTGCTATCCCCAGCCCCAACATACCTATTAACAACGAGATTTGTATATTGTTTGCTGTCTATATTATGTGGACCTTTATTCTGGCCGTGTTCCGAGGCAAGATAGCTGTTGGTATGGTTTAAATTTTCGCCCGAAGCCAATGTCAGAGCTCTATTAGATATATCGGCGTCCTGTATACAAAAGAAATAAGATCAGATAGTCTGGGAGATTAGATCTTTGGATCACCTACCGGCCCTAGTAAAGAATTCTGTTGTCGAGACATTGTGACACTATTAAATAGCAAGGAGATAGAATAGTAAGTATGTATAGACAAAGTAATAGGTTGTATTTCATATCCCGCAGGAGTATATGTGGTATAAATATTTACTGTAAAAATTTGCGCAGGAGCATTAGATCACAAAGCAAAGATACAGAGTGTCCTATAGGCAGCTTCCTGTACAAAATCCGTCAATAGACTGTTACTTAAACAGCGTATAGTATCAGCTGGATTCTAGGAACTCGCGCAGAGTAAACCCCGAAATAAATCACCCAACCCCACTACCTAATAACGGTATATACGGGATATCCACATGCAGTGAAATCCAGCTTCCAGACCAGGTATGGCCAAGCGAAGACAGTCTTCGCCATAGATCTGGTTACACGGGGCGGTTGCTATATATAGAGATTTGCGACCGAGAGTGTTATGAGTGTCAGTAACAGCTCAAGAAAAACGAGCGTCGGTTAACTACTCTCTATAACAGTGTTGTATCAAAACCATTATATATGGAATTACAGATATCTGCTGACTAGGCAGATATGACTCTATAACAGCAATCACAGTCACTATCGCTGGTACAATAAAGAGATGAACCTTAGAAAGCTATTCTTATCGGAAACATCATCTTAGACTCGACAGACTAGGGTAAATAGTTCTAGATATTCGCTGGTCGGGTCCAAATATTCAAAACCGCCCGACAAGACCATTAACAGTCCAATTGCTGCATCATAGTCTCCCTCATATCAAGTATTAATATAAAGGAATAATGACCTCTTCCTGTAGCATAAGGTATCAGTGATATAGATCAGCCATTATTACTTTCATAGAATATAATAAGTATATAGAATTTATTGCTACTGTAGACAAGCGGCTCTATCCTATTAACAATTTACTTGAGCTTCAGGCGAAAAGATTATTATAGGCCGAAAACCTATCTCTAAACCCAATTAGTGATTGGGTTCGGGCTTATTTTCTTCTGGCTTGGTTCCTGAGTCTTCTCTCTCTTTTTTTCTAAAAAAGTAGAAATTAAAAAAAAAAAAAAAAAAGAGTTATAATATCTTCCATAGTAGATCTATCAACAACAGCCCATAATTTTAGAAATCTAGAAATAAGTATAATAGATTGTTTTATAAGATTACGGTCAAGCACAGCAATACTGTGATTAAACTGTAGATTGGTTAGTTACGTTACCAGAGAAGGCTGAGTAATAGGAATTTAAAGTTGCTAGCTTTGTTTGTGGATCCAGGCCTGGGCTGTTATAAAAGCGGTGTAGAAGCGGTAGGAATAGAATACAATATACGAGGAATCACAAAAAATTGTATAGTAAATAGAGATAAGTTAGTGGATAGACAAATAGTAACTTGTACAGACAGCTATAGTAATATTATCTCTCAAGGCCATGTCATTTCTAGTGTTATAGATCTGTATAAAGAAAACCGTACTAGAGAGTAGTACAGTTAGTCACAGTATAAGCAAGCCCGCAGAAGTGTCGAAATAGACAATTTTAGTGGGATAGAGTATTAAACAGATCGGGAGAAGGAGCGAGATTCTTATCAAAAACAGCGAGGAGGACTGAGCAGTGGGGTAATTGACTCAGGCTGCTCCGGGCTCACTCCGGGAGCGCACCTGACCCGATCGGGCAGTGTTACCGTCAACGAATTTACAAATAAAAGTACTGTTTCTAAGAAAGTATAAGATAATAAAAAAATATAAGTGTAATATAGATATACTGTATATATAATGTACTCTAAAATAGTTCCCGTTGACTTATCACCTTTTTTATTAAGTTCAATTTAGGGGTTATAGTGCCTAGATTTAGGGGCCAGTATATTTAAAATTAATGGTAGTTCTATATCTAGTAATACAACCTATTATGTATGTAATATAGAGCTATTTCCTAGTAACCTTGATTTTTAAAATCTAGAATTTACAGCGAAATGTATAAAATATATAAATCTTTTAGTATTTCTATAGAGGGCGGTTAGATATAAATACAGAAATCTTAAATACTCAGGATTATCATAGGAATTCTACTGGCAGAAATCGATAAGAACCCGTTGTTGCTGAGTGGCCGCTATGATCCTCCGTAGGTCGGGGTAGCGCCAGTACCGAATCTACTGAGCTAAATTATCAAATCAGTTACACGCATTTGTATTGTCGATCAAAGTATACAACAACAGCTAGCTCCAAGGCTCACCTTAATATTTCCTCTCGGAATACTCAACAAACCCCAGGAGGGTATATCCATACACCTTGACTCTTCGATTGATCGCCTTACTTCAATGCCAAGACCATTGCTGCATTATATGCGCCAGTCAATGTGGCCGATCCACATGACTCATTTACAGTCATGATGACCCTGCATGGTCCATTTTGTATACAGAATCAACCTAGTCAGTCTGCCAACCAGAAATAGCACTCTAAATGCCGTATAAAGGCAGCTTGCATGTCTGGAGGATTTAGGTAGTAGAATGGGATACCTTCTCAGTCCAACACATCCTATTGCAGTCTCCTAGAAATAAAGATATAAATACCTCGGCTTCAAGTCTACCGCAACTGAATGAACCTCTCCCTCCACATCACCAGCTAAAGTCATTCAACTACAGCGATGGATCAGTATAACACGAAAGAGGATGTCCGTAAGTTAAGCATCGTCGACCCCGAGCTCGAAGAAGTAAGTAAACACGACGCCACATTGTTCCTGAACAATCATCTCATTATCAAAATAGGTTCTTCAACATAGCCCACCATTTGCAATGGACTTTTCATCACCCGTGGAGCAAATGCGCCAAATAGTTTCGGCAATGGAGAAGACCGCATACGAGTCCTGTCCAACATTTGACACCCAGGAAACTGTGATTGATATCCCGATGCGTGATGGGTATCAGAGCAACCTTCACATTGTCAAGCCAGGAAACTCATCCGGGGCAAACCCTGTGGTGGTTCTTATATTTGGTGGAGCTTTTGTGATGGGTACAAATATCCAATCGATTGTCTGGGCCCGCGCAATCGCATCTCTGTACGGTGCTACTGTGGTACAACCCTCCTATCGGCTAGCACCAGAGCATAAATTCCCGACGGCCCCGAATGACATATGGGATAGTGTGCAATGGATCGCTGCCAATGCACCCGCGCTTGATGCAGACTTGACCAAAGGATTTGTGATTGGTGGTGGATCAGCAGGCGGAAACCTTGCAATTGTCACAGCACATCGTTCCGTAAAAGAGAAGCTCTCTCCGCCCATCACAGGCGTTTTGGCCAGTATTCCAGTATGCATGAGCCAAGAGACTGTCCCAGAAAAACACAAGGACCTTTGGGTATCTCGGGAGCAAAACGCCTATGCGCCGGGAAATCCTGGTCTCGATTCAAAATCTATTGGGGGATATGAGGCTCTCTACCAGCAGGATTTCAAGTCAGAGGACTTTTCGCCCTTTAACTCGACCGTACCATTCTCGGCTCTTCCACGAACGTATGTTCAGGTCGCAGGGCTAGATATTCTCCGCGACGACGGCATTGTTTATGCAAGGGTTCTGAGTGAGAATGGTGTTGAGGTGAAACTGGATGCCTACCCTGGCATGCCACATGGCCATTTTAATTTATGGCCACGCCTGAAGCAGTCAATCAAGTCTCAAGAGGATACTATATGGCATGCGGGATGGCTTTTGGGTCGCCAGGTGCCCAGGGAAAGGGTGGAAGAGCTTGTAGCGGTGATTGTGAAATAATATGTTTTGGATAGTTGTAGAATATCAACTTTTCAATTCATTATGTCTTAAACCTGGGGCCGTAATGGTAAATCGACTGGAAAAAAGAGTCTGGAAAGGAAGGGAATGTGCCAGTTTCGAGATTGTCAAGGCAAAGTACAATAGTAGATTATAAGGTATTTCCATCTAATGGAGAAGATTCGAGAATATATATTCAAATTGACTATGTTTAGATCTTTGTAATGTCTCAATTCTACTAGTTTTGGTGGTTATGGATTTCACTCGTGTATCCAGTTCTCCTCAAGCGTCTCTATAATCAGTGAGGTCCTTCACCTAGAATAGATCAAGATTCCAATCTCTTACCTTAGCAACAGAAGGCTAAAGTGTGATATGCCTCTACCAGTAGGAGGTTTTACATATGTATAGACCTGGCAACATATGAAGATAAAACACCTCATCTAAACACCACTAGCCATGATATTGTATAATAGGTACTGCAGTACCACCACAGACACACAGACACACAGCCATAGTTGTTAAAAGAACGACATACAGATATGCTTTATCAGATAAAGCTTGGTGAGGCATTCTCTTTTCTTTGCAAGAGACAGATTCATTGACATGAACTATACATCGCCTATTCCACCGTAGCTCTTTAATCTTCTTCGTAGAAGTAAAACTCATTATCACCATGTCTCAGGACAATGTTTGGATCTAAGCAAGTCAGTAAGACGGACTTGGTTGAGTATCCTAGGCCGCTCACCATATTTTCTGCTTTTCAAAGAAACCTTGCTATTGAGTGGCAGGTCAATGCCCATACCTAGGTCCTCACATTTGTACTTTTGATAACGAAAGGTATCCGGGGAATCGACGTCCGCCACTTTCATTGTAATTCGCTGTACTTCTCCAGTGACATCATCGATTTTCGGATTATGTTCGGGGCAATCAACAATAATATTGTCACCGATAGCAACCACGTCGCAATCCCAATATCCGTCAAATTGAACAGAGTTATGGTGGAACTTTATTCCAGGCATTGTGGAATGCTACTAATAGGTTTTGGTATAGAAGAAGAAGAAAAGATATTGTTCTGATTAACTTTAGTCCCGTCAAAATTTGTGATTGTTCGGGACGTGGATGAGTTCTTCAGACTGAAGGACTTTGACACGATTATATATACATAGAGAATAGTCAAATCAATGATGTAATGCCTCATTAGTTAACCACATCCGTTCAAGAAGAGTCAAAGTATAATGAAGTAGAAGACGTAATAATATAACAGCGACTTTCCGCATGCATCACAAAGTTCGGGATTTCAGAAACAATGACACTTAGTAAAGTATCTCAAAAAACATAAATCTCTCTCAATAGTGGCGAGAAGTGAGTCGATATCACATTCCAATCTGCATTCCCTACCAAATAGCCTGGATCTTATGACCGAATATCAATTTGGCTCAGATAACGTTGCCAAAAAAAAGTTGTCGCTCTTTAAGATGTCGTTAATTCTGGTGGGATCTGGCTGATTATCCTTCAATAGGGAGAGATCTGTCCGCGAGACTGTAGCTGCAGGAGATGTCCTCACTAGAGGGTTCCACTACAATTCCTAGTGCAGCCCCGATTTCTCCATTGTCATGGCCGAGATGTGTGCAGATATTGAACGGATAAACCATCGTCGGAGTACCTTGCACCTTTCCGTTGAGACCCAACGAAGGATGCCCTCATGGTTGTGTTGTTTAGAAAGGAAAGGTATTGTTCGGTTGATGAACCTGACCGAGCGCGCGCGAGAGGACCTTCTCCATGACTATCTACTTCTTGAGGTTTAGCAGAATTTCTTCAACTGCCAGAGGAATTAGAGCGTCACTCACCAGTCAGAAAATGACCAACTCTAGATAGTCAATCTGCGGACAACGAGATCTAAGTTGTGTGGTATTAGTTAATACGAAGCTCTCCTGATCGGATGATAAGGTGGCCGTCAACAGTGTATAAATCCCCCTTTCTCCCCCTTCTTTACTTTTCTTTGCTTTGCGCTTTTTGCAAGCCCTGATTTGCCCGTTGCATGCTTCCAATCTCTGTTTTACCTTTATATAGTACCCGTTGCACATACATCACGCCGATGTGGAGTAGAAGGATGTCTCCTTCTTGGCATAGAGTAGTCGCCTGTATCTGGAGACAGACACATTAGCCCTAGATGCTGATTTCATGGATGTAAAGATGACCTCATTACTAATCACCTGCGTATCGAATATTGATTGTGTCCCATTGAGATTACCCACGTTTCTATAGGGAATGCAGGTGTTACGTCTCATGCAACGGACTATTGAATGGAGATTATGCAATGCATTGCCCGCTAGAAGCACGCGGCTGCAGGAACGAGGCCAACCACTCCTGCGATATGGTGGGCACATACACAAACTTATGTACATCACATGCCTAATTTTCTCAATATAAATATATATTGTCGCATATATGCCAAGTCTTTGATTTAATCTCCCAGGAGACAAGATTTGACTCAATTGATTTGAGAAACTATGAATATAAAAACATCCCTAAAGTTGAGCCCAGATAACCCCAACTCCGCAAATTCAAGGTGATGAACACCCACAAACCCTAAGAATCATACTGAATACCTCATATCCGCCCCAATTTACCCGCATTCTGCCAAAATAAACTGAATGTAACGTAACCGGAGTATCTCCGACCGAGTTTACCCCTCTCGAAGATCCCAAAACGCAACATATGCAAGATCTCCCCGCTTCACACATCCCAACTCACCCGAAAAGCAAAAAGCAGAAGCAATGGACTCATTAAAAGGAAAAGTCTACGCCGTAACCGGCCTAGCAGGCATCGGCCTCGCTGTCGCAAAACAGCTCTATAACTACGGCGCACGTCTCTCCCTTGCCGACATCGACGAGACAGCTCTCTCGTCTGCTTTCGCGGAACTCAATTCGGACAGTGAGAATGTGCTCACGACAAAGGTTGACGTGGGGTCTTCGGCATCCGTGGATGCGTGGATCGAGGCTACAGTTCAGCACTTCGGGCGGCTAGATGGCGCTGCTAATATGGCGGGGATGATTGGAAAGAAGCATGGGACGGGGAGATTGACGGAGCAGGATGATGACGAGTGGGATCGATTACTGAGGGTGAATTTGACGGGGACGATGTATTGTGTGCGGGCGCAGGTGAGGAGTATTTCTGCGACTTCGGGCAAGGGGAGTATTGTCAATGCGACGAGTATTCAGGGCATTAGGGGGTTTGGATTGCATGTGGCTTATTCGACATCGAAGCATGGGGTGGTTGGGTTGACGAAGAGTGTGGCCAAAGAGGTTGGGCCGGAGATTAGGGTTAATGCAGTTGCGCCGTGAGCTTTTGTCTCCTCTTTTAGGGATAACAGTTTGGGAGGTGCTAATGTGTTTCTAGAGGATCTATTCAGACACCTTTGCTTGACAAATCTATTGTCATTCAAGGCGGTTATACACAGCCCCCGACGATTATTCCTCGCACTGGGACGGCAGACGAAGTTGCTCAGTCGGTGTTGTTCCTACTCAGTGATGCTGCCTCATTTACAACTGGTACAGTCCTTCAGGTGGACGGTGGGTGGGATCCATAAGTTGCTTGTTTTGGTCAATGAACGGAAATGAGATGGTTCATGATGGTCATATCTAAAGTGTAGTCTATATACATGTGTCCACGTGTGTCGTCCAGCAACACTTGCGAAACAACACGAGGCCAGGAACATCACTCTATATATATCTGCAACTCAGCCCAGCATGACTGATCGTTGGTACATGGAAAGGGTATAATAGGAAATCAAACAATCATCAACATCCAATACCGCAATATCACCTGTGGAGCCACAGAAAGCCTGTCGCGACTAGGAATACAAATAGTAATATGAGTTTCTGACCAGTAAAGCGAGCTGGAAGTAGAATCAGAGCCAAGCAACACATACACAATATGACGACCATGGTGAAGGTGTAGTCCGGCTGAAGCGTGGATGCAAAGTTTTTCGATTCTCTGCCAGAAAGCAATTAGTATCAGCTCCTCTTTCAGGGTGCCCGGGAACGAACCTTGCTACAGGCCAGCCATCCTCGTAGTCGAGGTAGCTCCAACCCAGTAAGGCGTCCTAAACAGTCGTTATTAATGGTTCTATTCGGATTATTTCATAATGCACTCACGCCATGCAAGAAACCGACACTCGTGTTAACTGCGAGGGTGGAATATTAGCCAGGCCATGAATGGAACGCGATCCGAGCAAAACATACGATAATGATAATATAAAATTTCTGGATCCGTGGTAGTGGCAGGCAGCACCCCAATCCCACCAGGAGCATAGACGATTCCATGGTTTGAATCGTAAACAGTGGTGCCGCCCCCGTCCGTCAGTTTCTTTCCGTGCTTGTCCACAAACGGACCTCGCACATCCTTCGACCTTCCAACCCGAATACTATACTCCTGCCCCATAGTCGGGAAACCTTTATTAAAATGACAGCATTTTCCATGACTAAACCAGAGATAATAATAAGAATCCTTGTAGCTCATGAAAGACCCTTCATCCGGCTTTGGTTTTCCATCTGGTATATATACCAAATTCTTCGCGTCCGGCTTCTCGGCGTTCTTGACAGACAATAGGTCATCGGCCAATGGCACCTGGAAAATGCCATGCCAGTAACTACCATATAGCAGGTACGGCTGTCCCGTTTGCTGGTCTACTATGAACGAGGCATCAATGGCATTGGATACAGTATATGGCCAGACATGGGACAAAGGACCCTTTTCAGTATAGATCAGGCCCCCATGGTCTGTCCAAGAACCATTCTCGATCGAGTCGGTACTTGCAACGCCGATAGCGCTATTGCGAACTCCATTCTCGCTAACTGTGTAGAAACAATAAAACTTTCCTTTCCATTCCACCGTGGTTGGAGCCCAGGGACGCGTCCGGTTTTGTTTCTCGATGATCGTGGGACCGTCTAGGACCGTTCCAATCTTCGTCCAGGGCCCTGACAGGCTGGATGATTTGAATATTGGGACTTGGATCCCTCCTTTGAATAGATAGAAATTATTTTCGTACTGCAAGATATTGGGGTCATGGACGTCGAGGTGGCCTTGATTTGGCAAGGGATATTTTTCCGTTTTTGAAAACACATTAGGGGGGTGCGCAGGCTTGAGGTTTTCCGAGGGCGCCGCCTGCACCATGCCCAATAGGCAGGCTAAAGATATGATGTAAATGCGAAGCATTTGCGGTGGCTCTCAGCCGATAAGAAGGCTGAGATCGGTATCAATTTAAGAGTGGGCGATAATAGCAATTGTGGTCGCGGAGATGGGGGGAAGAGAGCTGGACAATAAGGAGCCGTCAAGAGACTCGCAGCAATTGGCACTGCCTGCTTGTGATGTCCCGAAGCTTGATCTCAGTGGCAGTAAGACCGATAGGCAGCCACGATCTTCGGAGACCCACCCAAATAACGCAAGGGTCTCGTCACAACACTATTGAGCAAACGAAAGTCAAGACGCGTGGCAGTGCACATCGCGGAAAGGGTGAGAAAAGTATAAGCCAAAGCGAAATTGGATCAACGTTTCAAGTGAGTGTGACAAGAGACACCTGAGGAGGAGGCGCAGGGGGAAACAGAAAGTCAGCAGGGGACCTTTCAGCCTGACGGACGGGATATTAATAACTGCGAATTAGCTTCTACCAAGCTTTTCATGGACCTGGAAGGGTCACGACCTGACGGCCAATCGTTGACTCCACATGCTCCCAGGGGAATTGTCGGGATGATTAGATAAACCCTAGTGGGGATCTGCATCAGAATGCCCGTGAGGTGTAAAGTTCCTGGTGGTAGAAGGGTCAGACCCTTGCAGAAACTTTCCATCGCATTAACACGCGAGCTACATTGAGACTCAGGAGCTCTGCGTACTCGTCAGCCATTCAGAGTTCCAGAGTCTTAGGGCAAGTCGATATCTGTTTCAAAGAGGTCTTGCACGTGACCCGCAGACTAAACATTTCAAGATATGAAGGGCCTACCAAGCAGTCATGATGGTCTTTGTTTGAATTATGTGGAAATTCTGGCTACATGGGATGTTCCCATCACTTATTCTTTTTAAAGTTTTCTGCGGACTCCTGATTGCAGGCATAAAGCGATCGGATCATGGCCAAGGGCTTACTGTACTTTTAGCCTATACAAAGCGTGGGAGATCTCCACCACAACTTTGTCCTTTTGGCAAAATGCAGGAAGTCCAGGTGCGGTGGTTCGCACATGGGCAAGCCTTGAAACAAAGAATGGAAATACAAATCCGACCCAAGGTGTCCTGTCTTGCACCTGATACAACATCCTGCTGCTCTGACTACAATCCGTGGTCATCACGGCCACCATCTGCATAGCCCTAGCTAGACCTGTCTTTGGCTCACCCACAGGCCTTTAAGCATATCACCCAGGACTTGTTTCCGCACTTTTGACTTTTGATCACGATTGATATCTACCGAAACTGGCGCCGTTCTGGGATGTCGACAGTTGACCCTTGTCAGTATATTGCATTTTGTGTTTTACCAAGTATTTTCGAATACTAATGCATTAGCTATGGTATACGGACTTCTTAACCAGAAACCGAACCTCAAAGCACACATACAAGAGGCAGATGCGTGTGAACAGCGGATATAGTGGGGTACAGACCAATCCTTTATGGGGAAGGGATGTTCATTAAGTTCAGGGTCTGGGGAGCTGGTTCCTTGGGCGGTTAGGTTCTTGAGGCTAGATATAGCATTCTTTTCACTGTCTAGGAGATTGTAATCGTTATATTTACTATTAATATTGCTAGTACCTATACATGTTCATCGCTTGATGATGTGAGACACATTCGGCCCAAATTCATCGGTGAACCGCTTCTCCATCTCAATTGCCCATGTGACTGTGCCCTAATGTGTTAGTAGAGACAGAACCAAATACTCCTGCATACGCCAAGCTTGGAGCTCCAGTGCAGCTAACTTTAGTAAATAGACAAATGAACTAAAGATAAATCTTGGTCAACAGTATGTTCCTCTATTTACACAGCTTGTGCTTCTACGTTACCAGTCTTGGCACTTCTAAAGATAAAGCTGCGCATTGTATATGTTGACTTTCCCATGTATCTTATCTCTTACTTCCCCAAAGATTAGATCTCCTATCTCTTTTACCAATCCATAGAGTCTTCGGATGACAGTCTTTCACTCATGTTGAGCCAGATAGAGGACACCTGGCTCACAACATGTAAGCTTCGTCTGGATACCCGCATTAAAAAGCGGAACAGGTAATATGGGAGCATGGTTCGGGAGGTCTTGAGAGAAATAGCGTTGAACATATGGAAATAGTGCCAAGCTTAGAGAACACTGTAGGTATTGCGGGGTTGTTGGAGACGCGTTCTAGACTAAGAGGGGGAAAGCGATACGATCACATAATAGCTGCGGGGAATGGTAAATTCAATATAACATAGAAATAAATACCCTCCCCTCATTCTTTTCCTTTGTTTCTCCAACATCCAAGTACCTTCATATTCCCAATTGCCCGTATATCTGATTTTTCGTTGTCAACAATGTCTTGTCCAAATCTCGATCACATCGTCATTCTCATCCCTCATGACGATCTCCTCACTCTATCCGACCGCCTCCAACCTTACTTCGTTATAGCGCCAGGCGGGACCCATGCCGATGGATTGACCTCGAATAAATTGATTCTCCTCCCGGACGGAGTCTATATCGAATTCATCGCCTTCGCCAAGGATGCCGATCCCGAGCAGCGCCGAAAGCATCGCTGGGGAAATCTAAAAGAAAACACCATCATCGACTGGGCCCTCACATTGCCGAGCGAGAGCGACTTCGCTGCTGTCCAGCAGCGAGTTCTCGACTCGAGAGCTGGTTTTTCCTATCAAGATCCGATTCCCGGAGGTCGAAAGAGGGAGGACGGAGTCACCTTGGAATGGGCCATCAGTGCTGCGAGAGACGCCCAAGGCAACGCAATCATCCCAGGGCATTTGCCGTTTTGGTGCCTCGACAGAACGCCTCGGCCCTTGCGGGTGCCCTACCAGGAGCAGCTCGAGCTGACCCAGCATCCCAGTAGGGTGTTAGGAATATCTTCGGTCTCTGTGTCTGTTCCGGAGGCACAGGTTTCCGATCTAGCGACAGTATACGATGCGATCTACACCTCGGAGGGCTCGACGGGGTTGGCGCCTCGAAATTGGCATTATGAGGTTCCCGCAGGATTGCACGAAGGAAGGCGCACTATCTCGCTGTCTGCGAATAAAGGGGAAGCAGCCGTCACGCTCACCTTGTATGGAGAAATGCAATGGGAAGTTGAACTTCTGCCCGGGCTTATAGTTGCGGTTGAGCGAGTATAGCTTTAATCCTCATTTGTATTTAGCCCTGGGAATGAACCGTCTGAACTAATAGATTTTCACATTTCTTCCAACGTCTTTCTAATCAACGCAGTAAAAATCCCATAATTCCGAGATTAGAAAAATATTTAATGAATATTAAACACAATGACTGACTATTCGATGTAAAAACTACTACTTCTGGAAATTAACTCGGTAAACTTGTACATACATCAATAGTGTGGAGACTTGACCTGCCAGAAGCTACTCCCTCCTGCAAACAATTTAGATTTTCCACCTTACCAGCCAAAGCACCTCAAGCTATATATCATGTTAAACATAGACCCGTTTCATATACAGAGTGGAAGCCTAGCTTGCGATGAGGCCGGCCAATGTCCTTCTACTACTAATTACGGCGACTGCAATTGAATTTATCCTTGTAGAAGACCGATTTGACTAAGGTCTCAAATAGCTAGACGGATAACACTCTGTCATTATCTATAAACCAAAGTGTCACTACAGCATTCAGAAGATGTCCAACTGAGTATCTCCCCCCTTAAGGTGAACCGCCAACGGACGATTAGATGGTGTGAATCCCACATTCCAGACAGCATCTGCTCCGGTCACAAGGGTCTTAGTCGCTCCAGATTCATGATTGACTAAATATACCGAGCCATTGGTGTTGCCAACGAGGATATTTTCGTCATCTGCCACCAACGAAATCACACTTCCGCCTTTCTCTTCAGATAAAGTCCGACCCGACGCTTTATCTAAAGACCACACTTTCACCAATCCTACACTATCCGCAGAGATCAGAGTATCCTCTCGTAAGAATAGCCGGGTGACAACTCGACTGTGGCCGGAAAGAGCTCCTAAACAAGCTCTGGATGCGTGGTTAGTCGACTATCGTGGAGCAAATAGATAGCAGGGGAGCAAACCCTGAGCGCGGATCCCAAACCCGGATAGTTGAATCCAAACTGCCTGTGACGATCCGAGACCCGTCAAAACATAAATCATACAAAGGCCCTGTATGGCCTTTGAGCACATGGAGACATTGCCCGGTGTGAATATCCCAAACCCGCGCTTCCCCGTCATACCCCCCTGAAACGAGCAGCCCACCGTGTGCTTTGAGGCGCCGCACAGTTTCTGTGTGCCCTTTTAGAATCAACTTTGGATCAGTTGAATCAGAGTTCAAGTCCCAAATACAGATGGTCGAATCGCGACTACCAGAGATAAGCGTGGTATCATCTGCCAACTGGAGGCTGCGGACAGTTGCAGTATGGCCCTTCAGTGAGCGAATGACTGATCTAGACAATGTTAGCAATCTTTATCTGTGAAAGCCATCATGAAGCTAGTCACTTTGTGTGTATATTCCATATCCGGAGCTCCCCCTCCGTTCCACCCGTTACTAAGAGGTTCTTATCCTCGCGTAAGGCGAGAGACCAAGTGATATTACCCTTCTCTTGTAGTGTAGTTAGGGAGTTATCAGCGAAGTCGAATATGTAGAGAGCAGCTTCCTTTGCGATCACGAAGTACTTGGATCCCATCTCGCACGCGGTCACAGCCAAGCCATCGCGCGGAAAAGTCTTGTGGATGGTGGCCTCGGTTGGAATGCTGAAAGCCATGACGGGTAGAAATAAAAAAGGTTGATTTATATACGTTCACAGCCAGACTAAAATGTTATCATAACCACAATAATGGCGGGTGAACAAGAATAAATATTGGCGGCGGAGTCCAGAATGATGCCTTGGGGCCAAACTCAGCCTCATTACACCGGGTGGGGCATTCATTGCAGATCTTCGAAACTTTAGGTCAAGTAAACCAGGATGACATTCCTTTATAATTTGCTTGAAACCTGTTTTGAAACTACCTTTATAGACTGAAACCCCCAGATCTTCTTGACACCAGGAAGCCAGCACAGCAATGAGCCGGATATATCTATCAACCGATGAACAGCTAAGGATATCATTGATCATTTCGACTTTTTTAGATACAACTATAACTAGTATACAGGACTATGATACTATCATAAGTTTGAAGAGTCAGTTTTGCTCTGCGTATCATTGATTATGGAATTCAAGAAGTGCCGCGAGCTGAGTACGGCCTGATGAAACTAGGAGTTGTTCATTGTTATATTTCTGGTAGACCATTCATAAAGCTTCAATGCAGCCTCAAGTTAAAGGTATGATAGAAAGATAACGCCCCAAAACAAACCGTTGTAGCCAGATCAAACTCCGCCAAGACACTTTTTCAACCATTCTATCCTCTTACTATCACAACCCTGAACTTGATAATGAATAGTCCCTCTCGCCTTGAGACTCATAGTAGTGCTGATGTGCTGCAGCAACGTTCGTATATGTAATAGTTCGATTTCCTGGCCGCAAGACATATCGAAAATAATTTCCCCAATCGCGTGCTTCTTCGGAATAGCCTTGCAGGTAGTTCTCCAACTGCTTTCGAGTATAGACATGTTCGGTCCTTTAATAGAGCCGTGTTTTTCTTCCGGAGTCAACTGTCTTGACGAAATGGGACGTAGGGTCTTGAGACGTAGTTTGCGCATCCCATTGCGGATCTCCACATTTTCAGGCATGGTATTCTCAAACATTTTCTTTGGGTCATTGGGATCTTAAAAGATGAAGGCATACGTCGATAGGTTTTTCCCAACATCATCTAATGGTATCTTCGTAGTGGCTGAACTGATGGGGTTAACGTTAAAGCATGCAACGTTTCCAAGATTGTTGATGGTGATGAGCGTTTCGGTGGCCATATTGTATGGTAAGGAGAGAGATTGATAATACTGGTTAAGTCGACTGTCCAGTATTATATAAGTGACTATTAGAGGATGCAGTACTAAGTCTCATGGAAGGGAAGATGACTTGGCTTATGTGGACAGCCAGGGCTCTGCCTTGAAGACATGTGGTGGGGGTAGAGAGGGCGGGACCCAACTCAGGAACCAGAGAAAATTGATAAGAGAGTGAATTACTATATAATCCACAGCATGATGTAACCAGTACATATATGGATGTGTATATTCGGGTGATGATCGGGGACGTATCGCGAGGGGAGGGGAGTGGGGAAGCGGGTTTACCCTGTTCATGTTGGTTTGGTGGGCTCCCTATTCATTTCTCAAAGTGGTTACTGAGAATATGTTAAGAGTCAGGACAGATGTCTATGGTTTCGCATTTGCATGGTATTGTCTGAAATCCAAGCACGCTCGTTAATAGGCAAACTGACTAGATTCCGATCAAAAAAGCTCTCTTCTATAACTAGGAATCCTGGCGTATTATCATAATCGTGTAACATCGGTCCATTCCCCTTGATCTTATCCTCCCAGTATCTTGGGTTCATTGGCGAACGACTGGGCCGTAGCCCAACATAAATCTCTGGGATGGTGACCACGAAAGGGAAAAATACCTCATTTGTGTCCTGTTCCAAGTAGCTCTTCGTTGGGCTCTCAGAGTTGGCCACAGATATGTTGACGATGCAGTTTGCATACGCATGCTGCATCTAACGGCATTCTAATCTCTAATATTTACCCTGATCTCCACTTTGGATTTTACAGAGAGAATCAACCCACAAGTAGCGAATCGATAGTCTCTGGATGAAGGCAATACTCTCACGGAACGCAACAGGAAGATCCGTGTATGACGTGCCTTTCTTAAGCCTCCTGGCTAAGTTTGATGTAGTCAATGCCCATTTAACCTCAACGTTCCCCCAACAATAGCTCAACGCCACATAGGGGCCGGAAATTGGTTTCTGGGCTGGTATCACGAGTCGAGCGCTGGAACGACCAAGCTTCAATAACCGTGTTGGATATGAAGAGGGATGCTGGTTACTCCGGCAGTTTCGATGTCCGGTCAAGCATTGTTTCATCCACGCGTGCGCTGCTCGCCAGCCGTGTTGAAATGCGTCGTCCTTATCTCTTTTCGTAATTGATCCCACCACTTCTCCAAATGGGTTTCGAAATACCTTAAATCCCTGCTTACTTGTAAAGGGTTTTCCTTGTTGAAATGTATGGACTGTTATTGACAAACCTCCATTATCTGCTTTGTCCCAAAGCGTATATGTCCAGGGTTCCGAGACGCATTTGTCCGTAGAACCAGACACCCTACGACAGCAGTGTAATAATGGTCCACAAATGGAGCAATTATTCGATGCAGCTTCACTTAAACTGGAATAATCCTCATGATGAAGGCCCTCAGCCCCTGGCCCAGCTTTTCTCTCATTAACGTCATAGTTGACAAACATGCATGTGCAGATATCACAAAGCATCGCGGTTAAAACAGGTTAAGTGAACAAGCTGAGGTTGAGACAGACAAGATTGAAGATGGCCTTTTTAACGAATAAGCTCCTAATCTACGAAGCGAGTCTTAATCTAAGCCCCACCGTTCATTCATGTGACGTAGCAGACGTAACTTGCATATACGTGTCCGAATTGGGAATGTGCAGCGTTGAAATATAGAAAATGATTCCGCGAGCATTGACATTCTGTCAATGAGTTACATGTAAATCCAACATTTCTCGTGGAACTAGGATAGCTGCGGGTACAGAAAGCTTTTATCTGGGTCGAATCGACAAGAAGAAATATTGAATTTGAACATACCCATAGCTAATGTGGCTGTTGGATTATCTATCGGTAAACTGGATGGTAAAACTACCATGATTCTAGATTTTACTGTACTTCTTAGTGTTCTTGAAACTCCAGTTAAGGTTAAGTCTCTATGCTTGTTTCTCAGGCCATCTTAAAGGGCTATAGACAAGTGATAAGTACCAAGCAACCAAGAGCCAGCGCTAACAATGATTTGCCGCGACAATGGAAACACTAGCATATCCAGAAGCCGGTATGAAGAGTGTGATTGAATGAGACAAATGTAAGATCCATGCTGTGCAGCCAGTTCACTTGTCATGACTCTAGTGGTTCAATTAGGGCGAAGGATAGCGGCAAGCATCAGATCTACCCCACCACGTACAGACTTGGGGCTGATAAAGTTCTGTCAAAAATATGGCCACTTAACCTTTTACATACGTAAAACCATAACAGAAAGTAGTGGGGAATTCGCCACTACACGAAGCTAAACTCCACCGTTCTACCCTTGGTTTGCCGAGGCCCAGACTGATAAGATTGATAAATAATCAAAAGCCTCGGCAAACCGAATTTAATGTGTACGAAACCGATTCATCTCCGGCAACAGAAATATTCTAGGACATTGGTATAGGTATGTATCATTAAGAGACGTCTCGGTTAGTAGAACTAAAAGCCAACAGGCCACATAAATTTGATTGCAATTAGAGCGATAAATCAAGAGTTTCGTTACGTCATGTAATGTAGACGAATTGCCACGACAATCTTCGACGACGTCGAGGTAATCCGCATGTTCTTATTTAGCAACCATCAACGTCAATCCGGATCCGCCGCTCAAGGACCCGAGGATTCCCAGCGTTGCATCGTTGACCTCTTTGTAGCCGGCACCGGCGATCGCAGACACCATGTCACACGTTGCGCTTAGAAAAGGAAGGACTGTATTCAGCGCACGAACACCGTTAGTGAATGTGTGTGACATTGAAAGAGGTTACATGGAGGAAAAACGTCAGAGATGACTTACCAGTTCGTACTTCCTGTTGTTTGGCTATATTTAATCGAGGAATGCCGTGTAATTTAGGACCTCGGCTAGTGCGTTGGTATGTAATCTTGATATTCTTTGTCAAAGAAATAGAAACCATCAAGAATTGACAGATGGTAGCAAGGAGAAGAGCATGAACGGATGCCCGTGTTATCTTGGGTTTCCACTTCAATGGGATCGTGAAAGCAATGGTGGAGAGCTAAAGGCCATGTCTCTGTTCAGTTTTATGTCTAGACGAAGATGGATGGGCGGTTCAATTTGTATAAGAGGAAGAGAGCAATCTCTCAACTCACGTAGCTAACAAGATCTCCTATTGCGAAAGTTGTATATCCAAGTGCCTTAGCAACTCTCAAAATCCGGAGAAGAGCTGGCTCGCTTTTACAACAGATCGCATCTCCCATTTGCTGTAAATGCCCTGGCACAGAACAGATGCGAGTGAGCTTGACCGCGATTCCAATCTCGGCACGAAGCCGCATAAAAAATGATTTGTCGAGCCATCGAAGTCTACATTTGTATCTCCCTGACCGTGACAGGGACAAGAAAAGCCGAATCACATTTTGAACAACTTTTAAGAACTTATCCTGGCCAGCGCTCGTGTTTGTGATAGTATCGAAAAACGCGCGCATTATTGGGGGGAGGGGGGGCTGTATGGGAACTTCACCGGTCAAGAGAATTACCGTAAATAAAATAAATTGGTCTTTGAGACACCGCCATCAATATCGGCATATCGGCAGTATTGGGCTAGGCGTGGCGGCCCGCAAGTGGATTGGATGAAGCAATAGCACGCCACGAACGGCAACGGCAGCGTCATGGCCCGGGCGAGATGCAAAAGTCGACTGTGTGGGTCGCCGATTGCGGCGATTTATTCGGACATTTGGATAATTTAAACACATAGAAACGGCTTTATCGGCATTAAGAAATGTAGATATGCAGGTTCCATGTCGATAGACCCTGTGATACAGTAGCTTGTCCTCATACCCTAGGTGTATATACCCCATTTTGAAAATAAATCTTAGCTATGATCATCCACTTGAAACATATTGATCATAGATATTCCACTAGAAACTAGTTCAAACCTAAACGACCAGGTATTCTAATCCTTGAATTAATTCTTTATTTTGAGAATACTACCAAAAATTAATTCAACCAGTAAGGTTACATGCTTTGGAGAATATATATCGCACTACTGACACCCTATTTCAAACAAGGTTACCACGTTACCGCTGAATCTTCTATCTAAGAAAAAATCTTGCATAGTACAAGCACATCCATTTTCCTACTTATCGTGTAGTACAAATAGAGCCATCTATCATAAGTCGTAGAGGAATGACATAGGCGAAATATAGTACATACTACAGAGTACATAGCTAACTAGTTCTCCCCGATAAGATAAGTGCCGTGATCCGACCAACCCTACCCCCACACTCAAGGCAAGCAGGCAACATCGCGCTGCCTATAGAATACGTTAAACCAACCACTAAAGAAAAGACCCACTTTAGAGAATAAGTAGACTGCTCTTTTCGTCCTTCCATCACGGTCCGACGATCCTTACCTGGTATCAATAACAATGGTTCTATTAACTGATCTGCCCGTCGAGATTCATCATCGAATCCTGTTACTCGTGCATTCTCATCGCGATGTTGGCGCACTCTCCATACAATGCCGCTCACTGCACACCCTTTGCGACATGTCCATGCGCAAGAAATACCGGCGAGTGCACATTGATAACAACGACAAGAGCTTGGATAAAGCATTTGCGATGCTCATGAAAATTCTCAAACGGCCCAGCTTAGGCCGGTACGTGCGTCATATTGAATGCAGCAAAGGTCCCCCGTGTTTCGATGACTACACAGAGCGAACGAGTTCGCTACGAGACCTAGAGGACAAGGAAATACAGCTGCTTCGCGCCGCAATCTGTAGAGTAGGATTCACTGGCTCAGAGACAAATCGCATTCTCAATATGGTTATGCAAACAAAAGCCGGCGAGGAAAGGCCATGGCCCCGATACTTGTAAGACGCCACCCTATAATTGAGCTGTCGTCGCATAACATGCTGACATTCCATATAGTCCTACTAAAAGCCGCGGGGTCTACATTGCACAAGCCTTGACTGCGCTGCTTATCTCAGTTTCGCCGGATTTGGAGTCATTAGCAATGCCACCACCGTTCTACAACTACACTGGCTTTTACTGGCCTGAACAAAGCCACGATTACGAATCAGTCAAATTCCCACTGGAGAGATTGCTTCGTCAGGTTAATTCGAACCCAAACAATATGCCATTCCTGCAGAATTTGCGAAATGTCTACGTGATTAACAACGACAACCTTGATGATGGGCGTTTTTACTTGTCTATGGACTTTATGGGAGCTATGCATCTTATTCATCGTTTGCCATCTATAGAGATGGTTAGAACAGATATTTTACAAGAGGATGAGAACGGGGCGCCAAGGCTGGGGCCTGGATCATCTAACATTAGTCGATTCGCCATCCATCATTCGTCGCTGGGTGTATTTTACCTCACCAATGTCATATGCTCGTCCAAGGTTCTGAGAGAGTTTCAGTACTCTATTGGGGGCAGGGACGTATTAGACGGAAGTTACTCGATATTCAATCCCAAGACATTTTTCTTCACGATCTTGCCACACAGAGAGACACTGGAAATATTGGATGTGGATGCGGAGTGCCATATTGGTGAATTCAACAATGAGGTTGTGGAATATGAAGAATTGGATGAGATTTTTGAGCAATGGGGTGGTCGAAGTGATGCAGAGCATGTTTGGACAGGGACGCCACCGGAATCGTTATGGGGGCAGAGCGGATCACTGCGGGAGTTCCGCGCGTTGAGACGATTGAGTCTCGGTATTCACACCCTGATGTATTACGCTCAGGGTGTCAACCTGGCAAAGAGAGAGCGCTGCAGACTGGCTGATTGCTTGCCGCCGAATTTAGAGTATCTGCTCATTCGGGGGTATCGGAAAGGTCAGGACGAGATACATGACGCTCAGATTGATTCGCTGGTAGCATGGAAAAATAGTGGACTATCCAGCCTGACAGAGATTCAGGGAATTACGGAGTGCATACCGCATGCTGAGGATGTGGGCAACCCTGATGATGAAGATGCCCCACTGTGGGAACGAGACGAGGAATGGTCTTCGGACTCTGATTGACTGGCTTGAATGAAGCTAAATAATACATGAAACTCCACAGTTCCTATTTTAGCTTGATGTGCTTGTCCTTTTTTCAGACATTCGGTGAATTTTGAGTGCCTAAAAAAGCACAAGTCGTTCAGATTCCACGTCTAAGATACTAAGTCCTTGGAATACATTATAATAGAGATCCAATAATCCGAGAGATGTATGGTAGAAACATGAAGAATAGAGGTATTAGAGAATCATTTCGTCTACCTAGGGCAATACAAGTTATCGAGCACTACAGCAGTCCGTGCATTTCTCGTCTTGCTCACCACCAACCAATCATGTTTGAGCAGTGACATGCCCTTGAAAGTTCTTGGCATTGGCCATATACCCTTTTTTCTTTCTTTTATAACCCAAGTTATTTTGTTTCATTTTCCCATCATATGTACCATACGCTTTTCAATGCGATCTGTTTTCAGTATAGGGTTAGCATTCAAGACCGGTTTGACGACTTGCTCCCGGCAACCTCGACTATCACGCATCAGATATACAACAATGGCGCAGCCTGTTGTTGAACGGTTAAGAACGACGGATACATTTGAGAATATCCCTCATCAAGAGCATTTACCAGTTCATATACCTCAATCTCTGGCTTTATTAGAGAGTGAAGATGATTCTGCCATTCGACAAAAGTATCGCCCGTTCATTCTGAGCAATACAACAGAAGAGGACTGGGTCAGCGACCTGGAACTGACGACCGCCTTGAAAATGGCCCAGAATGACCTAAAGAATACAAACCAACGACTCAAGGTCCTAGTACTATACGGGAGTCTACGCAAAAGATCATATTCACGGCTTGTGGCACTGGAAGCATGTCGCATCCTCTTCCGACTTGGTTGCGATGTCCGCGTTTTCGACCCGGAGGGACTCCCAGTCAAGAACGACGTCGACCACGGTCACCCCAAGGTACAGGAGCTCCGTGGTCTCAGCCAGTGGAGCGACGGACATGTTTGGGTGTCGCCTGAACAGCACGGTAACCTTGTCAGTATTCCCTTTCCAAGTCTATTTCATCCCATCAAGTATTATTTTCACCTATTAACTCTTGTTCCGTCCTTAGACCGCAGTCTTCAAAAACCAGATAGATTGGATCCCCCTTAGCACCGGAAGTATTCGCCCAACACAGGGCCGAACACTAGCTATTGCCCAAGTTTGCGGCGGATCGCAATCATTTAACGCGGTCAACTCCTTGCGCATTCTCGGTCGTTGGATGCGCATGTTTACTATCCCAAATCAGTCGTCGATCCCAAAGGCATATACCCAGTTTCCAGATGAAGGTCAACCGGGAGACCAGAGGCTTATGCCCAGTAGTAACCGGGACCGATTAGTGGACTGTATGGAGGAGTTTGTCAAGTACACGATCCTGATGAGACCTCATATGGACCTTTTTGGGGATCGCTTCAGTGAGAGGGAAGAGAGGAGGGTAAAAGAGGCCAAGTTAAATGGAGCTGTATCCATGTAGGATATTGATGATGCGTATATTCCGGACATTTTTTCTGTGTACATATCTAGACTATATCAGAAATAGATTCTGTCAACGGACAAAGAGATTTAATTACTTGAGTTGAAATTATAGCAAAGTCACCTATCTCACCCCATGTAAGGGGCGACACGCTCGGTAATATAGAATAATTATACTAACAGTTATGCCTCGTCGATGCGATCATTCTAGACTCAAATCATGACTAGTTATAGTTATAGCCTCTTTACCTATAAGGCTAGCAAAATAAGATACTACTAGTGAGCCACGAATATTAGCTACAATAACAGCCAGCGGCCTCCTTGGGTAGATAGATAGGAATGAGAAAAGAGTTATCTAGAGCCCAGCACTTGCTTCATAGGCTTCATTCTGATCCGAAAAAAAAAGAAAACGCCCAATGCGGGGCTCGAACCCGCGACCTTGAGATGGCAGACTCAATATAGATAATCTAAAAGTCTCACGCTCTTCCAACTAAGCTAACCGGGCGGTCTACTTATCCTTGCCCGGATATTACCCAATAGATAGGACATGACAAATTTAAAAAAGAATCTCTCACTAGTATTTATCCCATTAATTATCGATCCTCCAATTCCCGATACCGAGAAATGAATGGCTCAATGTATAAAACGGCTGAAGTACTAGGAATCGCTTAGTCAACTGTCAACACTCTATATTGATAGACTTAGCCCTACCTCCTGGCCTGAAGCGCCTTGTTGGTGATAATATTAGATTGGACTGCATTGCTAACAATGGCTCATTATGATTTCTCCATGATACGTGGAATATTCAAGGGTAGATAGATACACCTTGAAATAACACAGGCTCTGTATGAGCCTGGGCCTTTTTTATTTATAATTGATGTCTGCTCAACCATCTATCCGCGTACAAACAATCCGGCAATGTAATTTACATTTCGAACTACCTCTCATCATTGTCATGCTCGTCACCCAACCTGCGCTTCTTAATGGTAAGAGAGGCAATAGTCATGATACCACAAATAGCCGTATAAAATATCCACATATTACTCAACCCGGCCACAAACGCAGCGCGGTCGACTGTTCCTCCTTTTCCGTCATCATTTCCTGCCGCTGCAATTGAGTCCGAGTCCGATAAACGAAGGTCTCCTAATCCACTTTGCGCCACCACACCCCCGATCACTAGCGATAGAGACGTTGCTAGATTCTTCAGAAATGCTAAAGCCGCATTGCCGGCAGCCACGTTCTCCGGCTTCAATGAATTTTGAAAGGCGATCATCGGGGCCTGGAATAGTGGTCCAGAGCCAATCCCGGCAATGAACTGGTAGACCACAATTTTCCATAACACCAGGCGGGGGCCAAAGTCGATAAACAATCCTGTTCCTGTCGCCATGATAAAGCATCCGATCCAGATCACGGGGCGGAATTTGCCTGTGCGTTGCACGAAAAATCCGCTGGCGAGCGTCATGGCGGACAAGGGTAGCACCAGGGCAAATAAGTATAGGCCGGACTGAATGGGACTGACGCCAAGAATGGTCTGAAAGTAGAGTGGGTTGAAGTAGCTATAGGAGATGAAAGTGAAACTGTGACAAAAGGCTGTCAGAAGGCAAGGGACCGTTGACCGACTGACCAGACTGCGGAGGGGAATGATAGGGCACTTGGCGACAGCCCACTCATAATATCCCCATATGACCAGAATCAAAATTCCTCCAATGATTAGACCTAGAGTAAAGGCCGAGTCCCAGCTATGTTCGTTGCCGCTCCCTGATTCGAGTCCATACAGGAAGCAGACTGTGCCTCCAACCACCAAAACGGAGCCAGTCCAGTCAAATGAGCGGAGGGTGGCAACAGATGTGGTCACTGGCTCAAGGTGCAGAAAGAAAAACAGAATAACTAGCGAGAGGCCATCGAACGGCAGGTTAATATAAACTGCGGTTGCAATGCAGTAATACGTTAGCAAAAGTCACATCTCACGGGGTTTGGTCAAGCAACTCACAGCACCAACGCCAGCCAATTGTTTGTGTGAATACTCCCCCCAATATCGGACCGACACCACTGGAGATAGCCCAGACAACCCCCGTCAGTGCATAATATTTCGCCCTTTCGCGAATGGGAAACAGATCAGCAACTATGATGGTCACCATCACAATAATTCCCCCACTGCCCACTCCTTGTAACACTCGTCCTCCGATCAGCATGAGAGGGGTTCTACTAAGCGCACAGACAACGCTCCCGCATAGAAAAACAACATTGGCAATCATTAAAATTATCCTGCGGCCCCAGATGTCTGAGATCTTGGCCCAGAGGGGAGTTGTGGAAGTACTAGCGAGAGTATAGGCGCTGCCAACCCAAGTATATTCCGATGTCGTCGCATGGAGATGGCTGGCTATGACTGGCAATGCGGGTGCAACTATAGTGGTGTCGAGTGCAGCCAGAAACAGGCAAAGAAAGAGTGAGACGATCACAAGATGAGAGCGAAATCGTTGTCGCCAGGGTATAGACAGAGTGGATGGCTGCAATCTGTTCTCCTCAACATCACTAGTCAATGACTTCTCTGAAGCCATGGTCGTACTCGGGAGGTTAGACTCAACAGATGTCTATCTGTGTAGGCCGAGTCTATGGGTAGGTGAATGCGAAATCCACAGAGTTTCACCAACAGGATTTTCAGCACAACGGACTGGGAGGAGCTGAAAGATAGTCAGTGGAAGACTATCCAGAGGGTGTCGCTCCATTCACCAGAATACTAAATCTAGAACTTCCAACTACTGAGGGCTATCGCGGCTTGGCACCGAGGATCTCTTCGGGGCCCCCCGAACGATGTCTCGGGTCCAATCAAATGTCCCAGTTGCCAAGGGCCACCTTACCGAATGATAGCAATCTACTGGTGATTAATCTAGGTAGAGTCATAATTGATTAGTACCCGTCTTTCGCGTGTACATTCTGATCAACATGGTAAGGACTTCTCAGCCCGTGCAACTCTTCCACGCCTTCCAGGGCGACTGAGACGCCCTCCACCATACCTAGCCCACACATCATGACCCTACCATCGCCTTATTGTTCATCTATAACGGTATTTTTTGGATGCTTCCTTCATGGAGTCATCTCTGAGCTGTATCTCCGCCAAAGGGTGCCCTGACAAACGTGCAGAATAGGCAATAATAAAGATAGCTGACAAATGGCTACCTGCACGCCAGACAGTCATTCCATACTGACTGGGAAAAAACTAAAAAAATCTAACTACACCCGACGCCCTTAGTAAAACTTTCCACTGATAATAGTTAGTCCACACGGGTCACTTACAACGGAGTCTGTTGATGGAACACCATCTCCCACTGCTCAGAGCCTATCTTCCGCCAGACACTGGAACACAGCGCATCAAAGCTCTGAGAGTCACGGTCGGTCACTCGCCGGGCTGCAACCTTATAGCAGATCAGCGCAGATTGCGCACTCCCGTCGAGGATCCGCACCTCGCTCTCGAGTATATTATACGAGCTCCACGGGGCGAACTCCTCGCTCGTCAAGATGGAGTTGAGAGTCGGGTGAGATTCTTTGGATAGCTTCATCCCGCCCGGAAAGACCATGACACAATCATCCGAAAGTAGGGGGAGGAGAGTCCACCCCGAGATGCAGAGGGCATCCCAGGTTTTGTGCTCGAAGGCGAGAATCTCGTCGGGGTTCATGGTAAGGGTGGTGGCTGGGGATGGTGCGGAGAAAGTTCGTATTGTAAAATTGAGTCTAATATAGATATAGTTTCTCTCTTTATTGTAACACGGTTAACACAATAAATATAAAAGTACAGATACTATATAGAATAATCTGGTTGCTCCTGGACCGGTCTCGACTTTTAGACACCGAAGATAAAGTATAAAATTATCTACTTCTACTCTTTTCTCTAAAATCTTGTTTAACTGCTTATCTCCTGTTGACTTAATTTAATAATGGTACTTGCCCAAGTGATGTTTCTAGGTTTCGGGTAGACCTTTACTACAGGATTTCTTAGAGATAACTTTTACCTATATAGGACTCAGATTGAAGGACTATAATCTTATCATTGGTTGAATATCAGACCACCCAAGCAGTGCTTTATGTAAGATAGGCTATGTTAGCTATAATCTTTTCTGCAAGTTGGGCTCTACTTGACAGATCCGGGTATAACAAATCTTCTTATATATCCCTATCGAGCTACGACTTATTACTAGTAGGTGTAGCCTGGGTATGAGATATCCAAACAGTGCATATCATTACTGCTTGAGGTTAATGAGAGTGGAGGACAGGGCAATAACTTGGAAGCAACACATCTCTCCTGTTTAAACTTCCGTGAAACATCACCGCTCATTTTCAAGCCTGCTGCCTGCTTTCTAATAGCCGTTCTTTTACTGTTTGTTACCAGCAGCCAGTGCCATGTGTGATACCCGGTGCAGCTCCCGCAATGGACAGCTTTGGGCCGAAGGCAGTGGGGTCTTGGCGAGAGAGGGGTGGGCCATGTACTTGAAATGATCAGGCAGAATTTGCAGGAGACATACAACGGCATTTTTGTCCGCTGCGTTCGCCCCATTCAGATTGGACTCATCTGGAGTAGACCGGGGTTAGCTAGTTGCTAGTGAGAGCGACGTATTGAATCGGGACTACATACTAACGGGTTCGCCTGAAACATATGCATCGATCTTTCGGGTACATTTCTGAAAAAATGGGTTACAAGCCGGCAGGTTCTTTAGATCCTTCACAAGATTGGGCTTCGCCTTGCTGTCGGTTTGGTGGACACCCTTAGCGATGTCAAGACACTGTGCTGGCAGATCAGAGCACTATTATCGACATTTAGTTAGCCAATATAAGACGCCAAGGAAAGGGTAACAACTGTAATTAGTATTTGGCAGGCCATACCTGTTGCTGGAGAAGACTGCTTGTTCTCCGTCGCCTGCGGTGCAGCCAAGACGGCGGGAGCAATGAGAGCAAGAATGTAGATAAACTGCACAGTCTATTAGCAGAACTTCTCGCCATTACAAAGGATTTATTCTTTACCTTCATATCTTCTATGCAGCGTCTGATGTCAGTGGAAGTAAGAATTAGGAAATATGGGATAGGCGTAAGGATAGAGAGCGTCGGAAATGGTAGATGGGGAGATGCTGAATTTATACAATATGAGTTTCGGGATGAACAGGCATGTACGCATTAAAAATAGGGGGCGAGGACTACTATAGACAGAATCCACGGTTCGATCGTCCAAAGGTTGTATTTTTGTGACTCTCAGCCGTGATCTCCAAGCTCAGCTGGCCACTCTGAGAGTAAAAAAGTCCTATATTCGAGAATATCGTATGGTAGCTGAATTTATCCAGCCTTATCCCCACTACAAAGCGTGAGATACTCTATACAAATCACCGATATCATATTAACTGAATTTACTAGTATTCACTATTGAAAGCCAGAGCATCGAGTCATTTGCCGAGTTACACTCAAAACGGCCTTGAACCGACCCTAGGGCAGAAGGAGTGATGAGTTCTCAGGCTGGAAGATCATCAGACTAGGTTATTACACTGATCCCTCGTATCCTCGCTACCATTAATCGTACAGTGATCCCCTCTCCTCCTTCCAATTGTGTACTAGTGTCGGGCATTTATCGAAGCTACAGAAGCAATATATTACTGTTAAAATTATTTCCTTACTATATCTGGTACAGATCAAAATCATTATTTCAACTGCCATATCTTTCTATATAAGAAATATCTTATTTCTCAATTCAATCTATGAAACTATATACTTACAATACAAAGATAATCAAGATGCCTGGCCAAAATCCCGGCTACGAGGATTTTGACAGTCAGCCTTGTGCTCACGAAGCGCAGGCCAAGCTCGCAGCGTATATAAAAACCCGAAATCATATAAGATAATAGAGCCTTGAACTAACAATAATTACTACTAAATTCTCAAATACATATTCACAAGTACCACAAAATATATATTTCCGCCGACAATAGGCCCCAGGGCAGCTTACTATATCTCCTCCCACAACACCTCCTGAGGTCATCCAGTACATATTATTCCTCTCCCATCTGGATTTTTACTTCACTGTGACAAATCCTTGACTTTTTCTTTTATTGCTTTTCCCCTTTTCCTATAAATATTCGAATTTATATAGCTGACTTTGCGATAAACAGGATAACTATCTTGGCACCATTAGACACCGTGTCGAGAGCTCGGCTGAATGGTACCTGGGATACAGTAAAGAACTCTGTAAAGATTGCTGTGGAAAACACAGAGACTGGTGCAGCAACTTCACTTTCGTCCTGATTACTCTAGAGTTGGATGCAGATATAGTATATTCGTGATACAGTATATATACTGTTGATATCTCTATGTAGGTAGTCCTGTATGGTGCCCCGTATATGGTCTCTGAGACTGGGGTGCTAGAGAATGGCTTTCGGCCAACAAGGATAATACACCAGAAAACCATCCCATAGTCCCTGATCTTTCATAGCCAAGACGGGTTGTTGACCGTAACTCGCCCCCTTTTCTTCTTATACGATCATAGAGTACTACAATAGTAAGATTAACCCGATTATTGAGAAGATACTCTTTATATGCTAAGCTGCAAAAACAATATCTGGTTGTTTGTACTCTTTTTATTTTTGTACACCCATAAATCTATATATAATTAAGTATTTTGGTGTATCCTAATAATATTACTTGATGCTAATTACTAAGGATACCATGATCTATTTATAGACAAGAAGTTTCAACAATATCAAGATAAGACTGTATAACAACCGGACACAGTTTTTGCAAGCTAGTGGGGGCAACTGTACGCTCACCATGGAGGTCGGGCTGCCTGGAATATTCGTGATGAATCAGGCCGTGGCGAAGACCAAGTGACTCTGCCCAGTTGAGCATGAGGGCCAGAGCCGCTCCGACCCGTTGGGCGAAGCAGCTGATAATAAGAAAGGCTGGATAGCACTTTGAAATAGAAGATATTTATTTACTAGGCTATGTCGGAACATCGCAGGTATAATACCGAGGGGGCTCTGCATTCGTGTAGTATACACACCACTTAGAGGGGCCTCGGAGAGTACACGACCCTCTTTCTCTTTCTTCCCCCTTTCTCCTCTGAGGTCTCTGCTCCCTTCGCGAGTCCCACAGTAAGTACTACAAGTATGCACTAGACTGACTCGAATTTAGATAGCGGACATAAGAACTGTACTTGCCTGGGATGAGCATGACCCCATCCCCATCACCTTCCGAAGGCTGATAGTAACCGTTATGTACTTAGTCGCAGATCTAGTACTCAATCAAAGCCTTGCGAAGCAAAGAAAGGCTTCGGATAAAGTTTACGAACAGCTGACCAACAAAGAAAGTAATTCCACGACATGTAAGCTTTGACATGGGTACATGCGTTGTGATAAACGCCACGTACGGGGAACAGCAGAGAGCCATCAGCCCTAACATCTATAATCTGGATATTATGGTGGCTGGGATCTTGGGCGCAACACTAGGATATAGATACTTGTCCAGTTAAAGCGAAGATAACATTCAAAGAAGAAAAAAACAGAAGTATCATACATGGTCCAGCAATAGTTATCTGTAGTATAGTTACTGTTATATATATAGATAAGTAATATATTCTATCTAAGAATTTTATAAATATCTTTAAGAGATATAGTCGGGGCCCTATATTCCACAAGACCAAAAGATCATAATAATTCTGGATCAACGATCCAGAATGTCCTAGAGTCACCTATATAGTATACCCGCCGTTACAATATCACTGTAAATACTAATCTACTTACTAATTCAGAACTGATCAAAAAGTTAATTCTCTCTGATTCTGAGTAGTACAATAACAGAAAGTTAAAGAAATGTATGAGGGGATATATGAATTTGTCCTACGCAGCAGACCATTGCAGACATATAATTAACGGGGAAAGTGCCGAAACTAAAATCATGTAGCATAACAAAGAATGTCACTACAATGTTGCTATGATCAGAGGCTAAATATTTATTTACCAGCTCAATAAATTGCTTTCTATATGCTAAACCGGTCGTCAACAGAAATCCATGTAACACTCGACTATATCATCACCATACTAAAACCAGCTACTTTTATTCCATATCACAAAGAGACCCGTTCAGAACGGGTTATTTAGCTGTCTATTATAGTGAAAATATTAACAGGACTAATATTGTTTAACCTCCCGAGGTCTCCGTACAGTGATCTCCACCATAGGGTTTTTTCCTTTTCTATTTTACTATGCTATATATACCCCGTAAGCGCTGAACATCGGAGTCTATTAAGCCACACCTTTAAATTAACACCCATCATTGGCCGTAGATACTACTAGTTTCCGTACTATAGTCCCCACCGAATAGGGCTGAGCCGCGTTGTTGCCCTACCCCTGGGCCCTTTTCCATGACCTACTTCTCAATAGACTCATCTTATTCGTACTTTTCCCACAATTAGTATAGTTCTAATAGGTGAAGACCATATATTATATATATTATGGCAGCTAATACTTTCTATCACACAATTTATCAACACAGTGGTTAAGTCGAAAGAGCAACTATCACTAATCTACGAAGACATGTCCTAATATATGCCGTGTCTCCTTAGAGCCCGTACAGAATTCCTTTTAGTGCATGTCGTTCCATCTGTCAGTATCGCGGCGGATTCTCGTGGGTTAGTCCGTTTGTTAGTAGGCTGGCTTGAAGGTCGCTTCTTGAAGTATTTAATATCCTATTCTCAATAGTAAAGGAGATGCAGAAAACCTCATCCCTTAGTTCCACTCTTGCAGATCTGCAGTCGTTAATTTCTCAGGTAAGGAGCTGATTCCTCTTGTTCGGTTGGAAATCGAACTCAATATTCAGGTTCATCTGTTGACTTGAATGGGTACCCCAAATAGGAGTCGTCTTTTCTGACTTGCCACTGATTTACGTATATGTGCTTATTGTTGGCTGTTCACAACTAAGAGCAAATAAAGATAACAAGTCATATTATTTATATATATAAATTAGTTACCTGTAGAGTTGGAGCGACTAGGCACAGAAACTTCTCAGTGAAAAAAAAAATCATAAATAGAGCTAGAAAAATTGAACTAATCTCAAAATTTAGGACGATACCAATCTAGAGGAACTCGTATGTAGTTGGGAAGATCTTCCACTCCGTAGCTGGCTTAGGAATGTGGTGGTGGGTGAATGGTCCAAGTGGACAAAAGGCGAAGTCTAACTAGTACCCTCCAGTGTAGGGGGCTGAAGTATATTAGTCCCCTAATTCTTCTCAGCGCCATCGCCCCTCGCTTGCTGATAGGTCTGACTTTCACCAGTCAATGTTCCTTCCGCCACCACCAGTACACACCCCCAGAACAAATAGACAGCAAGGCGACCACCGGAGCAAGCCAGAACGGTAAGCCCGTATCGCTATGCCCATCCCGGGAGATGAACGGAGTCAGAAGGAGACATGCCTGGCAGGCGAGAAAGGTATATGGAGCGAACGTCCAAACGCGGAATGGATAGTCCTGAGACGGGACTCGTCGTCGCATCAGCAGTAGGGCGATCACTACCGCGCCACAAACCACTGCCATTTGGTATTGGGTGACATCGACCAGAAATATGTACGCATCGCCTGAACCTTGTCAGTCTTGTCATCGTCGCCGCGCGCTTGGAATGACTACCGACCAAATGGCAGCAAAAGGATTGCAATCAGAGCAGACCCGAAGAGGAAGAAAAATGACAACACTGTCGCCGTGCCGGAGGTGGGGCGATTCGTCAACAAGCCTGCTGCTGGGATGACACCCTCACACGCGAGCTCGCGCACAACGCGTACCAGAGCGAAAGAGGTTGAGAGTAAACTGCCGAAGGTGGAAAGGGCCACAGCGGCCGCCGTGATCCGCGCTGCTTGGTCGCCGAAGACGATACCCAGGAGCATCGCAACGAGCCGGGTCCCTTGGCCACCGATCTCGTCGGGGTTGGCCACGATAAAACATGCTATATTGGCCATGAGGTAGAGAATTCCAACCGTCCCTAGACCCAGAATTCCAGCGCTCTTTAATGTTCGGACCGGGTCCTTCACCTCGTCGAGAACATACGCTGCATTGTGCCATCCTTGAAACGAAGCTAAGATCTTGAGCAGAGCGACCAGATAGTCGTACGGGTCTGTTGATGACCCGTAAAAGGGGTGATGGAAATTTCTCCATGGGTCTTCGATCCCCGGAGTCAGCCCCGCGATAGTCGCGAGGCCGGTGAGCACTAATCCCAGTAGAATGGCGATCTTCACCAGGCTCACTGCATTCATGATTCGCAAGGTTGCATCCGGTGAGATGCATTGTAAGGCAGTGATCAGTAGAAGTACACCCACACACATAGCGCGTTTCCCTATCTCGCCGGTGTTGCCATTCACCGCAAGCAGCAGGTTATCCACCACGACGACACACGACAGACCTGTATCACCGTCGAATTTCGAGGTCAACTCAGTCTAGTGTTTTCGGCGTGACAGCACAGTAGCAGAGGAGCATTACCGGCAAATCCTAACAAGATATAGAAGGCATAGAGGGTAGTACTGAGCCCATGCGGTCGCGGAAATACCCTTGCTAGATACAACTTTTCTCCTCCGCTTCGTGGCATGAGGCATCCGAACTCCAGCCAGATAAACATACCGCAGAACGATAGGGTTAGTCCGGCGAGCCATAAGAAGAGTGCGGCACCTACACTGCGTACCCCGAGGACGATTGATGAAGGAACGGAAAAGATCGCGGCTCCGATGATGCGATTCATTCTGCCGAGGCTCAGTCAACACTGTTTTTTTTTTTTTTTTTTTTTTTTTTTTTTTATGGTAGAGATAATCTGAACATGACTAACAACAGCAGAGTCGTTGATCGTAGACCGAGGCGGCGCTTATTGTTTAGGTAGCGAGTTTCGATATCGAGGATGGGACTCTCCTCGTTTCCCGCCGAGTGGTCAGGTACCAATCGACGATAAAGCGGTCGTTCGCTTATTGGATCGGGACCACTCCTATATTGCGCGCTTGCCATTTTCTAGTGTGACTGAGAGAAAAACAACAAGAAGGGCTCGGAACTCTTAGAAAGGGAGGGGGAGGAAATAGAATCACATTGATCATCGGCGTGAGGCACGAAGGAAAAGGAACGGAAAGGGTGGCGGAACAGGACAGACGGTGAAGACGGTTACTAGTAGTCGGCATATCAATTTCCTGTTCTGTCGCCTCCAGTCATTTAATGCTGCCAAGGCAACCCTAAGACAGGTCATCCCATCACAAGGTCAAGTTCCAACTGACAGTACATCGCCGTGAAACTGTATCTAGATATAATGTATTCTCATAACTTTAGTCTGTTCATATAGCCTGAACGATTAAGATCGATCTTGGTTTCACATTCACCTCATGACCAGTCTATGGTGAAGCATACAGTATCATGTTACAAGTCAATCCAGTTCTGTTATATTTCAGAGGCAACAGGCGAAGTTGAGCCGGACTTCAAGGTATTCCATATCTGTATTTAAGTCAATCACGGTTTGTCAAACGGCAAGAATAACAATCTTTTCGTTTTCATACCATGGCCCTTTGCAGTTCCAATTTCATGATAACCGGCAGGTACGCCAGGAGGATGCGATACGCAGATGGGTTTCCCTGTGTCATGAGAATCTGGACCGCTGCTGCGAATAACTTGGTGGGAGAGGCAGGTAATCTACCGTTTGCGACCTTTCCTCATCTACCCCTGACATACAAGGCGCTTGACTACTTGACCACTGACATGCTCCCCGTTGTTGGCATTGGATGGGCTCATGTTCCGGATGCAAACCCCGGTTCGCCTATTCCAGAGGGAACACTTCTGAGCCAAGTCGAAGATACTGCACTCTACGCTACTCGGGTCGTCGGGAAAGTGTCTTCGTGCGAGGTATCGGCATCCATTTCGCCCGAGCGGTGGAAAGAAGCTTGGAAACAGGTAGTTCATAGGCACCCCATTCTCCGGACAATCATGGTCGAAAGTCCCTTTTGTTGGATAGTCACGTCGCTAGGACCTCACCAGTAGAACCATCAACGATTTCAACCTCCATGATAGTCGATCAGATTACGTACAAGCTACTAGTTCTACTACTATGAAGTGCGGGGCTACCGTTGATACGCCCGGTCCATGTGCATCAAGAGGGTCAAACCTCACGGCAGGATACAGGAATTGACGCATGTAATCGCATTAGGGAGATCACTTTCGTCGGGCAGAGAGAGAGAAATAAACAACTGGGGAAGAGCGGTACAAAGTTACGTTCCACGGTGGTGCCAGTTTTCTTGGGGAAAACGGACCCGACCAGATCTGGACCGCTAATCCATCGGGATCTGGTCTTCTCGATCTATTTATATGCGCCGGTACCGATGCACACACACCCGACGAAGGATTGGGAGGAGAATCTCGATCCGCCATCCACCACACGATCTTTAACCGTTATCACCCAGCCTGAGGGTACCGTGACATCTCGCCTCGATTCATCCGGGGTGCCAGGGAATGAATTCATCCTTCTTTTGATGTCTCCTGCTGTATCCTGGGTGCTGAGTACTGCCGCAGTGTGCGACTTGTTCTACTATTCCGAAGCCGTCTGCTGGTCAGACTGCTATCAAGCGCTTCCCTCTTCAACGCTTATCCTTCGAGTCCGCCCCGACATCTTGTCGGCCTAGCAGCAGCCGGACCACCGCGTCATGTCCACCTTCAGCCGCACAGGATAACGGTGTCCGGCCCCAGTTAGCCTTGGACTCCGCCTCGACATCTTTTCGGTCCAGCAGTAGCCGGACCACGGATTCATGTCCGCGCCAGGCCGCGTATAACAGGGGTGTCCGGCCCAGGTTATCCCTCGAATCCGCCTCCACATCTGGTCGCTCCAGCAGTAGCCGGACCACCGCGTCATGTCCCCCTCCCGCCGCAAAGGACAACGGGGTCTGACCCCAGTGCGCCTTCGAATCCGCCTCAACGTCTCGTCGGCTCAGCAGTAGCCTGACCACGGCTTCATGTCCGCGCCAGGCTGCATATAACAACGGGGTCCGACCCAAGTGATCCCGCGAGTCCGCCTCCACATCTGGTCGGTCCAGCAGTAGCCTGACCACGACCTCATGTCCACCCCCCGCAGCATAGGACATCGGAGTTAATCCATCGTTATCCCTCGAGTCCGCCTCAACGTCTGGTCGGTCCAGCAGTTGGCTGACGACCGCTTTATAACCCCCCCGAGCCGCGTAGGATAACGGAGTTAACCCATTCTTATCCTTAGAATCCGCTCCCGTCCCTTGTCGATTCAGTAATAGCCTGACCACCGCTTCATGACCCCCCCGAGCCGCATAGGATAACGGCGTTAACCCATCGTTATCCTGCGGGTCGGCCCTAATACCGTTGTTTGCGACCAGGAGCTTTACCAAGCCGTCCTTCCCCTCCCGCGCGAGTAGATGTAGGATCGTCCTCCCGCCCTCGTCCTGACGCGTGGTATGCTGAAACGTTAGGACCCCTGCGAGCCCAGGAGCCGCACATAAGAGAGACAGCAGGTCAACTGGCATCAGATATTGGGCGGACAGGAGGATCAGTTCGATCGGGAGATGGGCTCCCATCCTAGACACACTCATCGTATAATCCACAGGTCTAACTAGGACGTCGAATAACGGGAATCATTCCCACGAAGAACAATCTTTAAAAATAAACGAGGTAATAATGGGGGGGTTTGTTGAACTTGTGGGGCAAAAGTCGGTCCAAACTTTACTACGCAAGCTGTCGCTGTGTGTCTCATACCTAACCCGATGATTGGTACAGAGCGGGCCCTATACCTTTCTAGTTCTCCAGACTATCGGTAAGTGGCCAATCGTTAAGAGGACTAAGAAACACTTTCCGCCGTGGTCACGTTCCTGAACGTCAGTCGAACGTGGTTTGCGTTATCTTGGCTTATCGACTCTGAATACATAAGCGTTGTTGTTGTTGTTGTTGTTGTTGTTGTTGTTGTTGTTGTTCTCCGGAGTCCGGAATTTCCTGCCCGCCGCACCACCCAATGTAATGATTGGCCACAACTTGGCACAAGCTGGGTAGCGGCCCGTTACTATATTTATCGTCTTTCGGGATCTGTCTCTTTTGCCGAACGGGTGCATCCACCGTCTGGCGCACAAATACGGGAGAAATGAAGCTGACCGATAGGGATCTTAATCGATGAAATCTCATTCTCCTTTCTATCAGTCTCGTTCGGGTTGTGATTATTATGGACTGGCAGCAATCAGGATGGTGTCCGGAGTATTCTGAGTACGCCATGGCTATGGGTGCTATCTGACTTCTTTCCCTTCCAGCCCGGCCTTGTATGAAGCCGGTAACATGGAACCTACCAGAGGTGTTGATACGAGGATTAGAGAGGATGATTCTCATTGGACAAGCTTCCCGTCACCAAAAGCACGAGAACCGCTTGGTTCGAATAGCTCCGGCGACGTGGATGGCATATATTGTTGGATTGGATTTGCTGGAAAAGAGATCTTGCATTCTGATATTGGGCAGTGAGGTTGGAGGACGAGGCGGAGCTGATGGGTTGAGTGAGTGCTTTGAAAGCTCGTAAAGAGGGGACAGCCCATCAGCTAAAGCCATGCACTCCGACCGACGTGATACTGACGGACTGTAGATTGCCGATTCAAGTTATCTTCCAAAGACCGGCTCACTAACGTTAATCTTGGCCAAGTCAACAGGGAAGGGACCCACCATGGCGACATCTACTAGAAAACGCGGGAATTTACAAATACACGGTACCCGAATAACCCTGATAAAGTATCATTTTCCACTTTCCGGACCTTCTTTGGGCCGTCTCGTATTGTGGAACATAGGTCCCATTGAGTCTCAAGAATCTAGAGCAAGAGCACCGCCAACCTCCCCAAAAACAGACAGCAAAACATACAACAGGAGGGATTCGCTGGTGGTCACCCACCCAACTACTAACCTCCCGGCGTGTGGCTTAAGTACGGCTGAGCGGACGGGAAGCCCTGTTCTCCACACCCTATGGTCGTATGTGCTAGATTTGTCGTTGCAGACATATATATTCTAGAAATAATGGCTGAGGGAAGGCAATTACCAGAAACCAATATGTTATTCTAATATACATGAAGCAAGAGCGTGGGAATTGCATCGAAGAATAATATACCTGAGAGCTCAGAGAAGAATGATACTGGCTAATAAACTAGTCACGACAGTTATTCTAAGTATAATAAGTGAGTTATACACAAGCAACTACCTCATATTTGATTAGTCCAACTTTGACTCATTGCAGAAAGATCACGCTTAAATACCTTTCGCGGACTCTAGGTATGGTTATCGGTGTAGCTTTGAATATAATTCTGCTGTTTCTATTAATATATTCGGAGTCAAATCTGTAGGGTATATATTGAAGAACACAGCTGTCTCTTGTATAAGAATAGCAAGTTCAATAGCAATTCTTCAATAACAGAATACAGACTCGGAGTGATTTCATGTCGCTTCTACTATAAAGAATCTTGCTGTATCCGAGAATATTCCAGGGAAAAGTAAAATTAGAACAATAATAGAGATCTTCTATATTGGTCTTCTCAGCCAACTTCCTAAGACCTCGTTTTGAAACAGGAATAGGAAAAAAGGAAATAATATTAATCTCTGTCATTAAAACACCGGTTATCAATCTCTAAGCTCGAAATGTGACACTATACAGAGCGGCAGGACCCTTTCACCAGAAATACAATCCTAGAGAGAGCAAACAAGGACATACATATAACCTACAGTATTGAAGTACAATATGTAGTCAAAATGAGTAGCCCTTAGGTGTCTAGACGGATGTACAGCATGTATAGATACATTCTAAGAGAAAAGACTTTCATGTTTGTAAGCCAATAGTTGTGTTATTTCTGTTATAAGGGAGCTCAAAGTCAACTGTCAGTAGAAATGAAGTAGGAGTATGGCCGCTCACCTTGTTATTACCGTTGCAAGAGCGGACATGGGCTCCATCAGAGCAAGACTGAGTACCAGCGGTACACTCTGGACTGTAAGGGACTGTCACTGGCCAACGGGGGTGTAGAAGCATGCGTACATGACCATTAAAGGCTATGTCGCCGGACACTTCTTGCCCGTGAGACATTGGTTATGTATCTTGAACACTCCAGAGACAGAACCAAAGGGCTTCTTTACCGCTTGGATCTTCACAAAAGTCTTTGGGAACAGCACCCTGTACAGCGAGGGCTGTGAAAGCTAGAATGGCTGTTTATAGATATTAATCTTTGTTCAGTCTGTGCTTGGGAAGTCTCCATACCTGTGAGCTTAGATAGATACATAGCGGACTTGCCGGGTCAGAAGTTGTTGCAGAAGTGGTCACTTGGACCAGGACAACGGGGTTATCGCTAGGGATGTGAACGCTTGTTGATAGCGAATACTGATGGACTACATGTCGGTGACTGACGATTTGATTCATACTTTTTTGAGTTTGGGTCGTTTTTGCTGTTTGACTTGGTCATTGTATATAGTTCATGCCTGGTGTAGTACAGGTGAAGTTATATATGTGATATGAGATCGATGTAGTGTGGTATTGGACTCTCCGCAATATTTATGGCTTTATCCACGGCTTTAACCTTTGTTAATTTGCTCGTTATGTTAGGTGCGCTCAGTCAGAAATATATAAATTTAGGGTAAATCAAGCCAAGTGTATGGGCTAAAGGGGAAGTAAGCAACAACTCATCTGACTGTACTAGTGGAAGTCACAGGATTGAGGCTCATATAAATAAGTTTGCCTCAGTCTGTCCCTTGTTCTAAACCGAATGGAATCCTCTTATATTCTCAAGCTAATAAAAAAGGTGGCCATACCTCCTACCCCCCCAAAATTTTGGATACTCAGCTAACCAAGGATTCGTCAGCTAGGACTTGAATATGGACAAGAATAGCAATGTTAAATCCACCTCCAAGAAGGGCAGCAGATGTCACCAAGTTGATGCTTTAAGGCTTGATGAGGTGGATTACGATATCAAAGGACTGCCTCTGGAGGAAATTGTTCAAGATATAGCAAACGATATGCCGGCGGATGCGATGAAGAAGAAGTGGGGATTGGACGAACGCAAGATAAATTGATTATGTTTCAAGTCGTATTTATGTCTTTCCTTCCCACTATTGTTCTGGTAGTAGGCCTTCACCTGAGTGATGGTGATCTGAATTGAAGCATTCGTGGGGCTCCAGATAGAGGAGGAGAGGGAAAGAGGTGATGTCCCAGGCTGCAAAATGAATGAAAAAACAGATGATGCGGGGCACGATGCCTCTGGAGAAAAACCAATTCAGTCCAGCGTTTATAATTAGATGTGGTTTGGCTCTTCGAGTGTCCAAACGGCCTAATTTACAGTAATATCCTGCTCGACTCCGCACTTCTCATGGTAAATTAGAGAATTTCGCACCCCATGACCATTTGTACTAGATATATCAAGAAATAATCCATAGTATTCCAGATAAGACCAGAGGATCAATCTCACTGTCCACAATAATCGCCAATATTCGAAAAGACAATTTCGCCCGATCCTGCTATGTACTTCTCACGGTTGCCTTTAAGTAACAAATTATCGGGTTGCCAAAAGATAAAATATAGTAAATAGATGATTTACTCATAGTGGTATAAATAAATTATGGTATTAAGAGACTGTATTCATCCGGCCAAGATATGTGGATGCGTAGATATCACGTTCCAGTTTCGACTTTTCGTCTCTTTTTCCATTGTTCTGTGGATTCACCAGTGGAGCGTAAGTACGGATAAGTACAAGATGTTGCCCCCAGCGCACGTATGTAGTACGACGTCGTTAGGCAACTGTGTTAATCATAGAGTGAAATGGATATGCTGTGAGGTATGGTACTCTATATCTAGCTAGTATTGATATAAGCTTATCATCGCACATGAGTTACATAGCACCAGTAAACTTCTATCACAACTCTGCAGTGTACTTTAAAATCAGTGCGTTTGATAGGCCCCAATACGACACCCGCATGAGTCTACTTTTGCTCTCTCACTCGTTACGCTTGAATTCAGGCGACAGGGAAGGGATCATAGTTGATGGAAAGTAAAGCCTCCATATCCCACGGCTATAGGTGAATATCAATGAATTAGCAATAATCAGGATCGCCTATCCAGAAATATTCTATGTTGCGCACCCGCCTCCTCCTAAGACTTTCCAAGCCGCGCGTGTACTGCCCAGGATAATTCTACAAATCCAACAATGCCACGACGGGAGGACATCCCCAGTCCTTGATGTTTGGCAACCGAGTTTTCTGAGGTCTGGCTGAAGGAAACTTTTATGTCCGAAATTAAAGTTTGATATGAATGAAATGTATCTTTCTCGGCGCGAAGAGCATCCGATATCCTCAGGAACATCGACCAGAATTGATGGGTGCAACAGTGAGAAAGAAATTTCAGATAACTCCAGACTGGCAATTATATGTGAAACACGACTTGATGTTTCCTCACTATCCTACATTCACGGCGCCTTCTAGTGTCCCCTGGTAGGTGATAATTAGTGTGTGCACCGAGGGTTTAGCCAGGTCCTTTTGAATTCAATTGAAGACATCGACTACATCAAACTTAGTACAGATCGTCGAACGTGATAGGCGGCTTCGGTGTGCTGCGAGAGACCCATGACATTGAGAATTCAATAGCTTTGCGGATTAATAGAAACTGTAAAGTAAACAGATACTTGGTTGTTTATTGAGCTGAGCCTAGATTGTGGCACACCCGGGAATACCAGATAGCAAATGGTACCCATGTTAAACCTATGCGGATACTAGACATCCAAATCGCTATGCTTATCTGCATCCAAATCCATAGAAATTACAGCATGTGGCCTGACTTTATGTACTCCTGCTTCTCATTCTTCTGACCCTTACACCATTACACCCATCTCAATTACACTCACCAAGGACTCACCAAAGACTCAGTATATATCACACCTAAAAGCAGTAACACACTCAGAGCTCGTTACACTTCTGGCCAAGTAGATAATAATGTCTTAAATACGGCCGAGCGGACGGGAATCCCTATTTTTAATACCTTATGGTCGTGTATGTCTTCCTAAACTAAGTCGAAGAATCATAGCTTTCTTGCAAAGGACATGCAGTTTCCATTCCCCGACCTAAGAGGCCTCCTACCAGTGTATCTTGCACTTAGAGCATAATTATATACGATCAATTGTATATATCATCTTAAATCCATTAATCGTCATATGATCACCAACAGATACCAAATAGGTACCATAAAAATCATATCGCCATTCTAGGGAAATACCAAACTTATCCGGAAGTCGGCTTCGCCCAGAACGACGCATCATATTCGTCCATAAGCTCCGTATATTCCGGCCCTGCAGCGACCCAGCCTTTAATACCACCTTCCAATACTAAGCTCTTCAGGTTCGTCTCCCCTTGGTCCTGAAGATAATCCGCGAACCAACCGCCAGCCCGCGTTCCACGGCCTCTGGATGACCCTGTGCGGAAATCAATAACACATTCTTACTTACTATTAAGGTCTTACAGAGAATAACGCACCACAATACCAAATAACACTCTTCACTTTACTCGCCGCTAGGAGCTTGTAAAGGGTAGGAATGGCTGGATATAGACTCTGGGCTGGGAGGTTTAAGGATCCCCGGATGGTGCCTCCCTATGCTTCTTTGTTAACCTGTGCTCTTATTAGATGGATTAGGCTCCCGACATACCTCGTAATCTGTACGTCGCAGGTCTACGAGAACAAAGTCCTTGCCGGGTTGTTTACCCTCCTTGAACCATTGTAAAAACTCTTGGCGGGGTAGTGTGGCTGCAGCGCCCCTTGGGGCAGGATAGGCTGCATGCCATGGAGCTTCAACTGTAGACATATTGAATGGATTTAATCGATTAATTCTCGCTGGCATGGTGGTGAGTGTAGATATTGTCGTAAGATTTCTTCATCGTTGATATTGACCTTGAGACACCACTCTAAATAGGGTTAGGGCGGGGTATGTCACCTCCATTTCCTGATTGGCTGTAGAGACTTCGGTATCTCCATCTGGCGTTGTCCAATCAGTATCGACCAGTGACATACCCTGAGTATCAAAACCTAGTACAAGGGAATAGGGTCTGTGGAAGACCACTCTCATGTGTATTCCTGTATAAAGTTCACATTTTGGAGGGAAGGATCGTTTTGATATACCTCTAGTACAGAACTGAGCTTCTGGCCAACGAACACTACAACCAAGCTTGGCTGTCAGCTTCACACCTACTCCCATGATATACCCTAATACGCAGTGAAACAACGATGGCTTGCGCAAAAGGTCAGACCCATTCCAAATACCCACCTGAACCCATTACAGAGTCCTCTGGGCCAACAGCAGATGTGGAGAAACAAGTGAATCCAGAGTCCTCAGACAGACCTCAGGAAAAGCAATCGGCGTTCAAGAATCTCGGGCTTCTGGACCGATTCCTCGCAGTATGGATCTTTCTGGCTATGGCAATTGGAATAATCCTGGGCAACTTCGTCCCGAACACTGGACCTGCGCTGCAACAAGGGAAATTTGTGGGAGTATCAATCCCTATAGGTGAGTGTTTCTGGTGATGTTCTTCCTTGACCACCGATTACTGATCCTATTTCGACAGCCGTTGGTCTACTCGTCATGATGTATCCCATTCTATGTAAGGTTAGATATGAGAGCTTGCATCATGTTTTTCGGGCTCGCGGTATTTGGGTTCAGATCGCCTTTAGCGTTGTTGTTAATTGGATCATTGCTCCATTTTTCATGGTACGTTACTTATACTTATCCTCTCTGTCCAGTTTGTAACAGTTCTTCAGCTAGCATTGGCTTGGGCCTTTTTACCCGACGAACCGGAGCTACGACAAGGACTGATTCTTGTTGGACTGGCACGGTGTATCGCTATGGTAAGTCACTTCTCACCCCCTATACCTCATAGTCCAAGGGTCTGTCACCATAGCGTCGAAGCTCACAACCACTAGGTCTTAATCTGGACAGGCCTCGCTGGAGGCGACAACGAATACTGCGCGATTCTAGTCGCCATCAACTCCCTCCTCCAAATGGTTCTCTTCGCACCAATGGGCGTATTCTTCATCGAAGTAATAAGCGGCGACACCATCACATTCGAGTACAGCACCGCCGCCAAAAGCGTCGCCGTATTCCTCGGAATTCCCCTCGGCGCGGCAATCCTCACACGCTTCCTCCTCCGCTGGATAACCAGCGCACGATGGTACGACCAAGTATTCCTTAAATGGATCAGCCCGTTATCCCTCATCGGACTCCTATTCACGATCCTGGTACTCTTTGCCTCGCAGGGTCGTCAGGTGGTGCATCAGATCGTCTCCGTGGTTCGTGTCGCGGCACCGCTTATTGTGTATTTCGCTGTTATCTTCTTCGCAACGCTTTTCATCACGTATAAAATGGGCTTTGGGTACAGGTTGGCAGCGACGCAGAGCTTCACGGCGGCTAGCAATAACTTTGAGTTGGCTATTGCTGTTGCTGTGGCGACGTTTGGGGAGAATAGTAACCAGGCTCTTGCTTCTACTGTTGGGCCGCTTATTGAGGTTCCCGTGCTGTTAGGGCTGGTTTATGCTGTGAGGCTGGTAGCCAATCGGCTGGGTTGGAAGGATTGATTAATGTTTTATATAATTCAGAAACTGTGATTAGCTCAAAATGATTCATTTCCATGATAGCGTCCAGGACGAGTCCAGGCCTAATGTAGCCAGTATCTCCTGCTGAAGAGTATTGGGGGTTAAGCATTTGGGGGCAAGTAGTCAAACGCTTCGACTTCATCCGTAATTGGGAACCCCTGAAGACCCTCGAAGATATCATTATTCCACGCTGTGTCTTGAAAGAGGATTTGTAGGGCCGGATCGATGGCAAAAGTTGTCTGATTGGCGTCTTCTGTTGCCAGAACAGGCTGTAGCTGGGTGTGATCAGCATGAACGCTCGCATTGGGCCTTGTGCCTGAAGGAGTCAAGGAAGACTGTTGCGATCGCTCTGATTGATCTCTAATTCTTTCCAAAACCGCTAAACATCGCGTTGCAGCCTCATTATTTTGACTCAGCTGGGAAAGGCAGTCGCGCGCCCTTGATATAGAGAGAGCCCATAGCTCCTGGTTCACCGAATCCGGACTCATATCCAATGGTTGATGCGGTCTCAAGTAATGGATGCTTAGGACAATGGTCGCCTGGAATAGAAAATACGTGGCGTACCAGCTCAGGCCAACATGGATGTTGTTGCGGTAATCTAAGCAGAATGTCGTAATGTCTTGGATAGTCTCAATCGCAACGTAATGACACATGTTCCGTGCTTCCTCGACATCGGATAATAAGCTGCACGAGCGCTGGCTCCCCCACCACAGCATCATTCTTAAATTCTGTTCTTTCCACCCGACTACTGCACGCGGGCCTCGAAACCAATCTGGCACGTCTTGTGCTGTGAAATACACGGGCAAAGAAAGCCTCCAGGCCTTCAGTCGATGGTCAAATGAGCGAGAGATCCTTAAGTCAAGGATGGTCTCTTTCGGCGTCGAAATCACATTACTATAAATGTTGTTTCCAATTGAAGCTAGTCGTGCATGTGCAATTATGGCGGAATATGTTGTAGGTCGTTCCGATGGCGTCGGAAGTGTCGAGGTTAAAGTGCATCCCTGTAGGTCCAGTCAGCCACCGGTCTCTTTCTTCGGCCAAGGGTAACGTTCTTTCTTACCGAGTCGTCTATATTACGGGGCAGGCAAGTCTCAATGAAGTTATCAGAGGCCATAACGGGTCTCCCAGTGGTAATGCCGAACCCACTATCGAAGCAATACACGATCCACCAGATGACTCTTCTTCGCTCATGGACTAACGAATCAGTGTTCGCTCCGGCTGGTGGCTCGCGATGAAGGCCCAACCCAAGAGCCATGCGGTAGGCTATTCCGATGAAATTATATCCAGTATTCGGCCGATCCCGCTTTTGGAGATAGTTTCCCTTGGCCCTGTCAGTATACTAGACCGGAGGGTCGTTATATATGGAAACTAACTATTAGGAGAAACGCTTGAACCGTGAGGAGAGTTCCGGACTCCAACATATGCATTGACATACGCGATCGTGCGGCGGAATAATATTGACATTCTCTCGAGCCAGAAGTGCCGCCAAGAATCCAATTCCCTATCGCCAGGACAATATAGAATATTGGATACCAACTCGACCGATCATGAAGCTGATGGCGAGCTTGATACTGTTGTCGAAATGTACTCTCATGCAAGACCGGGTAAGATGTATTATAATACGTGAAATAGGCATCAACTAAACCATCAAGGACGGCGGAGGTGCCCAGATGTGCTGAAAGCAGAAGGTCCGGACTCTGATTGGGGTCTTCAGGCGAGACCTGTGTTCGCTGATGTGTCTCTAAACCTGAATGCTCTGGGATCAAGCCTGGGACATTTCTTAAGATACTAGACCCTGCGCTATTGCCTATAAATATAGTTAGTTTACGTTGGTAGACGTAGATCCCTTGCAACATACCGAGATAGCCAGCTTCCGTGCTCCCTGTGGGCAAAGATGCCATGCCATCCAGGCCCAGTCTTCGTTCAGCAGGAGACCCCAGTGAAGCCTCGCTCCATTCAAACTCATCAACCGAAGCGGGGCTCACTCCTTCAAAAGCTGAGGGTTGCAGGGCATTCCGTGGAATAGCCGTCGTCTTCAGTGCGTCCTCGATATCAACATCCGGGTTGAGCCGACGCAAAAGTGCTGTTAAACTGGCGCAGCGACGTTCTATTTGATCCATGTTCCTAAATAGTCATCAGACAAACAGTCCAGTGAGGACATGATGCAACACCCACTTGCGCGTCAATGGCGTTCGCAACGATGGACGGCCGAAAATGCATGGTTTGTTGGCTCGGGAACAGTACGAGCAGGGCGGCGTCCCAGAGCACTGTGGGGCGTGTGAACGGAAGATCCAAGCAGGCGAATTGATCTGGAGTGGTTACCTTGCTTTTGCGTTTCTGTAGAATTTCGCGCAGTTTGTCAGTAAGAATCTCTCTCTGCTTCCAGTGACACTTTTTCTCACCCGACATTCTGTACACTGTCGCATATTAGTTGCATGGCCAGACCGGCACCACTGCTGGGTAACTTACTGCTCGCAGCTCGTGCGGGGCTGATGTAGAAGTTGAAGATTTTGGCATTGTGGAGCAGGGAATTTTCAAACTGAAAGATAAGATCTAATCATCATAATATTCTTGATCGAACTGGTCGTTGATATGGCTGGTATGAAGATCGGTTAGCATGCTTGAGGCAACGTCGGGTATGCACAAGGATGCAAACATCCCGAAATGCCCGAAAAAGGGCTTGCGCTTCCGGGTGACTAAGTAGAACCCTAATAACTAGATTATAACTGAAGAACTATAATCATCCATCGTCTGGTACTATCTATCACTCCTCCAATCTTCTTCTGTTTTTATACATACCTGTTTTTTGGTTCGTATTTGAACTATAATACTTTAATATTACAGTGGGTGCTCCATAAGGAGGTTGTTACGCTGCAGAAACTTTTGAAATATATTTTTCTGAGAAGATGTCACAACTTTAAAATTAAGCAAACATTACTCTATATTCCAGATGGAATTCCGTTTAATTTATTAGTAAAAAGTTTATATTAGAGTTTATCACCCAGGAAATACAAAAAAGGTTGCCAGGCACTAGGTATATAACGGGGATGGGTGGTACTTAGGTACACAGTTTTGATTGGAAGTGTCATGCTAAAACGGATGATCCCGAATAGATCTAAACAAGGAAAGCACACGATAAAGGGGAGGTACTAAAGGCATTGGCACGCCTTAAGAAGAGAGGGCTACTGCTATCACATACTGGCATTTCATTGTACCCATGACGGGTTTAAATAGGTTCATCACCCTGGCTACGACGATCCCGCACCAGTGAAACCCCACGGGGCATTCCTACGGAGAACAGTTCTCCGGCGCTGACAGGCCGGCTAATCATTGTTGTGCTTCAGTAGAAGTGTCGTTGAAGCTTTCCTTCTGTTATTAGTGGGACCCGCGTTCGGGCGACAGAAGGCCGACGGAAGTGTAACTGGGTGGGTCAAGCACTTCTGACGAGAACTTCAGTGTGCTCAATCTTGACATAACCGAGGATCTGTCCGTCTAGCACAAATGACGAAAAGCCTTCCGTGGGAAGTAATGTTTGGCATTGCTAAGGTCGCTGTCGCATGCGGATGTACTGGAACGATACTGAAGAAGCTGTAAATTAAGAGCAATGGGAAGGTTATAGTGGATGTAGAACTCCTGTGTGTTTTCGTTATTTTACGCAGCTTGCTCAGAATCATATCTTGCGAAAAAATGGAGCAGCGTTTTCTAAAAGCTCTAAAGGTGGGTTATAATTATTCATTCCATGTTAAAATCCGCTCAAGGAAGCGTGTATCCTCCATCAATAATGACATCGCTTCCAGTAGTATAAGTAGAAGCGTCACTAGCAAGGTAAAGGTATAAGCCCTTGATTTCCTTGGTATGTCCCTGACGGCCAAGAGAGGACATACGATATGCCTCGTTAATCGCAAGTGGGCTTGCGCCCATCTTAGTGTCGAAGAAGCCGGGCGAAACCACATTAACGCGAGCGAACTCCCGCCATTCACGGGCAAGCGATTTTCCAAAATGTGTAATAAACGCCTTGCTTCCATTATAAACTGGCTGGTCGGTGGGCACATTGACGATGTGTGCGCTCATGCTGGATGTTATGATCAGGTTTCCGCTGCCTTGACGCTGGAATACTTCGCCGGCGTACTTGGCGCAAAAGACAACGCCATCGACTGGACCAGGCGTTTAGTATGGTAGGAGTTGATTCTGGGGGCAATGGAATCTTACCATTGACTGATATCTGCTTGTGATATTCGTCTAGCTTTTGCTCTAATATGGGCTTTGAGATAGCCATTCCTATTCAATGTCAACTTTACTGTCCCTAATGTAGTAGTGTTCTCCGTTAAAGGTCTTACCAGCATTAGCAACAAACACATCAATCTTTCCAAAGTCTCGAACGACTTGTGCAATGGTCTCCTGCACCTGTTCGGCATCCGAGACTATAAGACCGAAGTTAGCGGCAGGTATCGATCAACAAGCATGTAGACAACTCACTATCAACTTTATAGGCAATGGCCTTAACACCATGAGTTTGTGCAAGAGTTTCGGCTTTCTTGATAGCGGCATCATTTCTTCCCACATTATATTAGCTCATTGTCGTTCGTATTATTATATGAATCCATAACTCACGAATTATACCAAAGTGCAACATTCGCGTTGGCCTCCGCCATGGCCTCAGACACCGCATAGCCGATACCATCCGCTGCCCCCGTCACGACAGCTACCTTCCCAGACATTTTGAATTGCTCCAAGACATTGGTAGGTGTGTCTGGGAAGGGTCGCGGGAACCCTTCGCGGATCTTTGTACAGTCGGCGACGGTCATAGACATTTTGACGGTTGTGGATGGCAATTAAGGATTTTAGTGTGGTGTTCAACATAGCCGGAATCACTGAAATGATGGCTTCTTATAGCTAGTCCAGGATAGCAGCATTTGAAGGCAGCATGGTTACAGGTGGAGTAAAGTCGACCCATGGGGCTCATTGACGGGCGCCTGTCTACCGATCCAACAGAGAAGCGAGCGAGTCTTTGCTGCGGGCTACTGTGCCCCGGGTGTGGTACTGGTTATTGTCATGAACATACTCCGATGGGAAATGGAGTGGAGTAGTAAAAGAAAGTCCTATTGTGAATTCTATTTTCTCTTTTCAATCCTGGTAGAACCAGGGTCAGGTGTAGTGGAAGCTGTCGGGACACAGTGAGCCGATACAAGTCGGCGAAGGTTGACGGGTGTGTAGACAATGTGAAGATCCAGCATTAAGTCTAGGTGTTGCTTCTGCTGGTTCTGTCGATGATGCGTGTAACAAAGATATACGACCGATCTGCAGCTCCGTCCTGGAATGAGCCCTAATTTCCAGTAGGCAAGTTTAGACGATCTCAAGTAGTCTCGGCAGTCCTCAATCTATGTGAACAGCTTTTCACCACATTCCACTCCGCGTAGTAATCATGGCAGTTACTATTGACATCGCACAGTATACATTCCCTAACTAATATTAGAGCTTACATGCTAACATCTGTGATCATGGTTCCTCAATATTTTCCACATGACTGTCAGTGTCCTTCTCTTGCTTCCCATCAAAGCCAGTGCCAACACCAAGCTGGCTGTAAATATTCGCCAGGCGTATCGCGTCCTGTTCCCCCTGGCTGCCGCCGAAAATCTTATCCATTTCTTCAATGGGCACACCGTTTGTTTCTGGGAGGAAGAAGTACACCCAGATCGCTAGAAAGACACAAAAGGCTACAGTGAATCAGTACTATGTGCAGAGATAACTACAGGGAAGAGCGTACCCAGATAGAAGTAAAAAGTGCCGAATTCAATCGACTCTAGCATTCGAGGCGTAATAAGCGCCACAATGAACTGGTTCCACAGGTCAGTGTTCATAACAGCAATATAACGGGAAACTACTTACATTACTCAACCAATTTGTACCGATCGCAATACCAACAGCTTGAGATCGGACTCCAGGTGGGAAGATTTCGGAGGGGATGACCCAGTTCACGCAGCCAATGCTATACGCAAAGTTGCATACGTACAGCCATACAAACACTGCGGTGGCCCAGCCAGCACTCCTGTTGCTGGCCCAGGAGCTCTTGTATACGGCATAGAGGGTGGCTACTATGAGCTGGGAGATGCCCATGCCGGCGGCACCTGCAAGCAGGACCTTTCTGCGACCCCAGCGATCCATGTACATGATTGCCGGGATGGTGCAGAGGAAGTTCAAAATCCCAATTACACCGGTCGCGAGGAGATCCACAGAGCTACCGGACAAGCCTATCTTCCCGAAGATCTGAGGTGCGTAATAGATGATAGCATTGATCCCTGAGTAAGGTTAGCCTATCATACTTGTATAAAAGTAACGAAGTGATTTACCTGTGAACTGCTGGATCAATTGAAGGAGGCAAGCAACCAAGAGCCGGCGGTTCAAATGACGAAAGGTAAAAAGGGATTTGTATCTTTCGTAGCTTAGACGAATAGGAGAGGTGATTCCTGGAAACATGGCGGCGGTTGTCTCATCATCGAACATCGCTGACGCCTTGATCTCGAGCATTTCCTTGACGATGCGGTTGTCGCTTCTAGGGACACGACGCACGCGGGAGAGCGTTGCCATTGCTTCATCTTCTCTGTCTGCACTTTTGTTAGCCACTTCTGTGGTATGCTGTTTATCCTGAAAAGCCTACTCTTCATCACCAGCCAGCGGGGAGTGTATGGCAGGAAAAATGTTCCAAATCCCAGAATTAACGAAAATAAACATTGCAGAGCGAGAGGAAAGCGCCATGCAGCGGATGATTGCCCGTCCCCTGTTCCACCGATATGCTGGGTTCCGAAATTCAACCAGAAGGCTATCATAATACCACCCGTAATTGCAAATTGCTGTAGAGCAACAAGCCCACCCCGAAGATTGGGCGGTGCTAGCTCACTGATATAAAGAGGAACTACCATTGAGAGCTGACCAATAGCCAGCCCTGCAATAAATCGACTGATAAAGATCATTGGTATATTGACCGATGCAGCTTGGATAATGGATCCGATAAGGAAGATGATATTGGCGAGAAGGATAGACCAACGTCGAGAGAGACGATCCGCGATGGGGCCGTTGACCAAGGCACCAAACATGGCACCCAATGTGAGAACAGACACCAACCAACCTTGGAGTGTCGAATTGTTGGCCAGTGTGGGAAATTCCTTGGCCTATGGCATATCAGCGATGCGGACCTCTGAATATACTTTCCATGGGGGGAACACAAACGAAGTTGTTCATCACTAAAATCCCACTGATGACTCCTTGGTCATACCTGCGAGTATACAATTAGTCCATGCTGAGGTAGCTACGAGGATTCGACCGAAAGACACACCCGAAGAGAACACCTCCGATGCTCGCGAACAAGGATAGAAATAGTAGAAATGGTTGTTCTACAAGCCCTTTGTATCCTGGTATGCATTCAGCAATCGGACAATTTGGGAGCCTTGACCTTGAACTTCGACCTACCAGGCTTTCCATACGAAATGTCCAAGCCCGAGCCAGGGCCAGCACTGTCACCGGCAGCAACCATCGTGGCATGTAAGATAGTAAATTAAAGAAGGGAACTAGCTTCCACAGTGATGTTGAACGGAGTGTCGATCCTTTTTCAAGGCAGGCGCCTCTTGTACTCATAGAACAGCGGCCCGAAGGTAGATATACCCTGCCATCAACAGCACCGTAGAGCTGCTCCATAACTAGTAAACTTTCATCACAATATAAGCCAAGGGTCCATGTGGAGAATCTGGGGTATGGGGCTACAGGTGGTGCATGGCACGATTCCAACAATGTATATCGGTCTTTTCTGGACCGATGGCTGTCGGGGCACTGCGCGCCGACAGCTGGGGCCAGACAATGCCGAGAAACTATGGGAGGCATGACACAAGACCGTCTATGCTGTCATCCGCGGATAACCTGACCCTACATTAGCTTGTATATATGCTGTCCAGACTCCAGCTTGCACTTAACCAACTGAGTGTCCAAGCGCATATGTTCCTTGGTTCCTACAGACTTCATGTACAAGCGACGATCTTGAATCCCCTTATAGTTGCACCAAAGGACTAGAACTCGGTACACGGCTTATACAGAAATGCAGTAAACACGACATACATAGAGATCCAGTGCATGGCCACTCAACAACTGCAACCACATGCCTTGCAATTTCCCTTACCGCAATCACTGTTGTCGCTACCGGGGACACAATCAGAGGCGCGAGAACAGAACTTCCATTCACCTCTTCCCCAATTTTTAGCTAGCCAACACCATTCCCCATTCGGGCCGCATTGTTTCCAGCACCATCTGCTATCCGAGCAGCCATAAGGTGATTTGGTCCAGCAACTCTGCGGAGCGAATAGGTCTCTCGCCGGAGGTGATTTGCCGTCTACATCCGCAGGGCCGTTGTTGCTAGGAGTTGTGGTCGAGAGGACTAAGGCGGCTTGGGCGATGATGAAGGTACTGCCGAGGTTGAGCTTCATGGTTGTTTACCTGGCTAAGGTTCGATAAATATCCAGACACTAGAACTAGCTGGGGAGGGAAATAATCTGACATACACGAGGATGTGTCAAATGACTCGAAAGTGCTAAGGAGTAGCAACTTGTAGAGCTTTAGCAATTCTGCGTCTTAAATAAGTGCAATGAGTGATTCTCTATAACCTAGAATAAATGTAGAGTGTATATATGCCATTCCTCCATGCGCATACTTGACTACTCATACCCCCTCCTGTGTTCTGCTTACCCCTATTCACTAAGAAACATAACCTTACCTCCAGGATATTTTCGGTGATATCCGAGTCAACCTGGCCAAGCAAACATGCACAAGCCCCAATCGTGAAATGGTAAAATAGTGAACCAGACTGAACTTCGCCTGCTTATATGCTTGACTTACACAAGCACAGGTATCTTCTAAACGCAATGCATGCTTATTCGCTTGCCATGAACACAGATTTGGCAATCGACTGCCCTTGTCTACCCTGATCCAAGAAATAGAGTCCACCGTTCTGTTGACATGCATCCATCTCACTAGATTTCAATGTCAACCATACTTTCGTAACCGGTACAGATACCCTCCCGATACTTGAGCATAATTGGTAGCTGGAGTTCATGCTGTGTTCATTTGCCAATGGCTGTACATACAATCACGGCGTAGCGCTGGTCATCATGCATCGCGAGATTGGATGTCACCCTGTCGTCTAAACCATAGTAGACACGGATTCATCTTGTTTCAGTCAGTGATACCCAGATCGTACCCTTAACAACATCATTGGCGTAGAAAAGCAGTCTAACCCTTAATAACTGCAAGTAATCACCAGACGGCCCCATGAGTCCGGGATATACAGAAAGTCCTACTTCGAAGACCCTAGTCACCGAGTGCGAGAGGTAAGGAAAGCTAAGACGTCCGTTATCCGCTACATCAATTGGAATACCCCTGTTCAACTCGGAAGAATGTAACACAAGGCTGAAATTGGGTACCTCTTCCAATATGTTTAGGTATAGACATCATGGCATTAGTAGCAATCTAGAGTTGCATCTAAAAAGAATTTCGGAATCAAACAAGAGCATTTAAACCCCACGTACCATGACACATAGTCGGTACACAGAGAAGTCTATAATGCAAGTAGGACATGTACAAAGCAGGAATTTTCATACCCTAGTTACCCCCACGGCCCTGAGAACAAGATGTTCCCCATGCGTAACCCTACCAACCTCAACTTGGTAGGATAAAGGCCTTGTCTGCTACTAGGGCTATCCAGCCCGTAACCCACAGCATAAACGGGATTAAATAGACCCACTTCTCTAACTGGGAGATCTAGCAGGGTTGAGATTCCTTAGATTCTACGGGTCATGTTTACTCGTACCTATATGCCTGAAACTAACAAATGATGGGCCCTATTATTGGATGTGCTTTAGTCTAGTCAATATGTTAGGCTCCTGGTGGTCTACTAATTACGAGCATGGTTCAGGTTTAAATTTTGTGCAAGGTTGCTGTCCCACAGCAGGCCATGGACACGTAATTGTAAGTTCTTGATTCTAGTAAAATATAATCGAACATCCGGGATAGTGCAAGAAACATATCGGGTAGGGTACGGTGGTATAAAGAAGATGCAGTAAATTGGTGGGCAGGACTAATTATATCAACAATACTGGGAATAGAAGTCTGTAGGTTGAGATCGTGTGATTAGGTGTATTTCTACATTGAGGATACATTATTGGTAAAAAGACTGGCTACCGCTAATATAGTAAACTAGCCATTATATTATGCCAAGTGAAGCATATAAAATGTCATATATTTGTACATCCGGTATGATAGCAGTACAGTTGCGCCCATATAACTGCGCTCCACGGACAGGTATAGTGAAGAGATGATGTTTCGCTTACAGTAGATATAGACAGGAGTGTATTGTACTAGGTTTAATATCCAAGCGCCTCGTTAGTATATTGCTTTGTCTGTCGATGGACGAAGTCCATAGCATAGCCACATGACTCGCAAAATGCCTCTGTCAGGCAGGTTGTCATTGCTGAGAAAATGGGCCAGGCCAGTTGCTAGGCTTTATTTTCATGGGCAGTGGTTGCAATGGATTTTGTGTCTCAGCGGCTGATCGCTGAGCTCTTCAACTGGTACCTCGTATATATTAGTATCCTTCGAAGGTGATGCCTGTAAGATCCCCCCAGTCAAATGCATCAAGGAAAGGATCTAGTTCCCCAGATTGCTGTTATAATCTTAGCAAAATTCATTCGAGCCGTGACTATTGATCTTACCGTGATGCCAAAGTTTGTTGGTGGTAGCATGTTCATATTAGGAACGAAAGGCTGTGCCATCCCAGAGCTCGGGTTCAAGACTGGAACCTATACTCAGTACTCAAGTTAGACTCTTCCGCATGACGAACAAGAGAAGTGTTAGCATCACGAACCTGACTGGTTTTAAAACCCCCCATGCCCAATTCCCCCAGATGATCGCAATTGGCATGTCGCGTGAAAAGTGTTTGAGCGAAAAAGATTACTCGGTCTACAACCTCCTGCTTGTAGACAGTCGCCTGCGCTGGCCATAATCTTGCCTTCACTAAAGCTAAGATAGTTGACATGAAAAAATACTCCTTGGCGCCTTTTACCACCAGTAGGAGTTGTGTCTCCAGACAGGTCAAGGTCATCTCCACTAGCGTGATCAAGGACTCTGGCAGACCGGGCAGTGTCTGGGGCAGAGACGTCCGGGAAGAAGCTGTTGTGCCTTTAGCCTAGTTCTATCATCATGCTGCATTTTCTTAGAAGCCTACCTTGATTGTTGGTGCTGGCGTGAAGTAATTGACATACTGAACAGTAGGCCTGCACAGTCCAATCTCCCAGAATCGAGAGGGATAGCTGTCTTGAGGTCTCATGTAGCTGTTTCTGTGTAGACAAAATCATGGTGGCCACCTCCAGGCGAATCCGAGAGGATGGTGCAAAGAGGGTTTCCTGTGGAGCTTCGATGGCAAATGGTGTGTGGATGGATAAAAGGCTATGGCCAATCTTAGTTTGTAGGAGAGATCTTATCAGGATGATCTTGTGCTGCGTTTGTAAATCCTCCCCTTCCGATAACGTCCAGGAAGGGATTTGTGAAAGATATCTATTCAACTCCCAGTCCATATGAAGTATTTCCTCATAGCAGCAGCTTATTCGCGGAGAATGCATCAGTTTGCACGCCTTAAGTCGCAACGGAAGGGACTGTATCAAGACGGATTGGAATGAGCAATCGGTCATCTCATTTAGTGGTCTCTCGACCGGGAGTTCTTCGCTGGTGTCCTGTAGTTCATTATCATTGAGGTTGAGTGCTGGAGCCGTATCATAATCTCCGTATTGCAAGGAAGGCGGCATCCCTCGTTCAAGCGAAACCTCCAGATCAAGCTCGAGAATCGTGGCCCATATCCGCCGGCGCATCTCCTTGTTGAACGGAGAGATCTTCGTGTACCTGCTGGGATCCCGGTGGTACCCTGCTAACATAGCTTGCTTGATCAGTGTCCCGGTATCAAGCCAGGCCTTGCTGCGCTTCATTCCATGGGCATTCTTCGCAATAAGTAGTAGAATATAAAGTCGAAACGCCATAATATCAGGCCTCTTGATGTGAGAGTTCTCAATCCATCTCTCTGCGTGGAGGACCCACTCGATTGCCGTGTAGCAAGTCAAATCCGATTCGTTATCATTTTTCAACTGTAGTGTATCCAAGTCGGCCAGGTTCCAAGCACAAGCCAGAACCAGGAGAAGTTGGACCACGAAGTGAGGGGATACAAAATCGGGGTTGTCCCGTTGTGCCCAGAATTCATCAAGCTCCTTGAGAAATGACGGGACATGAAGGACACGGTGCGCAGCTTCGAAATAAGTCAGATATAGCACGATTAAGTCATCAACCACACGGCGAGACGGGAGCATCTGGGTGAGTGACAGCGTCGTGGGTTCTGGGAAAGGTGTATTGAGAGGCTTCCGCTTCCAGAGACCTCTCTTCACCCTCGCCAGATCGGGTCGTAGCGCGGACAGTTGCGGACTGGCGACTCGTATCTCCTCCGCAAACGATTTAATATCCGGAAACTAGAATTCTGGTCAACTATGATGCTCCAACGCTACGCGACGCCGGGGATTAGAGTATGACAAACCTGAGCGATCAGATTGGCGAAGATCCCAGACCCGTTGAAGCGAGTCTTTGTTTCCTTTCCTCGCATCATGATTCTGGGAGAGATATCGAGCTGTTGTGAGGGAGACGCGGGATCCTCATCGTCCCCGTGGCGGTGCAATGGCGCTGCATGATGACTTACGCCGGCAGGATATTTCGAACGGTGTAGCAGCTCAGTATTCACGTACGGTTCCTGATTGACGGCGGCCTTCGGGGCCCCTAGGACGGTCTCCAGGAAACGGTCACGTTTCTCTAGAGCGGGGCGCGTATCCGAAGACGTCTGTTGAGACCGAGTTATAGAGCTTAACGCCGAGTCCGGGGTAGGATGAACCCGAGCAAGATGCGCGGCTTGAGAGATGGTTGTACTAGTGGGACCACGCTCGGAGAAAGCGGGCGTAACAACCGTATTGGGTTGTTGCCAAAGGAATTCTTTCTCATAGGTGCAATTGATGGCGGTTTTGCTGTTCTCACAACGGCTACACATAGGAAGCTTCCTATCACAGCGGAGCTTTCTGCTACGACACTGCACGCAGGCCATCGTCCGTCGCCGCCTCTTGCGTACCCGTTGCTCCGGTTGAGGCTCCGGGTCTGGAGCCCCCGGCGGCGGTGGTGGTGGTGGGACATCCGTCATGATCGAGAGACTTGTAGAACGATTGCTAACGGCACGAATCTGTTCGAGGTGGACATCTTAGTCCTTTTGCTGGTCTTGTTCCTTGCTCCCAAATCTTTTACTGGGGGGGAGGTTCCTCGGTCAGACTAACTTTCCCGGCCGTACATTCGGTTCAGTCGGAGATCTGGTGTTTGATAAGCAATTTCACTCGTCGGCTTACGTGTTGTTGGCCCACCCGGTCATCATCTCCGTTTCGGGGAAAGTCTACCGCATATTACCCTATTTTTGCGAATTACTACGTAGTAGTGGGAACGTATTTTTGATTATATTGATTCTTATTTTTATCTTTTGACTTTTTTTTTTGTTTTTATTTAGCCTAGTTAGGCTCCAACATTATTGAATATCACGATTCGATTTGATATGTAACTGAAACCCTGGTGCCTGAAAAAGCGGCAAGAATAGAAAAGGACAAGGGAAAAAAAGGCTTGAAAAGGTTAAGCTTAAGTGGGGTCAAATTGACCCGATTCAGGAACCGCAGATTCCCCATTCGGCATCCGCAGTATCCCACTTGGTTTCACACCTACTACTTATGGATCCATTGTACTCTGTATTGCTGCTGAATATGGATTGTACCGTCCACTCTCAGACCCCTACCTGCTTCTAAGAACATTCTAACTCTATCTTAGAGTCCATGCTCATAACCCTACTAGGTCCATTGCGGCTGCGCCCGAATCAACTCCATCACAATTACCCAGAAGCAACCAAAAATAGTTCATACTCTGAACCCTAATCACGGGTCAATTTTTCAATCAGCAATATCAACGTGCCATTGACGGCTTGGCATTTGAACTACCATTAGGCTAGTAAAATAGTAGACTCTATGGCTTAGAAGAAGTATAACTATGATTCAATACAAATGATCTCACAAGGCAGCAATGTAACTATCATAAGCTATGACACGCCACTAAATCATCGGCGAAGGAGCTGCTTCCTGAATCGCCTGTCATGCAGAAGTTTCTCGGCGATAATGCTCGGGTCTCGGGGATTTGAGCACCTCCGAGCTACTACTCTGTATTAGTATATAGCTTCGATTTCAGCCTCGAGACTGACCACGCCAACGGTCAATCATCACCTTATATCAGCTTCCGAGTATATTCTGAGGCTTATCTCATATTTAGAAACGACCAAGAAAGAAGAAAGAAAGAAAGGAAAGAGAAACATGTTGCGGTCACTCCTCTCGTTCGGCAGTCGTAACGACAACTATATCTTCCCCACGGTAGATCCCAAACAGGACGGACCGAACTGCAAACTCGATTGTGCCGATTGTACGGTACATTTCCCGTCGAAAGTGAAGGTCGAAAACTCCCGGGTACTCTACGGACACATTAAAGAGTTCCACACGCATGTCTTGGTCGCCACGGGGAAATCAGACTGGACGGAGCGGGTCGAGAATGAAAAGGGCAGTTTAATGGAAGCTTTTGACAGCAGCTCGAATAATTCCAAACATGGGGTAAGTGGATCTGCTATGAATCCCACTCTTTTGATACAATCTAACAGAACTAGCGAATTATGGTCTCGGCATCGAACCTCAGTAACCCGAACCATGAGGCAGATGGCGATCACCAGACTACGCAAGGGAATACTGTGCTGCTTCTGCCTTCATTCACCTTCGTGGATTCAGTCACCACTAGCGACGTCAGAGAGCTGGTTGACGGCTTCATTGATGCTCCCAAAGGACAATCAGTTGATTCCCGATTGTCGTCTCGACCATGCCAATACGATTATGTGGTACTTCTCTGTTCTCATAAGCGGCGAGATGCCCGATGCGGAATCACTGCTCCGTTAATCAAGAAAGAATTGGAGCGACATCTGCGACCCCACGGATTATATCGTGATGCGGATGACGAACGCCCTGGTGGTGTGGGAATCTTCTTTGTTTCTCATGTAGGCGGCCACAAATTTGCAGCCAATGTTCTGATTTACCGAAAACAAGCGGAGCAAATGATTTGGCTAGCAAGGGTCAAGCCAGAGCATTGTGAGGGAGTTGTCAACTATACCATATTGCAGGGAAAGGTTGTTCACCCAGAGTCTCAGTTAAGAGGAGGGTTTGACAGGCAACGGGGATTGATGAGTTGGTAGCGATGAGATGTCCAATGGTTCTACGTGGTTGAGGTTGTTATAGAGTATCAAATTATATTAATGGGATAATGATAATAATGGTACGGATGTTCAAAGTAGGTAAACCGAAACACGTTACGTCATAAAACGCCGCGTTAATTGATTTCGCGCACGCGACAAAAAAGGAACCAACGGCGGGACTCCGATTACCAGTCCTGGCACTGCCAACCGCTATTACCACCACCGTTGCCATCGGTCTCGTTACTACAATAAACATTGACACTGAACCGCATTTCTTTTGTATATTCTGTCCACTAACTTTGTTTTTTTTTTAAAGAAACAAAATTTATCTTGACGATATGCCATAATGGCGAGTCTTGACGTTTCCGATATCGCCGCGCAGTCAGCGCAACTCCGTGCAGAACTAAAGGACTGGGAAAGGGCTTTCGCCGCCGCAAATGAGGGACGAAAAGCGGATCGGAGTGATATTAAACAAGCGCCTGAAATTGGTGTGTATCTAATGGCCTAGTCACCCTGCAACTCGCTTCTTTTCTTGCTAGCGTCATTGGCTAACTTCTCTGTCCGTACCAGCGGCCAAGTATAAGGAATACTCCCGATTGAAATCACTGGAGAAATCAGCCCGATACGAGAAGAAACACAATCCCAATTCTGTTGACTTACAAGAGCGTCCAAAGAAACGCAAGCATGCATCACCCCCTGAATCCCATGAGGCCCGCCTTGAATCCACGCCCCGCAAAGCGGCAAAAGGACTCTTCACGACCCCCTCCAAGCCGCGCGGGCATCCGTCTGAATTCGACCCTTATGACTCTCCGTCCGCGCTACGCAGACTATTCAGTCCATCGACGCATCAACAGTCCTCGTCACCGTTGAAGACAGCTATTGGACCCACCCCTCAAAGAGATGGAAAAGCGTTGGGTCTTTTCGACCTATTATCTGAGTCGGGCGGAAGTACGGCAACACCCACGGCGGAAAGACTGGCTAGTGTACGTGGGGCAGCGGCGCAGACGCCATCGAAAAGAAAGACACTAGATACCATTGTGGAGGAAGAGGAAGAGGAGGAAGACAGTCCACGAGGTGACCGGACACCTGCTTCTGCAAGCAAGAGTTATATGCTTTCGGCTTTATTTGCGACGCCGACAACATGGCGTTACGCGACCATGATGGACAACCGGAACGATGCGATTCGGCGTGAGCCTTCACCTCAGCCGAGCGCTAACGACGCTGGTCAAGGAGCACCGGAGTCAGAGACTCCAGCATTCTTGCGACGATCCAACTCAGCACGCTACGCTGCGTCAAACCCCACTGGGGAAGGCTTGAGCCCAATCAATGTACGAAAGCGACCCCAGTTTGTAGGCAAAGGACTGTCTGCTTTGGTACAAGGACTACGAGATATGGAAGAAGAACGCTTGGACAATGAGTTGGATGTACTCCGCGAGATAGAAGCAGAGCAAGCTGGCACGAACACGGAAGCGCCTGACAGTCAGACTGTCGAGCAGGATCCAGGACCAACGTTCAAGAAGAAGGGCCAAAAGCGAACGACACGCAGGGTTCGCATGAAGCCGGTTATCTCCAAGCCAAAACGCGAGTCACAGTTACCAGTGTCAGAGGATGAACACGGCACAGAGAGTATGGACCAAAGTGATGATGAGCTGGCGGCGGTGCCCGAGACCCAGCAGCTGGGTGCCAGTCGCGACGAGACCGATGGTGCTTCAGGTGCTGCTTCGCTGCATTCAATATCAGAGCCGGAGCTTGATTCTGACTCAGATTACGAGGAACAATCTAAACCCCCCACTAGAAGCAAAAGCTTTTCGGAACGGATAAGGGATGCCATCGGGGTTGTAGAGCCGCCGCCAACAGAGAAGCGGGAGAAAATCCAGCCTCAAGTGAAAGAGAGACAGACTAAGCCTCGCGAGAGGAAGGTTAATCCCGAGGCACATGCTAATTACCGGTCCTTGAAACTTAGAAACAAGAACTCGAAAGGCAGAGGCGCAGGGCGCTTCGGTAGGAGGCGATAAAGCACAATGGCTAGTGAACACCAGCATCAATTATGAGAAACGACTACGGCATACTCAGAGATACCACCTTAGAAGACATAATACACAGTTTGATTCTATATAGCCGCTTGATATGCTATGTGATTCGTGACTTCGTCAAATTTATATAGAATACTTTATGCGTGGCATAACCGTCAATCAGGGATATAGCGGCCCCGTGCGTATTGTATTCTTCGCGCTTGGGCCATGGCATCACGAGATCTTTCCCAGTATTGTGGTCTACGAGAGGGCGGTGGTCTTGAAACCCTCCCACGAACAACACGGTCATTATTTCGGTATACCGGAGTCGCTGTACGATCGGACGACCGAGCTTCTGGACGAGACCTAGATGAAGCTGTCCTCCTGCTCGGATCATCATACTGAACATTGCGGTCCCAGTCCGATAGTGATGTATAGGGGCTTCGAAGCCATGCCTGCAACTCATGCAAGAACAAGCACGCATTATCTCTGCCAAGGAAATCCTGCAAGAGAGACTCCGCTTGCCCAGCACTGCCTTTAATGTCAACGGTTCGAAGAATCGCAATGATATACTCCAACAAGAATTCAGCGTTACTTCCTCGGCGGCTTTCGAGTCTTGCCTGCCCCGGACGAGCCACTGGACTCTGGCTCGAGCCTGCCTCTGTACGGTGTAGAAAGTCGAAGACTTGCAGTTCCCTCCGTATCCAGGTACGAGCACGCGAAACAAGCCCCTCGTCATTCTTGAACTTATCCGGCGTCAGTTCTTGGTATTGCGAAAGACGATTCGATCCGACCCTCAGGGAATAAAGCCGGTGGCGGTAGACATGTTGTCGCCGCCTCACCTCTTCATCGCGCGAGGGTGGATTTTGACGATGAACCTGTGGCCGGGGACGACGCGGACGATTGTAGATACAATGTTGACGGGAACTGGACGTGGTGTGGTTTGGGAGGGCTTCTGACGGAGCTTCTAATCGATGGACCTTCGGGCCTTGGGGGCTATCTAGCTCATATTCCACGGCGGAAACGTCACTCTTGCCTAGACTTCGAATTAGAAAATAATCTTGAATTTCTTATGTAGGATCATACAAAGAGGACAAATCCGACGGTTTTCTAACCAGCTTAGAAGGCAGAGAAAGTCGTAATGCGCATGTCTGCAGGGAACCGCAACGGCTGGTTCTGAGATCAGTTCCAGACAAATGACGCATGGGTTGGCCACACTGCCATCCGCCTCCTCCTGTGCTACCTCCTCCTGTGTTTTTTGCATGATTTCCTGCTGCAGATCGACATTATCTGGTGTCGGATGAGCCTCTGATGGGCCCGCGATAGTAGTTTTCTCCCAGTTGTTGTTCATGGGGGTTTTCCAAGGGCGGTCCATCGTGGCAGTCGGAGTGTCGTTGGCGGAGGTCACGTTGCGGTCGGCTGCTGTCATGGCAAAAATTCCACCACGAACCTTTGATCCTCGCTCGTCGACTCGTACAACCGGTCGCCGTCACCAACACAGCCAGTCTACGCTTGGCGACGGAGATGCACTAACGGGTTCAGTGGTCCAGGAGCATTTTAGAGGTCAGCGCAACAGTATGAAGTCTGCCAGAGCTGTGGTAGCTGCGAACCACTCTGCCGCAATGGCGCGCGGCCAGGCAAACGGGTCACTGGCCCAGGATTATCAACGTTCCCCTTCCCGCACTATTACAGGTTTAAGACGGTGGTCAGTAGTCAATCGAGATCTGCCACGTGAGTGATCGTTTTCCTGCACTTCATACCGTATGGCAATACTAACTTTTGTTGCCTCCGTCTGCACAACAGCCGTGGCCCAAGTGAAAGCGATCCATGTCTACGACTTCGATAACACATGTAAGACTATGCAACAGCATAATGGCGATCGCCGTAGGGGGTCTTGGGGTTAATATCATTCAGTATTCCAGAGTCCTCTCCCGAATCCGCAGTTATGGAACGGGCCGACCATCGGTTTTCTTCAAGCCTACGAGAGCTTCGCAAACGGGGGATGGTGGCATGACCCGAATCTACTTGCCGCCACTGGGGAAGGTCTTGAAAAAGAAGAACCACGGGGCTGGGAGGGATGGTGGAATGAGCAAATCGTGCGGCTCACGTACACTGAATTAAGACTGACATGTTGACTGATAAGGACGTAGGTACAATTGGTCAAGCTCAGCATGCAGCAGAAAGACGCGCTGACAGTGCTACTTACTGGCCGAGGCGAGAGTGGGTTTGCAAGCCTTATCAGGCGTGTAGTGGACAGTAGGAAACTGGAGTTTGACCTCATTTGCCTCAAGCCTGAAGTTGGACCAAACAGCGAGCGGTTCTCAACTACTATGGAGTTCAAGCAATCTTTCCTTGAAGACCTCATTCTCACATATAACCAGGCCGACGAAATACGTGTTTACGAGGACCGTGTGAAACAGTGAGTGTAATGTCCATCTCTGTACCACTTTTGCCTCTGACGCAAACCCAGTGTTAAACATTTCCGAGAGTTCTTTGAGCAGCTGAACCGGAGGTTTCAGACCGCGCAAAACCCCTCTCCCAGAAAAGCAGTTAATGCGGAAGTGATACAGGTAGTGGAAGGGGCTGCGTTTCTGTCGCCAGTGATTGAAACAGCCGAAGTACAACGTATGATCAATTCCCATAACGATGCTGTCCGCAACCGGTCAGCCAATGGGACCAAGTCGCCGTACGGCCGACTGTGCATTAAGCGCACCATCTTCTATACCGGGTACCTCATATCCAATGCGGACTCCAGTCGTTTGATCAGTCAAACACTGAACCCAATGCTGCCCTCGGGGCTTGCTGATTCTAATGACCTTAAGTACATGGCTAACAGTATACTAATCACGCCTCGCCCTGCGCCTCGGTCAATTCTACACAAGGTTGGCGGTCTTGGCAAGAAGCTCAAGTGGAAGGTTACCGGCACCGCAGTCTTTGAACATAGAGTCTGGGCTGCTCGGTTAACTCCTGTCCCAGCAACAGAGAAGTATTACACAGAAAACCCACAACCCGTGGTAGTCTTAGCGGTGCGCAAAGGTGCCCGTCCTATTGATGCTGGCAAAATACAAAACTGGCACCCCGTGCCTGCTGATAAAGCTTTCACTTTTGAAACAGTCGTTGGTGAGAAAATGGTTTTGCGTGTTGAAGAACAAAATCCCCATGAGGGAGAGTGGGAGAGTCAATTCTTGAATAAGAATCATAAGAGACGTCACCAGCAAGATCGTGATGAAGACACTTCATACCAAAATGCAGGCGGAACGGGCCAGGAAGGCCCATCATCAGGAAGGCCAGCACCCTATAACCCACGCCATGGTGGCCGCCATCATCACGAGGACGGTCATCGCCGTGGTGGATCATACCGTGGACGTGGACGTGGGTCCGGTTCCAGAGGTAGAGGGCACCCAAACCGAGGGGGGCAACGTGGGAGGGGCCGTGGGCGCGATGCTGGGCCTCCTCAGGGCTACAGATCGTTAGACGATTATACTGGATATGATGGACCGTATGAAGAAAAGCCTGGGCCTGGGAATGGTGGCCCTGTGATGAACTATTAGGTTGAAGTTCAAATACCCTCGCCATCTATTAGGCTTGCAGACCTTCGATTTGTTTTCACATCATTTATGATGTCCATATAGCGTTGATAGTTGTTCTTCGGTGCGCTTGTATGATTTTGCATGATCATTGTCCAGACATACATACATACACCTGTTGGGCCTGGAAAATAATAGCAACCGGGACTCCGTTCAATAACGCCTAGTTCTTTGACCCTATGGCATGTGCGCCGTCCGACCTTCACACTCGTAAGGGATCTGATCTCGTGGCTCGACTAAAAGGTTCGCTCGAAGCACGTGTTGGCCATGTGATCGACATGCTGTTTTTGTATCTCCAACATTGTCCAACCTCTGTGAATCCCATCGTCCTTCTATTGGGATTTGATTTCCACTTTGGACCAATGACGGACTTGATACGACAATAAACTCAGATGCACCGAAGAAACTCCTATAGCCTCGCCTGATCTGTTCACATATAAATGTATCGACACCTTCCACGGTGATTCTTATACATCTTATCCATCGGGAAGATTTAAGCGAGGACGAGGGGGTATAACGAAAAGTGTGGATTCATTGGCACTAATCCCGGAAGGATGTGATTGTAGATAACTAGCGACAGCATGGGATGCTTAATAAAGCCAAGTATCCTACAAATACCGCCTTGATTTACAGTGCGCTGCTCAGCCTTACCTCAGACCGGTGTGGGATTCTCCCCAGTGTCGACAGAGGCCACTATCAGTATTCCTCCCACCGTGGTGTCCGTCAACATTGATTTCCTGCAATAACTACGGAGTTCTCTACTCCAAGCGTCGAAGTCAATTTCTAAGACCCTACAGCAATCTTGCCAAAGCCTGATTTCTCTCCCACCCCCGCACTAGGGCAGCCACGCAACCTTTCAAGTCGTTAGGCGAGGGCACTCTGAAACGAGATGCCGACGACAAAATGGGCCACAGAGGCGGATTTCGCCGAACATAGGGCAACAGCCACGAGCCTTACCGCCAGAAGCATCTTGTAGAGGTTATGGACAAGGCGCCACACGAACATGTAGGCGACGCTGCTCGGTCGATAGCTCTCCTACGTCGTCAATTGTAGCACCAGGTCTTGGAGCACCAGCTAATCAGCAGAAAGTACTAGACTGTCTTGAGATTCTGGGCAAGTATATTGATGGAAACTCGGCTTGTGGGCGGTGGCAGACATCCCCTACGTTCATGGCATCGCTTCAAAATAGCGACTGGCTGGCACAGATCACCACAGAAGGCCCGCTTGCACAGTGAATAATGCATGGGCGTCTTGAAGGAATCCTTTAGCCATTCTTACTAGGTTAGGTCTTCGGCACACAGGTGCCTTAGTTTATTATAGATTTGGATACTATGTTAGTGTTGTTTCTTTTCAAAGAGTTTTAACTTTTAGGAATATACGTAGTATTAGAGACCCACCACTTCTCCCATGCGAAGAACCTTGGCTAAATAAATTTAATTAATCCTCGGATGTACTCCCGACATGAACGTGCCCCGTGCAAAGCTTTGGTAACAAAGACGTCTGGAAAGGACCAATCCTGGTGGCCAGAAGGCCTTCTTAAAATATTCTATTAAGGAGGAACACCATCTTAGGGCAAAGATTGTCATGGGGGTTAATCTAAAGCCGCTAGCTTAATTGGCCACGGGGCCCCCCGGGTGGGAACCAAAACTGCTGCACGCCGCAGATTTCACCATTGCAACTAAATTCGCACCATTCATTGGATGTAACCGTGCCTTGACGGTACCTCTTATCATTCACCTTACGAATCGCACCATTGGGATCATTCGCAGCAAGATAGACAATGCGAAGGAAATCGGAAGACCGTTGGACGCCGGCTATAAGATGCTGCATGTCTCACTATCTTCCGTTCCACTTTCCCTGGAACATTGATCAGAATGGAAGTGCAATCCCATATCTATAATCCCTCCATCTCCGGAGCTATCTAAATTACCTCTTATCTTTTTATCCCCTCCTGACCCGCCTTCTTCTCGGTTCGGCATCACCAAAATGCCCAGCTACGTGGAAGCCCCAGCAGATGGGAGTGAAGTGTCAAATGGCTCTCAACTGACAAAACGTGGCAATAAATCAGAAGAACCATATGAGACGGTCAGTGAACAGAAGGCGACGGGTCACCCACGCGAAACAGATGGCGAAGACTCATTAGGATCTCGGGGTGATGACAATGATGTTGTATATGTGAAGGGACATCCTGTCATCCGAAATGGTAGCCGACTCCGTAATCTCAGGTTCCTGTTACTTGCAGCTAACGCTTCACATCAGGGGCTGATGTATCGAGATTCATTGTATCCGTCCGAGATGACGGGGATTCTTCTCTCACCTTTCGTTCCGTCGTCCTAGGCTCGGTGTTCACTGCGCTCTCGAGCGTGATTACCATGCTCTATGTCTTCAAGCCATATCAAGCGCAAGTGTCTGCGGTCTTTCTGCAGCGTAGGCCTTTCCCCTTTCGGCGTCTGTCTGTGCTGTCTACTTACACACTCGCCTATAGTGCTCGTCTATGTTTTTGGTGAAGCTTGGGCCTTGTTTACTCCTCGTCCTGACAGGTTCAAATGGAAATGGCTACAGACAGTACTCACCTTTCTCAATTTTGGTCAGCGCTTTACCATCAAAGAGCATGTGGTAGCCGCCCTAATCGCATCATCTGGAAATAACGGCCTCAGCGGTGTGGAAGTATATGCCGTGGAACGACTTTTCTATAACCATAGTGTATCTGCAACCACTGCGGTTTTGGGAACCTTTTCCATGGCCCTTTGTGGATTTGTCCTAGCAGGTGTGATGCGGCCGCTGATTGTCTACCCGGCGGAAATGGTGTACTGGTCCACCTTACCCCAGGTGGTGCTCTACCAGAATCTTCATTTTGACCGGCGTGCCAACAAAGCTCGCCTGACCAAGTTTGGCTGGGCCTTGTTACTTACTGCTGTGTGGGAACTATTTCCCGCGTACATCATGCCTTGGCTGTCGGGGTTTTCTATCTTCTGTCTCGCCTCCATGAACGCGCCAAAGCACACTCGGACCATTTTCTCAAAGATCTTTGGAGGCGCTTCGTCTAACGAAGGCATGGGCCTCTTGAACTTTTCGCTGGACTGGCAATATATTCAGAGCACCTACCTTTCCTTACCAATCAAGCAACAGCTGAACACTTGGATCGGTTACGTTATTCTGTATGCTGCTATACTCGGTCTCTACTACAGCAATGCCTGGGATGCGAAAACGTTCCCCTTCATGTCCACTTCGCTTTTCCAGAGCAATGGCACACAGTTCTCAACATCAGCAGTCGTCAATAGTCATGGAACCATTGATTTCACAAAGCTCAAGGAAATAGGCCTACCCGCTTTGACTTCCAGCACCGTCTGGGGGTACCTTACACAGAACCTGGCCATCGGTGCTTTAATTACCCACGTTTTCATTTTCTATGGCAAAGACATGCTGCTCTCATGGAAGCAGTCACGTAACAAGACTCAACCGGATCCACACTATCAGGCGATGCTGAAGTACAAGGAAGTCCCGATGTGGTGGTACCTGGTTCTGTTCGTCCTGGCCTTTGTCGCCGGGCTAATTGTCAACATCAAAGGCGAAACCACTCTCCCAGTCTGGGGCTACATCGTTTCTCTTCTGCTCGGCGCTTTCATTGCACCTTTCTCCTGCGTACTCTATGGTCTCTACGGAACCGGAGTTGCCACCAACCAGCTGTCCAAGATGGTGGCAGGTGCTCTTCATCCCGGCCGCCCCCTGGCCAATCTCTATTTCGCCAGCTGGTCCCACCAATGTATCCTGCTCTCCGTCAACCTAGCCAACTGGCTGAAAGTCGGACAATACACCAAAGTCCCACATCGCGTCATGTTCGCCACCCAAATATACGGCACCCTCCTCGGCGCAGCCTTAAACTACGTCGTCATGACCACCATTGTGAGCTCCCAACGAGAGATCCTCCTCGATCCTGTGGGAAACAACGTCTGGAGCGGCTCAACCGTGCAAAGCTTAAACACCCAGGCGATTACATGGGCACTCGCAAAGGACATGTACGGCGTCAACAGCCGTTATCTCATCGTGCCCCTCTGTCTAGTCATCGGCCTTGCCTTGCCAATCCTGCACTGGGGTCTACTGAAAGTGATTCCTCGTCTCCGAAAGCTGCCGCTGAACACAGCGATCATCGTTTCTTACGCCGGTAGCCCATACTATGGAAATACATCGTGGATTTGGTCGTCCATTGTTGTCGGCCTCTTCTCGCAGTTCTGGCTCAGACGCCGGCTGCCGGAGATCTATAACAAGTACAATTACCTTATTGGTGCTGCCATGGATGGAGGGTCTCAAATTATCATCTTCATTCTCTCGTTTGCCGTCCTCGGGGCTGCTGGTAAGGAACGCCCGTTTCCTACATGGTGGGGAAATCCACAGGGTAATCCGGATCATTGCCTGTAAATGAACCACTAGTCGCTTCAGGATACATCCGACATGTATATAGATACACGGAGTCAATATATCTCTTCTCCAGAATTGAAAGTGCATACTTCCCTCCAACACATACACTAAAAAGCACCTCATAGAAATCTAACGCCAAAAAATAAAGCCACCCACCCCAAAAGACAAACCCCCAAAAAACAGATCCAATCTCCCAAACCAGATTGACCACCTTCCCAATCAATTTACTATTAGCTAGTAGACCGGTATTTTTTTTTCCCTTCTAAGTACAGAGTATATTGCAAAATGTCAATCATAATATCTAACTATACTACAAGTTATATATGGAATCAATTGTAATAGCAATCTAACGGATGTAACGCTTACCCTACTTGCCCAACCATACGCTTGGAGTTTCGTTAGTCCTGTCGTAGGACATCAATGCGACGAGAAAAAGCCCGAAGAATTCCTTGCTTAAGATTTCCCTTCATATGAATGACCATCCCGAAGCTGGGGGGTAGTCTCCGATCACCACCTGGTTCTTTCGCTTTGTTTTGCTTTTTGTTTTCGTTCAAGTGGACTTATGTGCCTCCGACATTTCCTTCTCCTCCCCTGACATCGCCGCAGTCATGGTGCGCGCCTCCTGCAACAGTGGGCTCCGGGCCCGGATCTCCGTACCCCATCGGAACATGACAAAGGGGATGAGAGCCAACAGGAAGGAGATCATGCCGAGGAGGAAACTAGCCCAGTGGTAGCCCAAGGTGTTATAGATGCTCTGTGTGGCGAGGGGAAGGATCGCCAGAAACAGATTCTCGCCGAGCCCGACGGCGGCAATCGCACTGCTGGCCAGATGCGCGTAGGCGTCCAACAGATAGGTGACGATGCTGATGACGACAGCGTTACTACCCATGCCGACCATGGCGAGCCCGATGGCGGGAGCAATGAAGGGGAGCGACGGGTAGGCTGTCCACGCGTAGATGAGCATGCCGCCGGTGTTGCCGAGGAGACCCCCGATGACGGCGGCGTAGAGTCGCGCCTCAGGGATCGGCTCGCCGGGGATTTCTTGGTTGCGTGTGGCGGAGGCGAAATACCACCGGTTGCAGATGAGGCAGATGACGAAGCCGATGAGCTCGCCGACCACAATGGCCGCCTGGATGTAGCCGGCCTGCGTTGCGTTCCATCCGTATAGGCCGTTGAAGACCTGTTCGGCTGACTGCGTGAAGACATAGATGGTGCCGAGACTGAACGCCGACCACAGCGTGGCGACGAAGACGACGGACTCGGTGAAAAGCATCATGATCGGTCGCTTGATGCTGTCGCTCAGTCGCATGAGGAGCTTGGCGGTTTCGCCCGTGCCGGGCGTCGGCTTGACCTCTGTGTCGTCGGTGCTGTGATCAGCCTTTCGCGCCCGTTGCCCCTGGATGACCGACGCACGAGTCTCGGGGAAGGCCAGGAGAAAGACGGGAAACAAGACCCCCGTCCAGATCAGCTCGATGTAACCGATCCAGCGCCACGAGAGATGTTGAAAGATGGCGGCCCCCAGCACGGGGCCCATGCTACTGGAGGCCATGTAGATGGTGATGTAGAGGCTGATCGGGAGCGTGCGCGCGCGTTCGCCAGACCAGATATTGCCAATTACACCGGCGACGGTGTTGGCCAGGATAGCCACGCAGCCTCCGCTGAAGAAGCGCGTGACGATCAGGGTCGCGAAGTTCTGCGCGACCGCTTGGGGCACCAGAAAACAAAGGAAGCACAGATAAATGGCCAGGAAGACCCAACGGATGCCGAAATCTTCCATGATCGGAAGCACGATGAGAGAGAAGGTCGCACCGCCCAAGCCCCACGAGGTCACCGGCCAGTAGGAGTGAGGAAAGTGTGCATCGCTGACGTTGAATTGATCGTTGATTGCTTCGTGGGCGACGGTGATGATGGTGCCATTGATGAGTGTCTCGAAGCTGGCCAGGAGCCCTAAGCCGGTCACGAACCACTTCCGCAGCGGCGTCCAGTTGAAGGGGTTATCGGGGTCGTTTGGGCTGCTCCAGCCTGGAAACCGTCTCAAAAGTCGTTAACTTTGATAGTCTACGTTCGCAGGATAAATGACAGGAAGGAAGACGCCACTTACCGTCGGAAGCTCCGCCGATCATCATCTTGACTCGATGGAATCAGGCTGCGATTTCCGAACCACCAGGTCAGCCGATTATCTTCTCTCATAGATATTGAGCGAGAATTTCTAAATATCTAGAGGGTGCTCTGCCCACTTAAAACTATCATAAAATGCTGACAATTGGTATTTGTGGCATCCCACCGGGCCGCCCCCTGTGACTTTGCGGGAGATGTGGGATGCTTGTTTTGTAAGATTATGTCCTTAGAAATTGATATATATATATATATATATATATATATTAGTCATTCTGACAAACTGAAGGAGCTTTCGGAACAATAGAGAAGGAGCAGGGATAGAAACTCATAAACAAATCTAACTTATCACATAATCTTCTAACTATGTTAACTAGCCCATCATATTATGAGAGCAACCTTTCTTCAAATTCCCTTTCATCACACTCATAATGATAACTCCCCTGCTGGGCTTTTGTTTTGTTTAGGCGAGGGGGCTTAATGTCGCTGCTTACATTGTAACGAGTGGGAAAAATCACTGTAAATCATCAACCCTAACTGAAGCCAAGCCATGATGCATTCATCCCTGGATTGATTTACTTGCCTCTACGTACTTCCAATGAAGACATGGTCTGATTCCTATCAATTTCCAACCAGGGGTACTTTCTAGATTCAACGGAGAGTTACTTCAAAATAATACAGTTTAGGTACATGAGCAAAAGTTCCTTATCCACTCGAATACACCCCCACACGCATCTACCCAATTCCAGTGGAGGAAACGGCAACAACTAAGACCAGATTTAAGCTGACGCGAGAAGTCCAGCAGCAATGCTTAGACCAGGAGCCAGCCACAGCACGGACAGAGCAACGTGGAGACGAGCCTTGAAGTACTGGACACCAACCAAGGCACCAACCAGCGCGTTAACCCCCACCATCCACTTCTCCATCGTCGTTGTAGGGCCGCCGGACTTAGCCCACTTGTAGTTTAAGAGCGCTGTGGAAAGGGACAAATGAGAAGATACGTCAAGAACAAATCGCCAGGAAATAGTCTCGTACCCAGTGTAACCAGATAGCCATTGACAAAGTGCCAGGTGGCGGGGATGATGGCCTTTGCCAGAGCAAACTCTTCCGTAGAGGGAACCGCCTTTATCGTTTGTGGGACCAGGGTGAGGCCGACTTTGACATGTTTGGGGATGATGGCAAGATACAGGAACGATGCAGCTGTATAGAGAGAAGACGACAGGGGTGTCATGGTTGAGGCAGATGAGAGAGTTGATTTCGCGTGGAACGATAGTGACAAAGGTTGATTAACAGAATCGCTTAGAAGGTAGACAGCAGAGGAAGTGGAGAGCTTAATAGTGGGTTTTGTATTCAGGGATACATCGCATAAGCCAGTATAAGCCAGGCGATTGCTGACAAAAGTATCCGTTCCATCCCACCGGCCCTGTGACATAGAACTGAGCTACCATGAATAATGGCATATCCTCTCAGGAAATCTATCTATATGCCTATATTAAACCCTGGGCATGTCCACCCTCCATCAGAATTATTCACCTTCAAAGCATTCTCCGTTCTGAGCCTGTCTATCTTTCTTTCTTTCTTTCTTCTTCCTTTTCTCCTGCCTTTTCTTTTCTTTCTTTTTTTTTTTCTTTCCAGACCGATAATAAAAGCAGAACCATGGCAGTCAAGACTTCCTTCACGAGCTCCATCTCCCTGACCCATATTACGACTGCCACCGTAATCCTCGAGATTGACGGCGTCACTTTCCTCACTGATCCTGTCTTTGGCCCGGCCGGAGTGGAGCACGACATCACCCACCTTTTCCCCGATGCCAAGGAACAGCTGGTGACCAGTAGTCTGGAGGATCCAGCTCTGGGCTTAAACCAGTTGCCCCCAATCGATTCTGTCCTGCTCAGCCATGAAGACCACTGCGACAACCTCGACCCCGTGGGCCGTCAGCTCCTCGACGGCCGCCATGTAATCACAACGATGGACGGAGCCAAGAACCTCGCGCCGCGCCCCGGCGTCCACGGCATCAAACCTTGGGAGCTCCAGACTCACAACATCCGCGGTGTCCAGTACGAGATCACAGGCACCCCATGCTGCCACCTCCCTGGCGGCGAAGTCACTGGCTTCATCCTTCACACCGAGGCATTCGGCCACGCCGCCGACGGCCGCCAGAATGCCGTCTGGGTGACGGGCGACACCATCTACCTCGAGGAACTGCAGCAGATGCAGCATAAGTACCACATCAAGCTGGCTGTGATGAACCTGGGCGCCGCTAAGGTGATGCACCCCGGCCAAGCTACGCCGCTGCAGATCACCATGGGCGGTAGCGATGCTGCACGCTTGGTTCGCGAGATTGGCATCGAGCGCATCGTCCCCGTCCACTTCGAGTCATGGCACCATTTCACGGAGTTTGGAAAGGAGCTGCGTGAAACCTTCGAGAAGGAGGGCATTCTCGACAAGGTTTCTTGGGCGGTGCCGGGAATCAAGACTCAGATCCTTTGAGTAAGGGCTTGAGAAGGAATTTTCCTCTGTATTATTGTATTTTTTACAATCTGCCTTGGCATATAGAAGTTATAGATTTACCAATCTGTCTGTTTATTTGTATGCACATACTAAAAGCTACACGGTAATATCCTAACGAATCTACTTTAACATTTTAGCCTAAATCTCCACACGCGCAGGAGGTCCAAGCGTCGGCTACTTCTGGGGGCCAAATTCTCCTTCTACCAATAGATATCACTTTTGCCACGCGTGGAAAATTGCGATCTTCAATATGCAGGATGGTCTTTGGTGGTACCGTGGTTAAGCAATAGACTACGTAGCACTTGGGCTCTGGGTTTATGGGATCGATTACGGGTTGGGTTATTTTGGTATTTCTTACATTGGGTGTCTCTTTGGTTACTATTGGCGTTGTGAGCTGTGTACAGGTGCAATGGAGGGTTCTTCAAATAATCTGTTATGTGTTGAAGTGGAGTTTTGAAAGAAGAAGAAGAGTACTGAATGCTCAGCATTCGTTTAGTAAGGTTTAAGTAGGTTTGTGCGTGGATAAGGAAGCGAATCGAGTTCTGGACTTCGGGCTTTCCGAGAAGGTAGACTATCGAGTTACTACGCTGAGCTCAGATTGCCAATGGCACTGCCAGCAGTAGCAGAATTGTGAGGTAATTGTTTAGTGAGCTCTTGTTTGCTGCGCCGGTGGCTAGAGGTGGTTGGCTCGATGACGATGACGGTGACATTGATCCTGTCACAGGGCTGGATGTGGTGTTATCCTTGTGGATGGCGGTGGCTGTAGGTGAGATGTCGGGGAGTGAGGATGTTATTGAGGCTGTGACGTAGACATTGGAGGTAGTTGGTAGAGTGGCTGCGGAAAGAACTTGGAAGCATTGAAGGTCAGTTTGAGTCTTCAGGGAGAGACGCTCCAGTATAGGGGTGGAAGGTCATCTTCGGATAGCAAGTGCGACATCGCGAAATGAAAGTGGTAGATGAAAGACTAACCTGTAGAAGAGGATCTTGTCACAGCCCCCGAGCTGTCGCCCTTGACACTTCCATCAATTGCTTTGATAGACTTCCATGAACCAGACTTATCCGTATACTCGTACGCAGAGCCAGAGGAGTAGTCTGTGACCTTGATCGATTTCACGTACATGGTATAAGGTCCTTTCGAATAGTCGACTTCACCGCCAGCCCATTCTAGTGATTGAGCGTAATTAGAAATGCATAAACTAAGGTTCAGAATTCATAGCTCGTACCAATTGTTCCTGGGGCATTAGAAGGATCCCCAGCAGCCCAAGGGCCAACCTTGATGTAACAGGGCGTCTGTGGATACTGTCCGTTGGCGTTCTTTTCCTCTAATGTACGAACTGTGTTGCCGTCGATCTGCCAGAGAATCCGGTTACTATCCCAATCGATAGTGTACGTCTTGAACGTGTCATGGTTCCCAGAATCGGGGTGAAAGGCACCACGGTCATAGGTGGTGGTGTCGCCTTTTCCAAAGTAGTTCGTCTGAACCCGAGCGTTGTCCCCTCCAAGCCACTCCCAGTCTATCTCATCCAGACAGTCTGATTGAAGAACTGCACTGCTGACTATACCTGTACCCGGTGCAGCCTTGATAGTGAATTCCACTCGACCAAACATGATGTAGAAGTCGGACTGAAGCACAGGGCCATCAAGCTTCTTTGCAACCGTCAAGGCCACGCCATCCTTGTCTTGGGTGACAGTTCCAATAGACTTCCATCTATTAGGGACCGACTTGGTAAGATCAAATGTAGCCGAGGTTCCAAAGGCAGGATCTTTGGGGCAGTCTGTCGACGTTAGATCGTCGACCTGGAATCTTCATAGTAAATGCCACTCACTAGCCTTTGTAGGGTTGCACGAAGTGAAGGTTTGAGCATCTGCCAGATAAGGCAGCATCAAGACGGTCATGGCCATGGCCATGATGTAGCATGAGAAACTCCTACTGTGTGCGAACATTGTTTCGCCCATTTGGATCGTCGAAATGAGTGTGATACCAGAGAATATCTCCGGCGATAAGGTTGCTTAAATATGACGATAGACGACCAGTCTAAGAGAGTTGGATAACAACGAGATTCATTGCTTCCGGGTCTCCTATTATAGACCATGGTTCAGAAAGTGAATTCGCCGGTCATACCCGGCTATTTTTAGTCGGGGAGATGGGTCATCTGAAGCCAAGTTGAACTTCACTGTACACATTGTACATTCACTGAATGACGGTCAGCAAAATGCCTCGGCTTGACTGAAATGGGACTGTGTTCCAGTGAGTCAACCCACATATAAGAGCACACTATTGCCGTTGGTCAGACTTATCTACAACCTCAACATGCCGTATATGCTACTCGGGTATTCTTGTGACACTGTGACGGGATGCCAGGGGATTCTGTCTGCTCTACTGTCCTTGTCGACTTTCTCATAGAGCTCTGATTACAATGTTCAATCATTGGTAGTAGACAGCTCCACGTTCCTTTTCTCCTGAATGGTATATACTACGTGCTCGTTTCATCTGTTGGGTTCGGTGGAACAAGCTCGCGTGAGCCCGATAGAAAACTCTATCGTTCTGTCCAGCCCTAAGCTCTGAAGTATGATCAACCGACTTCGCATCCATCGACCTCATCTGACACATCTAAGTGGCTAGTGCATTCTTGATTGAGTTACGGCAACCCACGTGTGGTCTTCCGTAACAAAGTTTCTTGAGGAATGTCGGCGTTCGCTTCGGTTCCAAAAGCTATGAGGGTCAGAGTCTCATCTGGGTGTATTTAAGCAAGGAGGTTCCGAGATGACCGCATGGAGAATGAGAATCGAATTTCATTACCTCTGAACTGAGGTCGCGTCTGGAGTGCTACTAGTTACATCTCGGAGGGTTTTGGACAGGGGTTACGTTTTTAAGTTAAAAAAGTTCGATAGTAGGTACAGTTCTAAGAGTACCATGCAGGAGAGTAAGACACTTCTGAAACATCCACTATGTTTTGAATGCATTGTATGCTTTTTGAAACAATCTAATGGAATTGATTGTAAATGCCAAAGTCCCTTTTGTAGGGTTTCACAAAGTCATTCATTGTGTTGGTAACTCATGTGACCCCCCCCCCCCTCCCTGTTGGGCACAAAATGTCACGTTTTCCAAGAGAAACAAAACAAACCACCCGCATTGTTGTTGAGGTTGTTTTTGTGACAAGTCATTCTGGTGTGAGCCAAACAAGAGAAAACGTCTCGTCTTCTTCCTCCACACAAAAAGATCTCCGGTGGCCGATCAATGTGCGAAGGTCCTTGCAGGAGGATTTAATGCAGTATGATTGGACAATTCACCCGGGTTGGGGGAGGACTCGGAGGGGGAAAAAGATGACAGGGACAACGTTTGTCCCTGTAAGACGAGACACGCAGCCTCGCGTCAGCTGAGATAGCCTGGCAGCACCTTTTCTCCCCGTTCATCCAAATTCCATCATGTTTTCCGGACCTGTCATCCGTCGCGGACAATGCCATCTTTTCAACCCCTATCTCACCACGCGGTCGCAGCTTTCCGTCGCAATCTGACATCCTGCTCCGAATTAAACTATCAACAGCTGCGCGATAGATAAATAAATACTAATATTTGAATCGCTCGTATGCTGGTGGCGGATTTGCCCCCGGTTTCCTCATGTCACATCCACTCGTGGCAGCAGTGTGGGAACAGCTACGGCGGCGTGACATAACCAATATCGTGAGGGAAATTATCGGCGAACATGCTACGGATGTCGCCATCTTTCAAGCGGAGGATGCTTCCGATGTCGCGAAAGTCGAGCATCTAATGCACGCCGTGTTCTGGATCAAAGCCATTTTTGACTTGCAGAGAACCTATCTGCAGGGGTTGACGAATTTCGACGATGGCCACCCCTCCTCCACGTCATACCTCCTCCCCGCCGAAGTGATTTTCTCGACCCTCATGTACCTCGTGCAGGTGAAGCCGAAGTTGTTCCCGTACAGCAAAGCCACCGCCCCCGAGCTGGTCAAATATAGACACTTTCTCGCCCTCACGTTACTCGCCGGTGCGCGACTGCTTCTGTTGCGAGGTCAAGGCATTCGCCATGAGATGAAATTCAGTCTGGAACGTGCGATCAGGAAAGCATGGCAAGACTCGGAGCTGCCCGGCGCAGAGAGGTTTATGGTCAGCAATTTGCTGCCCAACGTCATCGATAGTATAGAATCCTCGGATTCGTCATCTAAAAGTCATATGTTTTCCCCGGCGTCGCACGGAAGTAATCCTAAAGTCACTGCCATGGAACCGGTAAGTTCTAGCACGCATCTCTGTAAGCCCACGGGAACAAGTTCGGCTCACGCATGGTAGAACTCCTTACTGGGGAATACAGAGACTCTGACAGACCTTTTGACGGGACTTCTGAAGAAAAACACCGATCAGATGACTCCCTTCTTATCTTTGTTTGACATGCTATGGGCTGCCGAGGCGACGATGGTACAGTCTCACATAGATCGCCGTCGGATGTCCCAAGAACAGGGGCATAGCCTAGTTGCTGCACTGGGCGTGGACGATATCTTTGATCACGCGCGAGAGAACAAATTGAAACTGGCGAAGACGGTTTTGGCAGCATTCAATGATGAATTCACAGCACCTCCGCTACAAATCCTTGCGACGGTTGTGCTAAGCCAGAATGCCGAAGCTCATCCACCCCTCCAAACACGACGAATCCGGGACACTTGGGCTCAGCTATCTCGTATTAGGGAAGTCTGCGAGGCATCCCTGAGCCATCTGGTGAGATGGCTTATCAACCGTAGAGTCCAACTGTGGGGTTGCAACGGAGAGCTCGAGGCTACCTCGCACCACTACCAACAGAATCTCACAGAGTGGTTGCAGCTGTCACCCCTCCAAGAAGGGAATCAACCAAATCGTCAAGATGAAGTACTCTACAATGTGGATTGCCCTGCTGCGCATTCGGTCCCCATATCATTATTGGAAGAGCGGATGGATAAAAATGCTCGCGAGGTATGCGAATCCCCTCATGACGCCATCACTCAATCGTTCCATCATAATAACGGTAGAGGTTCAACATTTCCATAGCAAATCCGAGCGAACTCTCAAACCCTCACACTGAATATCTACTGCCCTTTGTGTCCAACAAACACGAAAATACAACATGCACGGATGGTGGAACCGGCCAGGCTTTCCCAAACACGCATTGGCTTCGAGTCGGGCAGTGTCAGAAGTTACTCCTTCCCTGAATCCATGTCTCGAGACACGACCTCCTCGAGCTCCCTTAGTCACTCCACCAGCCATTCATCCGTGCGTATAGACTCCGGCGATGGGACATGGAGTCCGATCTCGCCTGCGACCTTCAAGCCAGTATTCAGTGCAATGAATAGCAAATATTCTCCTACTACACCCTCTGACCCACGTAACTCATTTTTAGCGCGTGCTAAAACCGATAATCTGTATGAGAAATCCAGCACGAGGTCATTCCCGCGAGAACTGAAAAACGTCTCTCTACCCTTTTCCACCGGTTCTTCCCTGTTTCGACGGGTATCAGTGAAGAAGAACCATTTACCTCGTGAGCCCAGATTCTGCTTCTCTGCGTCCGGCCGAAGCCTTCTTCTGTGGGGTGTTGGAAGTAATTGGGTGGCCAGGTTTGAGACACCCAGTGCCGGAGCGCAGAAGCCAAGAAGTCACCGATATGATGTTTCCGGCGTGCAATACGTTGCCGCCGGAGACCAGCGCTGCGCGGTAATAGCTGCTGTTGGAGAGGTAATATGGACCTTCACTCATCTACCTTCAAGCAATTCGGCCAGAACTGACAACACAAACAGCATTACGAGCTTCTGGTATTCAAGGGGCTTGGCCTCAGTGCCGAAGCTCATTTGCCGATTGAAATACACAATCCATCCCTACCTCCGATCCATATGGTTATGTCTCGCGACGATCGATACGTTGCATTTACCCTCAAAAACGAAGTTCGAGTTTACGAAATTATTGCGGGCGGCATCGTAAGAGTCTCATTTGGGGATACCGGAGACCCCAGCGCGTCTCTGTGTGATATGATTCCGGCCCCAACGCACATCGCATCGCCCCTAGGAGATGACGGTACTCCGGGGCCAGAAGCAATTATTGAAAGAAAGCTACAGTTCTCAGTGGACGGGAAATATTTTGTCATTGCAACGCACCTGACCGACTGCAATGCCTATGTTGATGTGTGGGACCTGTCCCTCAAACGGTGGGATACTGTACCTGGTAAATCACAGTCGTTTAGGCTTTCTCACGTATGTCTCTCTAGATTCTCCATTTTTCCTTTGCACGAGTGACTAACAATACAAGCGGACGACTAATAACAAAGACCTCACCTGCGTGTTTTACGATAATGTTCACCATGCAGTTCTCTTACCCGCCTACTTCGAAAAGGAATTCCCGAAATCCTCCTCCGTCGCCGATAAAGACATGCTGAAAGACCCAAATAGCACCCGCATCACACACGCAGCCCAGTCCGCCTCCGGGTCGCAGTTTGCAATTGCGAATGGCATGAACCAGATTTACCTGTTCGATTCCAATGCTAGTGGGTCTACGCGAGTGTCTCGGATGAAGAAAGCCTCACATAAGATCAGTTCGTCAGTCTTCCGGCCCGGTTACTTGAGCTTGGCCTTCCCACAGGACGACGAGGTATTGCTTTTCTGGATGGACAATGGGAAATTGATGCTCCGGACGGTGCGAGTGCACGAGGGGACCCAGACATCCAAAGATTATGATTTGCGCTCTGATTTTGACCGGCTGATTCTTGAACGGCCCACGGCTGATGTGCAATTCCGGCGAGCTTCACTGCTCTCCAAACAACAAAGCCCTGAGTTGGATGGATACATATCCATCACCAGCAAGCTAGCTGAGCTACCATCAACATGATGATCGACGAAGAGATCCAAGACTGCTTCCACATTAATTCTTGGGCATAAGATCGTGGAGGATCGAATATAAATCAATAATAAATATAATATTTCTGCATTCAGCACACATTCCTTCATTGTAATCTCATCTGTGGACTACACGAACAAGCCAGTAGTTTGATTCGAGAACGGTGAAAAGTCGATGCCTGAGGACGTTCACCTGGATCATGCACGTCATTACCGAGACCGGACTAGTGCGGGGGAGCTTCCCCGGAATAATTGAGGTCCCGAGTCCCGAGGGGGTTCCATGATGATCGATCGTCACTTTGAAAACATCAGAGACGAAAAGAGCAAATCAGTCAGTTACAAGAAGGTTACTAGAGGTATGTCCTTTGCTATTGGAGACCATCAGTGACTCTGTCGTGCCAAAAGTCACCTTCGTCCAGTTCCCTCTGTCCCTCCGGTGGATCGTGCGGGTGATCGACCGTCGGAGCTTCTGCAGCTTGTCCAAGTCCAGTACCTGAGATTGCGTGCAGCTGGAATGAGCTAATATTCGCATTGACTTTTAGAAAATTCGGTGCGGATTACTTTCTATCCTAAGCAACGCCTACAGGAAGGGGTTCAAAGGCCTTTGCCGTGTCGACGCCAGTCAAACCGGCTTTGATATATATGCCTTCAAGACGACGTCATCAATCCGTTCATTCTTACGCGGACCGTCTCGGGAACTCTAGAGTAGTTCGAGTCTAAACAGCAACCTCCCCTCTTCCCCTTTCATTTCATTGTCCCCTACACGACACTTATCGTCATGTCTCAATCCGAGATTCGTGATGCCCGTCGGCCCTCTCAGGCCGAGAACCAGACCATTCTCAAATCTGAAATCCCTTTGAAAGAGCGCTTTTTCCGTTACTTTCAACATGAGATCACTGGTATGACCTAGTTGATGGACTGTGATCCTATGTGCACAGTCGGAAATCATCTGACACCCGTGCTTCCTATAGCTCTGCAAGAACAGATGGACCGTCTCGCGGATACCTCTCTTGTGGGAGGAGAACGGACGGATGCGACCGACCACTGCCTAGCTGGCATTGCCCGATTGTCCAACGAAGTCAAGGACGCAGCGAGCTATATCCCCACATATGATCAGCGGATATATGCGGAAGTAGGTTGAATAATGTCGCCCTTGACGCGTGTCTTGTATTGATCCATCGTCTAGGCGATCAAGGCCCTCCAGGATAAGCTAGTTGAGACTCGGGCGACGGTCGAGCCGCGCCCTAAGTTCAGCTTCAAGACGAAGAAGAATGCCTCGGCAATTTCCTTGTCTGATGCAGCCAACATAGTTTATCATGGTCGGAGTATGCCTGGATACCTCTCGCCGGGAACATCCTCGGTGGATTCATCCGCCGCTCAGACCCCTAATTATCCCTCCACACCATTGAATGAGCCGGATCGCATCCTGCAACCGAGAGCAGAGATCGCCCCGACTTCTTTCCCAGCCCTCCCGACCATTGATGTCGATGACAGTGAGGACAAGTCGAAGAACGGGAAGGGTAAGGCCTTTGCGGCCACTGCTGTGTCATCTGTGTCCGTGAACAACCATGTTGGGCTCCATATCATGCTTCCGTCCTCCGGTTCGACGGCTACAGTGCCTGCCTCCATCACGTCCTTACGCCATTGCGTCGTGGACATGTCCATCCCCACTGCCAACGGCAAGCCCTACGCCAGTCTAACGATCAAGGGCGTCAAAGAGAGCCTGCTAGTTTGCGGACAGATTAACGGTCCAGCCCACATCACCGATGTGGAAAACACTACCATCGTAGTGACCTGCCGCCAATTCCGCATGCACAACTGTTCTAACGTGGATGTGTACCTGAGCGCATCCAGCAACCCGATTATTGAGGACTGCACCAATATTCGATTTGCCCAGATACCAAGAGCATACGTATGTAACTAGTAGTTCTGCCTTTCACTGCAACCCCGCTAACACATACCGTTGCAGGCTTTGGACCACGACCACCCGGACAGTGAAGACCACTGGAGCCAGGTTGAAGATTTCAAATGGATCAAGCCCGAACCCAGCCCTAACTGGAGTTTGATTCCTCGTGAGAGCGCGGTCCCCGAGGAAGTATGGGCTGAAATCGTTCCTGGTGGCCCAGGATGGTCCCTAGATGACATTCTACGCGCGATTAACATTGCCAACTAGTGACTACTTTTCACACCTGGAATGCCCCCTTGTGGCTGCATATAGGTATACCAATGCAAATGCAAATATTCTGTCATAGGTTATGAAACGTTTGACGCAGATAACGCACTTTGACTAGGGATGTCTACACCATTTAGTCGATCCATCTGGTTGCCATTATGTTCTCGTTCAGTACGGAGGCCGAGCTGTCTCCTTTTATCACCTGTCGGTGGACTTCTAATTTACTATGCTATGAAATTCCTGTGAACTGGGCACATCAAGATTGCATTTATGGAAAGGGGCGTTCTTGGCCAACTCATATCTTTCCAGACTCTGGCTCTTTCGCTTGTACTTGTATTTGGTGCAGGCATCAATCAGAACACCGACAGCATGCCGGTTTATTACATACTGTTAATTCATTATTTCAATGCTTTAGTGGACACTATCATGAACAACAAAATCGATCTACCAATCTATCAAGGAATATATACACACAGTTGAAATCCTTAGAATTCCACCTTGAAGACCAGAACCTGGTTATCAATGTTGTAACCCGATTCATCGGCGTACTTGTAACGCCCAAAGTTCATGTGCCCTATGAAAAAAAAAAAAAAAAAAAAAAGAAAACCTCTGGTCAGCCAACGTCCGTACAGACACATTCACACCAGGAAGAAAAGACTCACCATCCTGCGTCATAAAGTCATTATCACTGAAGCTGAACAAGAAATACTCCGTCTTGGACGAGCCACGCTTGTGCTGTTCCGGCTCGACAGGAACAATCGCAAAGCTCTCCCACTTCTCATTCAACAGCCTCGCATCCTGCGGCCCACCGTTATGAAGCCCGAACTTGGCCAGCTCCGACTCAACATTATAATCCAGGAACGAGCAGTACTCGACCGGCGTAATGTCATCCTTCAACACCCCCTTGGACGAAGCAACACTGGCTCCAACACCATCATACTTGCCCTTCAAATCCGTCGTCGAATTGCCAATCGAAATCACATCCGCATGCCGATACACAGACCTCGTCTCATCCTGTCCATGCCCGAACCCAGAATCCCGCGAGAGAACCAAAAAGTCCCCAGTGGGAAGCATATGCATCTCGGACTGCGACGCCACCACCGATTCATTCTTCGTATAATCCTCATACTTCGGCAACTGCACAACATACTCATGCTTGTACACTGGCTTCCCAGAAGAAGAAGAAATATCATACTCCAGAAGACGGGCCGGCCGCCGATTCTTCTTCTTCGGCCCGCCCTCCTGGTTCAGCGCAGACTGCATCATCGTATACAATGTCTTTCCGTCGGGGGATATGGTCAACGCCTCCAACCCCTGGTTATTATTCCGACCCGTTTGAGGATCCTCCGGGTTAATCTCCAGCTCGGGGTCATACACCGGCGGACTGGCCGCGCTGAAACTCAATGTTCCATTACGACGGGGTAGGATCGCTCCCGGCGGCTGAATCGCCAGAACCATCTTCCCCTCTTTGCTGAATTTGTACACATACGGCCCGTATTCATCGGACACCCAGAACCCACCGTCGTTGTCGATCGCTAGACCCTCCGGGTCCAGGGAGATACGCTTCCCGCCGGGTCCTTCGCCGCCGAAGCCGTCGCCGACGTAGGTGGCTGCCGGCAGCGGCGGGTAGCCTGGGTAGGATGCGGCTCCGGTTACGTCGGCGTCAAGGCCGGTGGTGGGGAGACCGTCGGGGCCGGTGAGGAGGATTGTGTCGAGGTATTTTAGGTGTAGGTTTGGGGGGGAGGGGGTTTGGGCGGAGGCGTTGCGTGCGAGGGTGAGTTTTAGGGCGATCTTGTGGATGCGTGGTTGGAAGTTTAGGGTTCCGTTTGTGTTCCTGGATGTATGTGTTAGTTGGGAGTTCATTCAATTGGGGAGTAGGTTATATGTACCAGCCACGGTCAGGTAGAGCGTAGACAATCCCTGAGTATGTGTTTTTGTCGGTTCGGCGCCAGGAATCTGGCTCAATGGCTATAGAACTGCCGATTCCGCCGATTGTGTCGCCATACTTGTCGGTTGCGTTGGAAGGGAGGAATCCGTAGCCTTCCAGACCGGTGTATGCGTATGTTGTGCCACCGCAGGTGGTCTGGTTGACGACGTTGGATTTGGGACGGAGGGTTGCTGCTGCTGCTGCTGCCGTCCAGGGCAGTGCAGTCAATACTATGGATAGTTTCATGGGGATTTAAAGAGAGTGGACAATTGAATGCTAGCTTATAAGAATTATGAAAGTAGTGAGAGCATTGGGAAGGAAATATATAACTTTTCTCTCTGGTGTGTACAGGTAGGAAAGGAAGACCATTAATATATATCCGACATGGATGACGATCATCCAGGGCTCATGCCTAGTTCGTTATTCTTCTTTTCTCCGTTCCTAGCTAGATGTAGTCACAGTCGCAGCTGATTGAACATGCTCCTAAATACCGAGATAGGCCAAGATCAACGTGCTAGAAGGTCTCCTTCCCATTCGCTCGGGGCTTTTAATTACTTCCATCCTGCTAGGCCAATGGCGTGGTGGGGTATCCTTGCCGATGGTTTTAGTCTATAAACTAAATCCATAGACTATCACTATTTTATACTACGATATGCATGTGGGCTTTTGCAGTGAACTTTTGAGTACTCACGCGATGTTTATGCCTGAGGTGTCATTGCGGGACCACTGCTTTGATCTGGAGCCCTACTAGTATTCTCTGGGAGAGGTAAATGTCATTGTATGTATACACAAGGTGTTTAGTAGACAAATTATAAGATATTCTAAATGTTTTCTTTTTGGAGTGTGCTAATTCTCTAATTTATGACTGTGTGGGAGCATGTGTCCCGGTAGGTATATTCTTAACTCCGCCAAAAGGCCACTGTGATCAGACTCGAGACATATACACATCTCCCATGGATATAGTAGGTTGTAAGATAGATCCGGATAGTGGCTAAAGTCTAGATATATCATAGCATATGCTATATATGACTGTTAGATACTCTTCATCTATAAACCCCCGATCTCAGTGATCCGTGAAGTCAGCTGCATCACTAAGGTCTAAGGTCAATGAATAACTCACCTTGATTAGCGTCCTAACAGTATAACAGTATAGGTCTAAGTCACTCTCACGACCACGCCTTTGGGCACTCCTCTGCTGCGCACGTAAATTTATCATCTGTGCTGGTGTTTTTCACTGAATTGAGCGTAATGTAATTCTATTCATTACTGTTATTAATCAACCAAGATCAATGAGTACTATGACGCTGTCTTACTCTAACCGCAGCTACACGGTTTTCGAGACGACTCTAAATCGCCCAGTTGCCAGTGGATGGTGCACATTTTGTAAGTGCTTGGATGTACTTGCTCAACTCACAGTCAAGCTATCCCATAGAAAGAAAGGGCTTTGGTTAGATTATAAGTAATCTACAATAAGATAAAGAGTAACTGACCTGCAATATCTGTTGCTCATACTTGCGCTTCTTCTCCTCGAGCTTTGCCTTTAGCTGACTCTTCTTCGTCCCGGCTGAAATCCACATTCTTTGGAAAGTAACAAAACCTGTGAGGAACTCTCAGTCTCTTCTCGACTACATCCAGATCCCCTTCTGTAATGCTGAGACGAGGATTATCGCTATTGCCAATGCAGACCGTCAGCCTCCTTTTTTTTGTTTTTTTTTTTTTTGCTACGTTGGACGTGTTTGATGGGATTTGCACACCTGAGACGACAAATAGCAATTCCCACGAATAAGCGCAAGTCCTCGACAACCTTTAGTGTTTGTTCTGCAGACATGTTCGGACCTGTTGGCCTAGTTATAAATATCGACTAAATTTATAGGCTATTTTCTACTATGTTCTGCATGCTTTGCCATCACGCTATATTCATGCCTTAGATGTCGTGGCGGGCTTGGTAGTTTCAGCCCTATTCCCGAATGGGGGTAAATATCATTTTGTTTTCGAACTGTTTAGTGGGCTAAATACTAAAGACTAATAATTATAAAATTGATGACTGTGTGAGAGCTTGGTCTTGTCTTATATAACCTACACCGTGGTATATGCACATGATGAGCATAGACATGCATATACTGGCAGTTTGCATCTAGACCTGAATAGTGCCCGAAATCCAATCACATTATACGATATTTGATACATGAGAGTTAACCTGAGTAATCCGTAAAATCGTAGTTGTACCCTTGCACAGCAACAATACCCAAAGGTAACTGAAACGCCTACACTGTCTGTCATTCTATGGCTTTGTATCAGGTCGGCAATCCTCCTCATCCCTCGCATGCTCCGGTATCCACACATGCAGGCAATGATATGCCGCGGACGAAACTGCATGAAAGAATATGTCCTCCTGCTCCGGTGCAAGTTTATTATGCTTCTCTTTTGTGTCAGTTTCTTCTCCCATCGCCCTTGTAACGAAAAGCGCTGGTGTGAACAATAGATATGGCTATTGTTACAGTGATTAATCAACCAAGACCCGGTAAAGAGTTAATAGGGACCGCGACTTACCCCAACCTCAGTCACAAAGCCAAGTAGGGCTTGGAAGATAGACTGCCCTCAGGTGCCGCATAATCCGCAAGAGCTTGGAAGCTCACAGCCAAGTCACGGCACAGCTATTCCCATGAAAAAGGGCCCCGGTTAGATTAACTTATACGCAATACACAAGGCGGAGAGTGGACTTACATAGAATATCCCACGGACCAGTTCGTTCATCTCATCGGGGTATGACTTTTCTATCCTCCCATCGGCGGAGGCCTCTTGGTTTGAGTCCGGCTTTAGCAATTTAACATTGTCGTGAACTTCCTGCATTTGATTCTGGAGGCCCACTAGATTGTTAATGAAAGCCTTTTGATAACCCTCAATGCTAATGTAGATTGTCAGCCTTCCTTGCTACGGTGGATGGATTTATGGGGGCTGCACACCTCCAATTATTACCAGCAAAGTCCAACATCGTCATTAACTTTTTGACGGCATCTAGTGCCTTCTTTGCTTGAGACATGTTTGGCCTTGTAGAAAGTGATGGGGGAAATGCTCTTGTAAAAAGAGATCGTTAGTTATAGAAAGAAATGAGGGTTGATCCAGAGATGTTGACCGCGAGTTCCCGAATAGCCCTAGCGCCTACGCGTTCCTTTGTCAGATAAACAGTTCATGCCCTTACTACTTTGGGGGCAAATTCCATCCTATATACAGAGTATAGGCAGTTTTTACTCCCCAAGGACTCAGATTTATCAATCCTACGTCTTAAGTTCTTGTAAGCTTTGATCGAACAATTTGACCATGACACTAAGGCAAGACCAGTACTGTCCTACCACGTGGCGCAAATTACAGAGCATCTGCAATAGTTTTCCATTTATGATGCTCTCTCTGAGTTAGATTATCAAAAATAATATATCTAAATCCCATAGTGGGTATCCCAGATCTATACTCATTACAGAAAAATAATGGAGTCATCCAGGGCCTGTGGATTGGTAAGACAAAAAGAAACAAGATGATCATCCAAGCACTGCAGGCTGCAGTACATATCACGCCTCATAGAGGACAGCTATGTCCACAGAAATTAATCTTCATTTCTTGCCGTGTGCTGTAGTAGGATCGCATAACACGGCAATCTGCAAACTTAGTACCCCATGCCACCATAGCTGTCTGAGCTTCCCATGTCATCATAGCCATATGTGCTACCCATATTTCCATAGCTATCCGAGCTTCCCATGCCACTCATGGTATCTGAGCTCCCCGAATCAATCACACTCGGTGGACTTTCCATCGAACTTCCCTGGCCGCTCATACTGTCTTCGTTCCCATATGAACTCCCCATGCCACTTGAGCTACCAAACAGACTTCCCATCAAGCTCCCCACTGGACTGTCCGAGCCAGTGAGACTACCCGAGCTTCCATAAGGACTACCATATGAGCTTCCCATAGGACTAGAAGGGCTAGTCGAACTCCCTGAGCTTCCATACGGGCTTCCTGAGCTGCCGTATGGACTCCCCATTGAACTTTCCATGGAACTACCAGGGCCAGTCAGACTGCCGGAATTTCCAAATAGGCTTCCCATGTTACTTGAGCTTCCCATGTTACTTGAGCTTCCCATTGTGTTTCCCATAGTTCCTGAGTTGCCCATAGAACTGCTAGGACCGCTCAGGCTGCCCGATTTTCCGGAGGGGCTTCCCATGTTACTCGAACTTCCCATGTTACTTGAGGACCCCATTGGGTTTGAGCCACTTGGTTTGTTCGAGCTTGGTGTGCCATTTGAGCCACCTGAGTTGGATCCCGATGAGCCGGTTTTACCAGTTTGGCCAGATTGGCTAGACTGACCGGATTGACCGGATTGCCCGGACTGACTGGATTGACCAGATTGACCTCCACAACCAAGAAACACAGCTATATTAAGTTAGTATCTGCTAAAGATACTCCCGATCGACATCAACCCAACGGGATACAGCCAAAGAAAAGAAGGGAAAGAAAGAAAGAAAGAAAGAAAGAAAGAA